GTCTTTGTGTCTCAGCGTCTCGGTGGGTGGCAGACCCATTTCTGGAGACCTTCCCCTATGAAGGACAAGGTTAAATATTCGGCAGCAATAAGCTGCCATTGTTACAAATGCAAAGCGACAGAAGGTGGCACATTTTGTCGTTGAAATTGAATTTTGACACTAATGTTTGGGGTGGCAGCCATATGTGGGTTTCTTTTCGTGGTTGGCTAGAAATTATGTTTTCAAGGGGGGCTATAAAGGAAATGTTAAGATAATAAATATAATTTAACCTTTTTATTTGCAATTACAAGAAAGGTGAACCGAATTTAATTTTTCGGAGCAGAAGAAATGCGGCAATACTTGGAGTAACTTGAAGAAAAAGCGTGGAACTGATTTAAATATGCCAAGCCCTTCACACGAATGCCTGTTAATTAAAATGGCCTTTGTAGTAGTTGTTTGTGGCTGCTGCTGCCCGTATCCCCACAATTTCTGATGTTAAGTGTCCCACTTCTCGTAATTGTCTGGCATTGTGCTGTCAGTTGCTGTCCAGTGCAGCTGCATTTCTGGTATCTTGGCAATGTTTATGCGAACTTTATTGTGAAGCTTTCCATTATCTAAGAGACTTAATTGCATATTAAACGAATGTAGTTTTAAACTAAATGAAGTCTGCATGGCTGAAGTAAACACATACATTTTAGTCCTTGAGTTAAAACTAATCAAATATTTGAACTATTCATTCAAATTATTTAAAATATGCATTTAACATTTTAGGTTAATCCTACAAACCTTACTTTGAAGGTTTTTTCAATTATTCAGACTGTAATTGTTGTAAAACTTCAATTTTGTTTAATATTATATAGCATTAATTATGCATTTGTAATGAAGAACTGACGATCTCAATTGAATACCCTCCTGTTTTCCAATGAGGCTATGCATATTGAATCAACAATCCTTCCTTAATAATGTTCCATATCATTTTAATTATTTCTTCGCTTTTCTTCTAGGATTGTTATTATTTTTATTAAGCACGTTAACATTTATTGGTTATCCCTCTCTCTCTCTCTCTCTCTCTCTTGATCATCTCATCATCACTTGTTGGAGCATATTTGTATGGCCATTGAGCAGCAATTTATTTCTGGAGACTTGCCGTTCTGTTTATTGAAATTAAATCGGATCATTTGCCCAAGCAACTCCGACATGCTTCCAATCGAATGCACAATTTGTATTCTCTTAAGCTCAACAATGCAGCAATTTGCCAATTGTTAGCTGCCAACAATTTCCCCCTCCACATACTTAATGCATCACATTATCCGTACATTTTTTTTAACGAGTTTTAACAGTTCGCTTCGCGATTTTATTTTCATTTTTTTGCCAGCTTTCAGAATTGGTTTGGCTGCCAACTGTCAGCATTCGTCCTAGTTGGCAGCATTTCCTGTTTCCATTTCGATTATCCACTTCGCATATTCGCGCAAATAAACCTAATGCGATTGTTTGTTTGTCTGTCTGTCCGTTCGTCCCATTTTCCGTCGATTCCAGCGCTCTTTTTGCCGGCCAACCGTCTCTGCCCTTTCCCCCGACAATTCTCTCGCGTAAAATGCGCGAATGCGAATGCATCTAGGAGTCATGCATAAATTCGTTGCATAAATCATGGCGGACAAAAAGCGGGAAAATAAAGCCGTAATTTAAACTGATGGCGATATGGCAGGCAACCAAATGCTCTAAATCCAATATTTTGACTTTATCTGCTCAGCTACTTTACAAAAAATGCAGCTAAAAGCACCTTGGGGAGAAATTAATTCGGCTGTGACTACTGAGCTCTAACGGCCATTGAACAGGAAAGTAAAACGGGCTAAGGGGGGTTTTTTCCTTTAACCACCCTTTCAATAGCCTGCGGCTGCCAGAAGCTGCTAATTGGCAGCTCTCGAATTACAGAAATCTGTAACTGGGCAGCTTAAAGCTTCAAATGATAGCAGAACTGGGATGTCCGGTTGGCCAAACGAATTTCAAACATGACTGTGCAAATATTGAAACTACTTCTTTTTGCAGCTCTCTCACAGTTGCGCCAAAGCCGCTTTAATCCAAAAAGTTTCCACCGGGGGGTAGAAAAAGTGTTGAAAAAATGAACCCAAACTGCAGGCAGCATAAGCAGCTTATGCCATTAGTTGCGAATCGTAGAGAAAAATAGAGTATACCGAAGCTGCGAGGTGGGGGATTTGTCTCCCTTCCTACCGCTTTAGCGTCTCTTTTTTGCAGGTAAACTGTTTGAATTGGGGCTTGGCATATGCCAACTGATGTAACAAGTTTTGCGGTCTAATTGAACGAATTGAAGAGCTTTCAAACATTGCAACGGACTGTGTAAATTAAACTAGAAACAGTTTTGTGAAAGACTTTGATTTTCAATGTTTATTGTAAATTTCAGAATACTTTTCTCCCTTTTTTTTAGTTCTTGCATTTGTGACGATTGCTTTTTTGACGATAAAGTAGCAAAAAGAATGTGCAGATGACTGACGTAATATGTGAATGAACAAATTTTAAAATTAAAGGAGCTGGTCTTCTCGAAGGATTCTGTGGCTTTAGGGCGAAAACAATTTGCATTTATTTACAAAGGATTGCATTCAAATAAAGTCAGAGATTGAAAAAGCATCTAAATAACAGCTTGGTTTCCAATAAATTTACAAAAAAAAAACAATTTCACAATTAAGGAGGCAAGCAACTTTATATAACAAGTTATTTATTGCTCTAGGATCAAATTACAAATCCGGAGCTCCGTAGAAAAATGTAGCAGATTAAAGACCCGGCTTAGGTTCAACGTTCTCTAGTCCATGTACGCTAACTGGCATTGCCCTTGTCACTCACAGACATCAATTAAAAGCATAAGCAACATCATTGATATGCTGCTCAGCGCTAGCCTGAGCTCCGTTTCAACTTACAAGTCATGCAAAATATGTTGAGGCATGCTTACAAGTATCTACGTGCCCATAGATGTGTGTACGAGTATGTGCGAGAGTGTGTGTATTTGTTGGGCCCTGTGTTTGACTGACGTCGGCTCGCATGTCGACAATTTGTGTAAATTGATTTATGATGCTTGAAGCAGACAGACGAGCAGGCAGCAGCAGCGGCTTACATTTCACTTTTGTGCACATGACAGCAGCAGCAACAGCATCGGCAGCGGAAAGGCAAGAGAAATACCAATACGAACATATAGTATACTATATACTGTAGGGTATGGAAAGGAAGAGAGAGGACTAAGCCGAAACAAATAACAGCCAACGGCCATAAATCCATCATCATCATCATTGTAATCATGAGCAAGCAAAGGCAAACAAATTGACTACAAAAAACAACAAATGTGAGTGTGTGTGTGTGTATGTGTGTGTGTGTGTATGGGTGTTGGTGTTGGTGTGTGGAATGTCTGGCGAGCAGCGCCCTCAGAACGCTTTTCTCGGTAAGCAAGCAAACATTACGTATACGCCGAGTAGCCAGCACTCAGTTGTTGAGCTCAAGCAGCGCCACTTAATTTAAATAAATTGACAGACGTTTGAGAGAAAAAAGCAAATGTCAGTGCAAGGCGTGGTGCCACAAAATGCCATCAATTTTGATTATGTTGATTCGCAGCTTTATACAAAAAATTGGAGCAGCCACGAAAACTGCAACAACGATAACAACAATGCTTCTGCAACAAGTTATTAGTTATTCCTTTCAGCAGCAAGTTGTCTGGCAAATGTCAGAGACATGCGTGCTTTATGAGTTGTCAACACGGTTGGGCGGAGGAAGTGAGTGTTAGGGGGATGCTGTGTGTGGGCGTGTGATGTGCGTGTGTGAGAATTGCTGTCAGAACCAACAATCACCTCACTTAGCCGAAACACAAACTTTAATGTCAAACTGGCCTCAGACCCAACAAAGACAATAAACGTAAATACAATCGAGTGTATTCCTCGAAATGCCTAAACCTCCAAACTGTTGATTAATTAAGTAATTTGAGAAAAAAGAAATATTTAAAAAATTGTTAAAGCTTACTTTAATATTACAATTTATGCGTTATGCAAAAATTAATTACCATTACATATAGTTTTTCTTTAATTTCCAAATTATTTCTATCAGCGCCAACTGCCTTTGAAATATGCCGACAACCCTTTAATGCAAAGAAAGAAAGAGAGATAGAGAAAGAATGAGAGAGTTTTAATGAGTTTTAAATGATTATTTTCTATATTTCGGACCAATAGTATGCTTTTACTAAGCTTTAATAATATGCGGACAAGTGACAACAAAATAATGTTAATAATAATGCTTCAGTGTTAAAGCGAAATGCTACTCCAAATCAATTCAAAGTTAACTTCAGGAGTAATCCTTTTGCCATTTCGTTTTCTGGCGATAATATAACATATCATACTTGTATACAAATAGTCTGTGTGCGTGTTTGTGTTTATTTTGCGATTTGTTCGTCCATTTGTGGTTGAGTTATAAGGTCGTTGACAGAAATGCTGATAAATTAATTTCAGAACTAACTTTGTGCTGTCCTCTACATACGAGTATGTCAGTATGTTGTTGGCTGCCAACTTTTGTAGCTACTTCGCATAATTCCTTTATTTTATTATAAGCCGAACAGAGAGTAAAGATAACTGATGTTTGATTCTGGCCGCGGGTGGCAGCTGAGTCGTACCTGTTTGCCGATTTGGGTCAACTTGGCGAGCCACATGAACAGCAACAACCACAACAACAACAACGATACAAGCAAACATACAGTTGACATAACTGTTGTCTGCCTGTCAGCCCCAAATGCAAAGAGCCTGAAGCTATGCTTTGCTTTTGTGCGGTTAAAATTATGTAAATATTCAGGCTACGGATATGTTTGGGCAATGAGCTTATGTTGAAAGCTGATAGGAATACGGTTGGAAAACTATCGAATGCAATTATTCATAACACCTTGCCTTGGGGAGTAATATTCACTACTTTTCGAATAGCAAGCATTATTGTTGGCCAACTCAGAGTGCTCAGATGCCTTAGGGTTATATTTTGAATTTTTAATCGTTTTTATTGGATGCATATGGAGCTGGCTTGCAATAACAGAACATCCTGATATTGGGATTTTTGGTGCAGTAGGACTGATTGTGGATATTGTTGATGCGCGTTATGTCGCCAGTCAGCGCCATCGTAAAGCCCGTAAAACGTGTGGTGGCCTCGAACTGAGCCTCGCCGGGCAGCGTCTGCAATCGCACCTTCACCTCCTGCTCAGCCTCGTTCTTGGTATACGGCTGACTGAGTTCACGCTGTGTGCTATATAGGTAGGCCTTCAGGACCGCATCCAACTGCAGGTATTGGCATTGCGAGAAGGGACGCAGGTTGTCGTTGATGATGCGCACGATAGCCCGAGCAGCTCGCTGTGCACGCGCATCGCTCACCGACAAGGATATGAAGCCGTGGCACACACAGTAGTCGGCCGGAATACGAGAGGTCTTGCATGTGCGGAATGGAGATACTGGCAGGAAAAGAGTCATGCCTCGTGGGATTACGGCATCGCGCATCAACCTTAGCTTATCGGCTCGCGAAGCCAGCGATTGTGGACGCAATTTGTTTAAGTCGATGAGATCGTACAGAGTGGAGAAGAGATCGTATGTGGTCACCAGATTGCGGTCGTTGTCCGCCAAATTGTCGAGTGCCTCTGGATACCGTTTTTTCAGCCAAGCGGGGTAAATAGCAAACAGTAGGGGCAGTCCATCCTCCAACATGCCCTGATACGTGCGTCTGAAGGGACCCCAGCGTAGGCCGTGGTCTGACATCAGCAGAATGAAGGTGTTGTTCATAACGCCGGTCGCACTCAGGCGGCGCAGCAACTTAAAGAAACGTATATCCAGTTTTTGGGGATAGTTGAAGTAATCGAAAACTCCCTGCTTCCACCAGTAGAAGGAGAAGAAAGGATAACGCTGCTTGTGCGGCAACAGACGTTCGATGTGCTCGAACAATACATCCGCGTACTCCCGTCCGCCCGAACAATGGATGTAGTCCAGCTTAGCAAAGGTTCTACAGTAGCTATTCATCTCAATGAGGGTGGGACGCAGGTAATGATCGAACGTTGGAGCTCTGGATATCGATTTAAATTGCCTCGATACACCGGAAACCGGTTCATCCTCGCCATAGCTGGTGTTATAGCCCCTTCTCTTGAAGTGCTCCCACAGCAGATCACACTTATCGTATTTCAAGTGGTTCGATGGCTCTTTTCTCAGCCCACACTCGATGTGAAAGTGCTCGAAGCTCATGCCCGTGAGCATGGGCATAAGATTGAGAAACGTATCGCCGCCGACCTTATTGTAGCCCCAGAACTCAACGTGCGGCAGCTGTGTGCGGATGTAGCCGGCAGTGACAGGCATTTGACGCAGAAAATTCAAATGCGAGACCTTATCGAGCCCCAGTATCATGATCGATATGAGTGGAGCGGCCGGCAATGGTTTTTTCTTGGACGTAGTCTTGCGACTGCTGGTCGGTTCGATTTTCTTCGTCTTGGACTGCCGCCACAGAATCAAAGGCAAAGTCTCATTTCTCAGGCCAAGCTTGGGCGGTGGTTGCACAAAGAAATGCACATCCTGATGCAGCGTCTGGTTGGAACTATCCAAGCAGGCCACACGTATCAGTCGTATGCCATGGGCCATGGTCACACGATATGGTTCCTCCAGTCGAAAGTGCACAGCTCTCCCAATCTCTTTCGACCCACCAGACAGACTGGTCACTGGCCAGTACTGACAGTGAACATCCATGCCCTCGAGCTGCAACTTCATGTTCATGCTCAGCTCAAGAGTCCAACTGCCTCCGTACATTTTGGTCTCGAACCAGGTGGAATTCGGACACTTGGTTGCGGGCAGCAAGTACATGTAGTGCGATATGCGTCGATTCATCACATCCAAGGCGACAATCTTGCAACCAGGATTGTTCACAAAATATGCGTTTTCCAGCTGGGTGGTCGTGTAGAAAAACCTATCGCTCAAGTAGTCCAGGTACACGTAGCTATACCCGAGCATGCACAAAACAATGCCGACAATCGCAACTTTCCGATACCATTTTTCAGCGCGCGTGAGAAACTTCATTTTCAAATCAATTAAACATTAATGAAGACGTGCGCGAATGTGAAATATTATTTGAAATTTTTAGAACACACATAAGACAATTTTGGCTAATGTTGCTAAGATTGCTGAGTGGATTAAGTTTATCGATTATATTATTTGGTAGAAAGTTTCAAACGAGTTAGCAGCCCCGTTTAACTTTCATATATTCCAATTATTTCAATTCTTTTCACTCTATTATTGCTTAAAAAATGTATGTGGTTGAGCTAAGATCTATTTATTTTGTATGAAGTATGGTTATCAGACTTCAACTCCACAAATTGTATAGTCATTGGCTACGTGAATAGAGATTTTGAACACTCCCGGTAATCTAAATAATCACTGAACGATTTATGGCTTAGAACCTAAACTTTATTTTGTTCTTATTTATCGCACAACCTTTCAAGCATTGTGTCATTATTCATAATTAAAAGTAATGAGAAGTAAACAAAAATTGCAATCCTCTCCACCACTTTTTTAAAACAACAATGAATTTTCATAACGATTATTAATTTGTATTTAAATATCATCAATATTTATTGGCATACATAATTATTTCCTGAAATAGCAAACAGCTTGGTTTTAATAGCTTTCCCCACTGGCATTACGGCGCCAATTAACCGTTTTGTGAGCTTTTCCGTGAATGCTTTTGTGGAAAAACAATAGCGAGAAAAAATTGAAACCAATCTAAAGCTTAATTCAAGCATTTAATGATAATTACAGCGACCATTAGCAATTGTCTGCTGGCAATAATAACAAAGGGCATAAAAAGAAGACGAAAAAATAATGAAGAGCTGCAGATGAGGATCCGTGTCCGTGTTCGTGTCCGTGGCTGGCAGCACGTGTCCTTGCGCCGCGCTTTTCAATTACCGCAGCCACAGTGGCAATCTAATGAATTGTTAAATTATGTAATGAAGCGTGTACTTTAGATAAATGAAAACTAATTAAATTAACTTTAGTGGCAGTCTACCATGCAGCCACAGAGAGAGTGCAACTTTGCCAAAGAAACGAGAATGAAAATGCGCTTTCGCCTTGATTTTGGATTGCCAGCCAGTTAAGCTTCAGCCATTAAATTCGTTAGCCGAGAAGAGCAAACAATATAAGTCGGATTTTAATTTATTTGGCAGCATTTAAGTGCATATGGATCGGAGCAAAACTAATTGTTTGCGACAAATGAAACTCAAACAAATTTGTCTGACTAAACAAACTGCCATATAGTCGTATGTCGTATGTGTGTGTGTGTGTGCTATATTTTGTATGTTTTGCTAAAGTTTTCTCAATTAGGCACGTTCTGCAGCATAAGCTATTATATTTAATTGCCTCGCCAGTATTTACCGAAACGTTCGATTCCCATATGCGTCACGTAAAACATTAAAATAAATGGAATCGTGTGCGAACGACAGGAATAAATTAGGCTGCATTTAAACTTGTGGTTTCGAAGCTTAAACGAACATTAAGAAGTTGTAAATTGCCATTATAGCTCACCTGCCATTGCCTTAATCAATAGCTGAGTGCATTAATTGAAACTCAAATAGCGATCTAGTGTGTTATGTGCGACTAAAGTACTTGTATTGGACAATCATTCTGGGAGAGGAATGGACACTGAGTTGAAACAAAATAAACAAACCACTGTCGAATTATGTTGGAGGCATTAGTAAATTAATATAATTAAAATCGGAATCTGTTTGATCAACTTCAATTAATTTGATTTGATTTAATTTTAATTCTGCTACGCACTTGTTTTTCATCAGCTGAATGGGCAGGCATTTCTCTATAATCAGTTTTAAATTAAAATAAACATATAACTTGAAGCAGAAGAAGCACACTTTCAAAAGAAAAGACTTTTTGACAGGACTACTTATCCAATATACTCCCCTTAATCCAGCAAAATTTCTAATGTAAAGAACCCATTCATTTAGCTTACAATTGACACGCATAACATACTTGTAGTATTCATATATTTGTCAAGTTAAAATATAGAACCCTGGTAAGCACTTTTATTACAGCACTTGTTAGAAATTTGAATACAATTACTGACTTTTTAATTACAAACTATCACTCGCATATCGATGGCTCTTACCTGAGAGCCCATGTGCAATTAATATTGCGCCTAATTGCAGCACACAGTGTTCTCTCTCCCGCCTTATCTCTCCTGTTGCACCATATCTATGCAACAAATTCAACTGAAGTGCATTTTATGGGCTTTCCAGGCGACATTTCACAAAACGGCACACGAGGAGGCCGACAAGAGGCACATAAAATTTGATTTACAAATGAAAATTCATGATTCTGTCGTCTGGCCCAGACTAGGAGTGCTGGCCTGGCCAACAGTGAAAGCGACTTTCCCCGCTGCTTTTGTAATTCAGCTCTCGACTGAATCGCCCATGCGACATTCATAAATCAATGTTACATTTCCACTTGTGTATGTGTGTGTGTGTATGTGTGTATGTGTGTTTGTGGTGCTCTCCTGCAGATGGAAAACTGCGCCATTTTGCAGGCACACTTCATTTTGCTTTTGCCTTTTTGCATTTAGAGTGGTGCTGCGTACATTTTCGGAACGTATATTTTATGCTTAATTGCGAAAGAGGCACCGAAATTGGATTCGTTGCAGTGTCTATGCAGTTAAAGAGCTGGATGGTGAAAGGCAGTCGAACTATGTTACACTCGACAACGAAGGATATTTGGTTGGGGCCACTTATTTGCTGGCAGTATATTGTTTGTTAAGTGCTTATGACTAGTACGCTGTAATAGAAAAGCTAGAAAGCCAAAAAGTCTATATTAAATCTCAGCTAAGTTAGAATTTCATGTAAATGCAGAGCTTATTTTCAAATAGAGAACATAAAATCAAGCGTTAATCAATAAAAGTGGTTGCTTAGTTTAGAATATAAGAGTTTCTTTTTAATTTGTTTTTCTTAATAATATTTTGTTTGTTTATTAGATGACTGGCCTTCGACTATCTTTTAGTTACAAATTTTAAATTTTGTATATCAGTATATCAGCATATCTGTGCTATAATCCATCTCTCAAGGCAGATTATAAATTAATCCACGCACTGGGTCGAGCTTAGTCCATTCGCTTGTCGACACAAAGCCCACAGAATATAAATCTTAACAAAATATTTCACAGCCAACAGACCCATTAAAACGGGCTGCCAGACGTATGGTTATGGATGTGTGCTTGCGTGTGTGTGTGCGTGTGTGTGTGTGTGTGTGTATGTGTGTGTGTCCCTCACATGTACACTGTACGTACTTTATATTCAAAAGTGTGTAATTTGCGAAACTTGGCTCGCGTGTGTTCGCAATCTCCCGAGGCGACGGCAAAGCAACAACAGCTGCGTTTGTCACATTAACCTGCTGCCGTCGGCTAACAGTGGGAACGATTAACAATATTATTGATTTTTTGTGGAATTTCTTCTCTAAGTAAACATAGATTGAACATTTTAGTGTTTGTTATTTCTATCTATAAAGCATTAAGTGCATTTGTATTCAAAATGAAACTTAATTATTCAAATTCTCAAATTTAGTTTATTTGCAACAGAGCTGTGTAAGTATTTCTATTTTCAGCTCAGATTGCTCCTTAATTGTGGGTTAAATTTAAAATAACGTAGCTTCTTTTAGGCAGGAAAACTCCACTTTGAATTGTCAGTTGTTTGAGCTCGACGATGGCGAATAAGTCAGTTTCTTAATCATTCATATTGTCCTTTCAAAAATGTGTGTATTTTATTTACTTGATTCAAATGTTTATTATTTCACAAGCTATTCACTTGTGGCCCTCCTAATTAAATTCTGATTTGTATGTACATTTATTCATATGTCAAATAGTTTTTATTCATTATATTAAACTGCAAGCAACTACCTTTCGTTTTACAAACAAATACGTCATTCTTTTCAAATATTATTAATCATTAAATAGAGTAAGCATTACCTTCTCTTTCGGGTTGTTATATTTTAATTCAAGCTGGAAATAAACGGTTTCATTCTATAATTTTAAATCTACACTTTACTCATGATTTGCTTCTTCATAAAATGATTAAAAGATTCAAAGCAAAAGATTAACACAGCAACCCACAGTGTATTGGAGGACGTACCGAGGGTGGAAGCTGGGACTGGAAGCTGGGGGGGCTATGGACGTAGTCTGCTTTTATAGGTCGTCGGCAGTGGCAGCCCCGTCGTCGCCGCCATCGTCGCCATCGTCATCAGGTCGCGGTTAATTATGTTTTTTGTACCCAGGCGTATACAAAATAACGTCAACGTCTGTACTGCCTCGGCCTCTGTCTCTGCCCCTACTTCTGTCTCTGACTCTGCCTCTTCCTCTTCCTCTGACTCTGACTACTCTGCGTCAACAGTGCGGCTGTGTGATTTTCGTCTCAGATTTAATGTGCACTTTGATGTGAAACATTGCTAATTTGCTTTTTTATGTTGTTGTTGGTTTTTGTTTCGTTGCCGTGCTGCATGGGCGTTCGCATAGCGTCAATTTTTAAAGCCTCATTAATGTCTGGCATGTAGTACATACATATACAAGTATATATATTTTTATGTCACTTCGGTTTCAATTATGACTTTGTATATGGCACGCTTGTTTGCAATTTAATGGGACAAAGTGCTGTTGTCGCTGTTGTCGGTTGTTGAGGTACTTGTAAAGGTTATTTGTGAGGTTAAATGTAGATTATTGGCTATATGTTTGCGTGTGTTCAGAGTAAATATGTTATGCGAAGCTTAAAATTAAAAGCCTTTTAATTGCAATATTACTCAATGAAGCGCATCAAAGGAAAACAAATTGGGGCACATGTAAATTAATATGTTAAATACTGGCTGTTTAATTTGTAATGTAAATTGTGAAAAGCAAAAAATCAACAAATGGAAGACTTTGTTTAATTAGTCTTCATGCAGTCAATCGCACAATAGCTATAAATAGCAGCACTCAGGATAATATTGTTAAATACATTTGATCTACTGCATGTTTTTTTTTTGTCGAATTCACAGACAATTCAACTCACTACTTATAAATTAAAATCGACTTATTTCTTGTTTTTTTATGCAACCAGAATACATTTCAGTTGCAATAGAATATTTTTATGTTACGGAGTTAGCGCACGTCTGAGTTTTTGAACTATGAAACTCGTTTAATCGCATTACTTCTTGAACTGAGGTGGGGGTTAAACTTACACTTTACTTTCTTTAACTAATGATTTGTTCTTTGAATGTATTACTAATCATTACTGTATTGGTAATACTTTAAAACTTTATTTAAAGAGCAACAAGTGTAAAGAATACAATAACAAAGAACCTTTATTATTGCATGACATTCTCTTTTCAAAATATCTACAGTCGTTTAATATTTCGTTTTGTTTCAATAATCGATTAGTGATTGAAAGAAGCTACTTCTGGCAAGCATCGCAAACAGAATTTCTGTCACTCTTAAGTACATTTAATGAAGTTTAAAATGCAATTCCATTTTTTAAATTTATTTTCAAATTAAAACACGAAAATGAATCTCATTAGAGCTAGGCAAGCAGCCTTCGAGCACTAAAGCCGACTGGCCCAACCACTTATTCTGTACCCATGTCACTCAAGCCCTTCACTTGCTTCGTCGCCATCTGGCTTTTCCCCCTCTCCAACACTGTATGCCATGTGTTTTGCTTCGGTGTTATTGTTGTTGTTAGCTTTTGCCCTTTTGGCACCTTCTCGCTTGATCAAATTGAACATCAACATCAAATAACATTGCTGCGAGTGGCTTAACACTTGGCTTCTGTTGCCGCTCCACCCGCCCCTCCATCCTGATGTTGTTCTTTGTACTTATGTATTGGGCGAATGCTTACGTTTCGCTGATTTTTAAGTGTGTGCTTAAGAATTTTTGACAACTTTTTCAAATTCCTCGAGCACGTAGCACAAAGTTTCGAGGGCCGCCCCCTTAAGCTGCGAGGAGAAAGCAAAGCAAAAAGTAATTTTGATTTTATTAGCTGTGTAGCACCTGATGGCATCTTTGGCTGCGTTTTCAATTCAATTTTCAGTGAATTGCGTGTTCCACAAAGGAAAACTTTGCCACACACACACACACACACACACATCTACACATTTCGATATCGACAGCTTGAAAAAGTTAACAGCTTGATGTGAAGTTTTGTCCACAACTTGTTGTTGTTGTTGTTGCTTTGTTTTGTTCCCCCCGCCCCTGTTTATCGAGATACATTTTTTTGTGAGCCTGGGAAAACTTCTGGCCAAATGCCAACAAGCCAACCAATCGTTAAGCGCAAATGACGGCTTTGAAAAAAATTAATTTGAGCCGCGCAACTGAATTTTTACGTCGCTAGAGTTGTTGTTTTCTATATTTGAAGTTTTCTTTGTTATAAACTTTTTTGTTCTTAAATCAATGTAAGACGAAGTTTGTGCAGCTGCTTGTCTTAGTTATTGCTTTTTAGGATGGCCTTAAATATTTAATTGAATTTATAATCAAATGATGCCTGAAGACTAGAGATGAGTCCATTTCTAGAAATCTTTATCATTATTCTACTATGATGATCCATGCTGAATAAATTTATAATGTTGGGGTAATTACATTCCCTTTTTCTTTGCATTTCGCTTTTATTTATTAACCAAAAATATACATGAAAGCTATGATTTCTTTACACAAAAAAACCATTTACAAGCTTAAGCTTCCCACACTAGAGGTGGCTTCAGGGTCCGATTGTCCCACCACAGTCGAGGTGTCGTCTTCATCTCCATCAACTTTGCCATCTAAAAGGTCTTGGTATCCAAACAACTCATCCTCCTCTGCATCGAACTCATTGCTCTCAATCAAATAGCCAATTACATTGAACTCGGCGTTGAGACTTTGTTCCCAGCGCTGCACCAAATCATCGGCACATACGCCCATCGAGCCACATGCAATGCCAAGGACATGGTTGGCATTGCAGCCAGCAAGAAGGGAGTATGGGCCACGATTTGCAAATTTCTCCCTCGACGGAGTGAGATCGTAGATCTTCCCATTGAGGGCCGTATAAATGGGCTTGTTGTGGTTCAGTCCATCGTAGGCCATTAACTGATGCAGGGTGAGCAACAAAGCATTGTCACCCGTGGGCAGTGACTTTGAGGTCTGATTATTGTTGGAGCTATTGTTCTTTATATTGAGATGTTCGATTGCGCTCTGTTCCGGCTCTGATTGCTGAGATGTGCCCCTCTCTTTGGGGAGCTTCTCCTCCGTTGTGCACTTATTGGAGAATATTTTCACAATCCTAGTTGTGGCATAATAGCCAACAACGAATGAGATAAGCACCTGACTGATGGGACTCTTAAGCACAGGTCGCAGAAGCGCCTTGGCAGCCTTTATATTGGGATTCATTTCTGCAAACATACAATTAATAGACTTTACCTATCTTTAAATTCGATTCTTACTAAAGAAGCTTACTTGCAAAATATATTTGCGGCTGTGCCAGCTTAAGGACTTCCAGTAGCGACATATTTCAGTGCTCTATTTATTTGTATCTACAGTCGCAGAGATGTGAGTTAGTTTGAATAAACTTTCAATTTGGATGTGTCAGAATACAACATTTCTAGCCTACTTGATGTGATATGAAAGAATAAAGCAGGGGAGGAATTTTTCTACTGGAGCCGGCTCGATTATTTCGTCTTTGTATGCCTCATAACCGCAGCCCACTTTTGTCTAAGAACTATTATCTAATTTGCGACATTCCGCCGAAAAGGTTCTTTAACATCATAATGGGCTGAAGTGGAAAGAGCTTTACTTTCTAAGCTGCCCCGCGTAACCGGCGAGGCGTTGGCTTCCCCCGCGTCATGTGTTTGCTGTCAGATGTCGTTAACATTAACGCCAGTGCACATAAAAGTCGGCTTAAAAACATTTGCATGCGCGTTGGAGCTGCCACTGTAAGGCCTTTAGCCCGCGTCCTTCGTCTGCGTCTGCATCTACGTTCCAGTTTCTGTTGCTGTTTGTTATCAAATTGGTTGTACTTGCGCTTTAATATGACTTAATAAGCTCATTACAATTTTTTCATGAGTGTGTAACAAATGTAATTTGGCGCCGCGAGAGCGCCATTTTTATCACGCACACACACACACGCGCGTGCACAGACCACACATGCAAAAGTTTCCTTAACAACAACAAAAAATCTGAGGGGGTTTCCGCCTTATGCGCGCATAAAAATTTGCATAACGTTGATTTTGTTGCGCATTACGCATACGCCGCATGTGACGCTGACGCTTATTGCTTTGGGCGCCGACAACCACACACCAAACACAAACACACACACACACAGAAGACATTTGTAGCAGTTGTTTTTTGTGAGCATGTGTGTGCATTTTTTGTTCTCCTACGCGGTTCTTTAATTTAATAAATTAAAACATATTTTGCATGGCATTCAAATATAATGACAACAGCTCTGCGGTATTTTCGCTGTCAAGTCTGTTTCTTTTTTGCTTGTTTGTTGCTGTCTGCTTTTCTTTTAATTAAAATTAACAAAATTATATCGGTACGAAACTCAAATTGCCGCTTCTGTCCCTTTTTATTGCCTTCTTCTCGTGCCGTTTGTTATTAATAAACTTTTTAATTGCAAGCAAACAGCAGGCATCTGTTCGCATTAACTTCTGGCTTTGTGGCTGGCACTTTAATAATGATTACATATTGGGTTTGTTTTTTGTAAGCCACCGTCTGTGCTTTGGCATGGCTGATTTTCGAGGAATTGCGTTAAAAAAATAAAACAGCAGACAACTAAAGCTCATAAGTCCCTTGATACTGAAGGCATGTGAAGCGTGAAAAAGGTCAGTGTGTTATTAAGCTGTTAATATAGTAAGTTAATGAAAATTAATTCTAAAATATGCTCAGCATGTTTGTTTAAAAATTGTTTATGTTGCAGATTATTTGTGAGACTGCTTTAAAGAAAATTTGTATACCTTCTCCTGAAATAAAATGCGACTTAATTATATTTTAGAGTGTAATTTATTTAAATTAAAAGCTTAACTGTGTCACTACTTGTATGTGAAGTAATATATTATCACTTAAGATTTTAATCTTCGACATAAAAGCGGCCAACAGCACTTATGAGAATTGGTTCTCAACTGTTTCTATTTTACGCAACTATTCTGTTATTCTTTGTCATTTGTGCTGGTTTCAAGTAGAAATTAGCGCTTAGCCTATAAATTATTTATCCTTGCAAAAAAAGCCAAACATTTTCGTAAATAGTTTGCTGAAAAAAGTACCAACAAACAACTAGTAAATGTAAAGGATTCTTAGAATGTAAAGTATTCAAAAACTAGCCCTAACTCTAGTTCTAATGGAGCCATGGAAACTATAAATAAATTTAAGCGTACTCGCAAGCAAAGATGTTACGCAAGCTTGTAACCAAAACTACATTTCTTTAAAGCGAATTCATGTTTAAATATAAAACGAATTTAGTTTCGCTTTAGAATATAAGTCGAAATAACCATAAATATTGTGAAATTCTTCACTGCACGCCCGTTCTATAGCACTGAGATATTTTAGCTATTTAAAAGGCACCAACACATAACTGCAAATGATTTGCATGGTATTTCAAAAGTTTGCACCACAAACAGTCAGTTCGCATTGACATACAATCAAGGCCACAGCCGCCTGCAAGTGCAGAGATAGCGTCATTCCAATGGGCAGCCAATCTAGGGAAATGCCATAGCAATGCCAATTCAATGGCAATGTTCAACCAGCGATTATATTTGCATGCTAAATGCTTCACATATTTCACCGAAGTGCACTCGATATGATGCCAGAGCACACGTAAAAATATGCCAAGCATAAAATTTGCCACAATGTGGCACACAGCACAAAAAGTTGGCAACTTTCGATATTCTTGTTAGGTTGCTGTTCACTTTCCTTTCTGAGCATCATGGAGAAGGGGGAAGCAGGCGCGACATTTGGCACATGTACTCGCATCTCGCATCTCGTATCTCGTTTCAAAGTCGCCTGCGGAGTGAGAGCTGATGGTGCGAAAAAATCTAGCTTTTATTGCCCTAGTTTTTTTGATCTGTGGTTGCCGGCAGCGTTGCGGGAGGGGGCGTTGGGAGGGGCCTACCTTGACACTTGTGAAATTGTCGCCTGTGAAATGTGTGTTGGGCTCAATTTGTAGCTGCGGCTTTTTGATTTTTTCTTTCGTTTTTTCCGATTTTGCTTATTGATCATGTTAACGTCGAATATATCAAAGTCTGTGCGGCCAACTGTAGAACAAGGCCAAAGGTGGGCTTCAATTTCTAGGTGAGTTGGTAGCATTTCATGAATAAAACAAATACTGCAATAGTAATATATTTTCAATTTACAGCTGCATAGCTCACTATATTTATTCCGTTTCTCTGCAGAAAGCTGCTACAAATAACTTATAAGGTAGCCACCATTTTAAAGGACACCAATCAAATTAACTACGTATCTACTTTGTATATAGTTTTTTCCGTTTCAAGAGTGCCTTCTTTTATGACAAACACACCTGAAATTCTCGACTTCATGCACAGACTAACCACAACTGCCGCTGAACCGCCTGGAGCCTGTGTGAGCCACACAAATTCAATCGAGAACGGCAAACTCAATGCTGCTCGTTTATTATAAGCCGCAGCATTGCATTAAATCAATATTTGGAGCTCGTTTGCCTGCCTTGGAGCCAGAATGGCGCAACCTTTGTCTGCCAGCCTGCCAGCCTGCCATCCTGTCTGTTTCTACACTAAATTATAAACTTTCTTCCGGCAACGGCAAGTGTGCCATGTAATTACGAGCACAGCCAAAATTAATGAACTCTCGAATGCAGGAAAGCGCGTTCCTGATGATGCCAGCCACCGCATAAATATTACACAGCTAAACATATAGAGCTCTTACACACCCACAGCTATAGAGGGAAACCACAGCTTGTGATTTCGCAGGCGAAAACTTTTGCAGTTCGATTTGATGAACGTGAAGAGTGGCAGCCAACAAGCTCGTACGTGCAAAGTTTTGGGAGCCGATGCCGGTGCTGCTGCTGGTGCAGGGGCCTCGCGTTGGCAATAATTTCTCCAAAATTTCAGGCTGTCCTTCAGTCACGAAAGTTGCTCATTACGAAAGTTGTGTGCGTGAGACTCAAGTTATGATTTCATATTAATAACTTGTCGGAATTGTGAAGCGTGTGCAGCGTTAATGAGATGTGAGAAAGTGTCTTATTACAAGTGCCTCGCGAAATGTAGCAAAAGCATGAAACCAAATTTATTTAACCCACTTGGTCGAGAAGCGTGAAATGTGTCGTCCTCAAGTGCTGCTTGGATTGCGCCTTTTAAATTACTTCAAGCTAGTTTTTATAAATAAATTACTATTATTTATGTTATTACTCATTTAGAAAGCTCGACAAATTAAAGCCATTGCATATTTTAAGTGCACTGGTTAAAAAGGGCAAGCAAATCATTGGAGTGATTTTTCGAATGTCAAATTATTATTATTACTCTCCATAAGCTGCACACATTATTGTTTTAAGCTTAATGTAAAATCATGTGACCGTAATTTTATAATAAGTAAGTATTCTAAAATAATCTGCATCTTTAAAGTCATTTGCATGGCTAACATTAAAATACTGGAAACTATTATAAAGTTTTTTTATTTTCCTGAAGGTTTTTCCAACAACTGTAACTATTTGTCTTCTAATTATGGGACTAAAACTAAATGGCTCATTGATGAATGGTCAGTCCCTTCTTGTAAGAACATAACATCGCCTTAGTCAATCGGAGTTCTATAAAGCCTATCTGGTAATGATGCTGGATAATGAGATAAAAAAAACTTCCACTTTTCAGGCATTAGGAATGATCTAAACAAAATTAATAAGTTTACACTAACGGAAAGCTCAATATAACATAATTTATTATTATTATAGTTTACATTTTTGATACGTTTATCTGGCTTTGAATCAAGTCATATCTGATGGAATGGCCAATGAAATTCCCCCAACGTAACGAACGCGTTATCAGATATTGCAGCATTTAGTGAGATACTTCTCAGATCAGAGGATGAACTAGGGCAACAATGGGTTAACCAGCAATATATCAAGTGCTGTTGTGTACAATTAGCTGCATTTGGCTAATAGGGCATAGAATATGCCTCCATCTACCACCACCACATGCCCACTTTATGGCCGCATTGTAATGCAGTTAGCGCCTCTTGCTACGCAATGATACTTAATGTCAAAATCATTATAATAAATTACATAAATGATGATACAAATAAAAATACGCATAATGTGCGCACAAACAATGAAGCGTGAAGCAAGGCAAGCCAAGGCCAGGCAGGGGGAAGCTGTCAGGCCAGACGTTGAGGCTCCCACGCATGCACACACACACACTGCCACACAATTAGAGAGGGAGGGAGAGAGAGCGAGGGGGAGGTAGAGGGAGAGCGCTATACACACGTCCTTATGCATGCAGCACACATTACGCATAAAGGCCATAGACATTAGTGTGGATAATGAAAAGCAATGGTCTAAGTGCGGCACTACAAACAGACATGGCGGGTGGCCTGCAGACAGACAACGTACAACACACACATACACACACACACACACACACACACTCACAACACACACACAGACAGCATAGACGAAGACATTGGATTTGCCGGCAAATATGTATAAATGCTTGTACGCGCCCAACCAAGCGGCTGCATAAAATACAAATAAAACTTGTACAAGTATAAGTAAAAATAAAAATGGCGTCCAACATTCCCGTAGCCACAAGTTATGGTAGCTTCGTGTGTGTGTGTATGTGTGTGTGTGTGTTTGTCGCCACGTGCCTGCATCTCAGCTGTCCGCTCAGCTGTTAGGAGCGGCAAATGTTTTGGGAAATTCGTACAAACATTTCTTGCATTCGTTTGAAAAATTTCCCAAAATAAAATACATACGCACTGGATGCTGTGCGCAGGTTGAGAGTCCCAGCGCATGACTCGACATCCATTTGGATCTCAGAGAGCGAGCACTTTTATAGCAACTCAGAGCTTTATTATCTGAGCAGTGAGCGCTACAGACTACCCAGCATCCTTAGACGTAAGCACGGACATGCCAGTAGCGGAGCAACTTTCAAGCGTTTCGGTCCTCCACAGAATTGTGAGCGCGACACTAACGCAATTCCACATTCCATACATACGGTACGCAATACCCAAATAGTTTTGTTTGCAGGTGTGTTAACTAATATACCTTTATAAGTCGTTCTGTGCATACCATAACTGAGGCCGCCAAAAATTAGACAAAACTGGGCAGAAGCCGAAATAAACTAAACAACATGATTGTTCAGTGAAACTAAAAAGATATATGAACTCTCAACGTAAATTGAACCATACACTAAGGAAATAATAAGCAAATAAAGTTCACAGATGTGTAAAAATTTAAATACTTATCAGTTAAAATATAAATATATGCCAACAGCATAAATACAAATAAATAAACAGTGCTGAACATAAATGCTTGCTTCTTTCCATAACTTAGTTAGAAACCCAGCTTAAGAAAAGAAACAATTTAATCTAAAATAAATAAATAAGCTACTTTTTGCATTTATATTTTTATAAACAACTCCAAAGCAACAAATTTTCGGAGTTTTATAATTTAATTTCTTAAGTGACTTTTATTTTTGAATAATATTAAACTAAATGCTTATATTAAATAACAATAATACATGACACTAGATTAAAATATAATAATAAATCCAAATTAAAAAGCAAATGAATAATACATTTCGTAATAAATCATTAAAAGAAAGTATTTGTTCATCATATTCTGAAAAGTACATTAATAAAATAAATAATATCTAAAATCGTTAAACGCTATATCTGCAGCATCTCTACAAACTCGATAAGTTTATAAATGTGCAAATATCTGTAGGAAATTTGTGTGAAATCGAATTTAAATTAAAGCGGCAGTTGTTATTTAAATTTACAATTAAATTTACTGCTCCCGAACGCATTCAATTCACGTTTATTTCCGTATATTTATTCACTCGCACACATACTTGATTATAAATATAGTAACAGCAAGTGTGGCGTGCGATAACAAAGGAAAAAATTGTAAATATTTTTTTATAAATTTTTCACAATGTATAGTACATATAGATATTTGCATATTTATAGCGTGTCTCTGCTGCTGTGTGTGTGCTCTTACAACAACACACAATTTCCAATGTAGAATAATTTCGTGGGAAGCAAACAAAACGCGAAATGAAAACACAATCTCCAAAAGTGCAGACATAATAAAAAATATAAAAAGAGAGCAAAACAAACAACAACAGCAACAAAAAAAAAACAAAGGCTCCACAAAGTGGCCAAAACAAATAACTTGAAATTAAATCGACAGTCAAATAACAACAACAAGGAGTGCGGGAGCAACAACAACATCGGCTATACGATAGTTAAGGACAGAGCTATAAGAGCAAACCATGTACGTGCTTTTCCTTTTTAAAACTACATTAAATAACATTTACTACCGGCTTTGGCACACACACTCCAACGCAGCCGAGGGCCCACTCCCACTCGCACTCCAGCCTTTCACAAACACCAACTATTTCTATCCGATCCCTACACAAGAGGCACAAAAGCAACGCCTACGCAAGGACTTCCTCGGCATCTGCCTAGTCATTGGGAACGACGGTTTCGAGTGGCGCACAAGTACTTCGATTTCAGTTCGAAAAGAATGGAGCTCAGGGGCTGGGAACTGGGAAAATGTGCCTGCCTCTGACTTGGTTTATGTTGTCGCCCAACCCACTGCTGTAGCATCCTTAAGCGCTTCACTTTACATAGCGAAAACTAGAAGATTGTAAAGATTAAACCAACCACCACCCCCTGGCAAGCAGTGCTGACGCCATTATTTCGCCAATGTGTGTATGTGTGTGTCTATCGGGGACTGGGTGTGTGTGTGTGTGTGTGTGTATTTCCTCTGCGGCAGCTACTGTGATTTGTATGCGTGTGCCATGGACGTCGTCGACATCGTTCGCGTCTTTCGCATCGTCGCCGCCATCAACTTGGCTTGCTAATGTTGGCTTTGGGTGTTTGTGGCGTAACGCCTTAACTTGGCCACCCCCCTACCCCCTTACCCCTCTCCCATCCCCTCTTACAGCATCCTTTTGACATCTTGCCATACGTTTTACACTAAAAACATAGCTACTTTTTTCACGTGGTCGGGGCACACGGTGTGTGTGCTTTTGGCGTGCTGTTTTCGTTTTCGTGTACGCCGACGACGTTTGCGGCATAAAAATAAAGATAAATGCGAGTTCTTTTGAGCAGAGCGCTTAACATTGGCATCGCACAGTGTCTGGGCTTTATTTTTGTGCAAACGAAAAGGAGTTGTTGCTTGAGAGTAGGCAGTAAAATAATATATATATTTTTTTTTAATTTAAAGGCACTTATGTATGGCATTTAATATTTTAATCTTTTTGAAACATGATGCATTTCCTTTATATTTTACTATTACTATTACTACTATTGCTGAAATTTCTGTACAACAATAAGATTATCTATATAGGCTTAAAAGAATAAATTGTGTCTATAACGTTTACTGAAAAGCAAAAAGAAAACACAAAATTTCTTCATACACATACCTGTAGAAGACAGCAGGAATTTTCTCTAATCAGTGATACAGGAAGAGTAGAATATCATTTTATTTATAGAAAGCAACCTTGAATAATTATATCCTAAAATAATTATAAAAATAGGCAAAGATAGTGCCCCTCCTGCAATTTGTTGACGTAGTACTGAACTGCAATTCTTTCGCTAATATCTTTCCCAAAAATTAACCGATTGAGAATGCGTTCCTCTGCCTGTTACATTCATTTATGCACAACAATCCTAATACACCCTTTTTACAGCTACAGCTACAGAGTATAAGCATATTTTTTAGAGTTAATAAATTATTTGAACTGGTCCGGAATTGCTGGCATATGTAACAATGCCAGTCCACTGTGCGACACACCTTGCGCTCAGTGACAAATGCTATCAAAGAGCAACTTGCCGGCTAGGCATGGAGTTTGTCTAGGCCAGGACCGCATCAGAAAGCACGTTGGTGCGGCTGCTGGTAGTGACAGGTATCTAGTTCTCTATCTCGCTTGCTCCTTCGCCATCTTGTGGTTTTTGTATGTCTGTGTGTTTGTGTGTGTGTGTTGGGTGTGTGCGGTAGCTGCGGTTACGAGTTTTAGATGTTTTTTTGCGTTAGTCCAAAAATCCAGCCGCATATTCAACCACACTCTCTCACACACACACACACACACAAAGTTGTTTTGCATATAGCCTCGTGTTTATCTGCATTGGCCCATCGCCGACTGCCCCCTTCGCTGCCGCTCTCCGCTGTCTTTCTGTTGATATTAGCGCTTGTTTATGAGTCTGTGTATGTGTGTGTATGAGTGTGTCTGTGCATTTGTGTGAGTGCTACGCTTCGTCGCAATTTAAATTCAGCTTCATTTTTATTTCTATTTACTTTTGCTTTTTGTTGCTGCAACTGTTTGCTCATAAAAAATAAGCAAAGAAAACTTTTTTTTACACCCGCACAACGTCATTACTCAATACATCCTTCTTACTCGCTCCCTCCCTCTACCACTCCCACTCCCACTCTTGTGCTGTCTCACTCAGCCACTTGCCACGAATTTTTATTTGTTTTTCATTTTCACTTTTATTATTCTACATTTCGGCAACAAAAATGTTTGTTTTTAAAAAACATCGTTGCTGCTGCTGCTGTTGCTGTTTTGCTTTTCCACTGTTGGGCGACACCAAATAAAATGTTTGATTTATTTTTTATTTTCCATTGAACCTATTTTTGTGCATGTGTCTGTATGAAGATGTGGGTAAGGCTTTGCTGCTAAGCTCTTGCGTCTTTTTGCAGTACAACACTTTTATTTTTATTTCGCCATTTTCATATGTTTGTTTTCTGTAAGCTGCAGTAAATTGGAATTATTAAGTACAGTGCTGGGAAATGGTGGAAACGCCGTCTGCAAGTTGCCATATTTTATTGGGCATTAGCGTCGGGTGTATAGGGTATATATAGGTATTATGCAAAAGTACCGGAGAAATGGGGGACAACAGCAAATGTATAAACCTTTAATGCTGCCAAAAAGAAAGAAAACCTGATACTGCCCTCAAACGTACAGCACAAACAAAGTATTCAGACTGCAATTTCACAGCTCAATAATAATAATAAAAATAAAATAGAAATAAATGAAATAATAAAATGAATAACGTTTTCCCTTTTACTTAATTAATTGTAAGATTGCTATTTTTCAAGCAATTTTATTCGAAATCTACTTCTCTTATTTAAAATATTTTAACTTCTTATTCAGTGTGTAGCTTTCGATTATTTCTAAGCTATTTCAAAATTAAAGCAATCTACACAACTACCTACAAAATGTTCCTATTTCCTTTATATTTCGACTTCATTGCTAGAATTCTTGCAACTACAAATCCAATCAATATGCAGTACAAGGATGTCAACGATTGCTTCAGTAATGTTTCATGCCAGCCTCTGTCTCAAAGCCAACAATTCAGTTGAGTAAATCAGAGATTGCAAAAAGGACTTTATAACATTACCGGGCTATTTGCTTGAATGTACGTCAATCATCCTGATATGATTGTGTATAAAGGAGCAGTTGATTGTCTACTAGCTGAACAAATGGCTGCAATGTTGCTTTTTTGCCACATCTTTTATTTTTATTTTCTGAACGACTCCATTCAAAACCACTTCAATCTACGAGTAATACCCAAACAGGGAAAAACTGCACAGAAACTTAAATGCATTTTCTTTGGGAATATTTCTAATGTCCTGCATTTGCTATTTGTGCCGCACTAAAATGTTGAGAAAATATTCCATCCAATTGAACTTCCGTCTGTAGCTGTGGGACTTGTGCGTCTGCTTCTTGGTTTGTGTGTTTAAAGGCGCCTTAGTAATAATAAAAATAATATTAAAAAAAAGAAGAAGAGAGACCCGGCCACTGCCGGATGTTAAGCGGATTTCATGTCTCTACGCTTCAGCTGCCCAAAGGCGCTTAAGTTGTTATTCGGTCAAATTTTCTTATGCTTTTAGCTTGATTGCCTGCGACTTACAATCAACAAAAGGATCAGGAGTGGCTGGCAGTAAGAAACTATAGCATACTTTTGCGGGTCATTAAATTATAATTCCTCAAATATTCAATTTTAAATGTAAATGTCATCCATCAAGCAAAGCCACAAGTAAATATATACCCATTACCCACTTTTACGCACACACATATAAACACACACACACACACACACACACACACACACACACACGCAAATATGCAGCCATACGCACAGAGACATGTTTGTTGCAATATGTAATTTAAAATATACTCGTATAAAACGCATTACTTTTCATTCGTCCAACCGCAGAACGCAGTGTATGTGTTTTAATTAATTTCGTTATTACAATAATTAATTGAATGCCAGCGCATTACAACAGCGCATTGCCAACAAATTGCACTGCATTTGGTGTTAGCTTTTCGTGGGTATGGGTGTGTGTGTGGGGAAGAAAGACGGAAACTGGTGGGGAGGGAGCTCATGTATACACAATGCTTGCTGGGGAATTGCATACAGTTTTGATTTATTGTAGCCAACAAACTCATAAATTAACAGTGGGAATGTGGGAATGTGGGAACAAGTATGCAACTGTGGCTACCTTCGAGCCTTCCTGCTATCTGCTCGACCCCTCCGAAGCAAATTCAGTTCAAATTTCTGCCAGCTGCTACAAATGAACTTCGAGTATGTATGTTAGTAGAGCCAAGCAAACTACACAGCTGTGTCTATATGCTGGGATTTGAGGCAGACATGAGATAATAAATAAAATGCAAATGCAGAAACGAAAACTAATTTAGAATATTCAATGCATCACTATTGCTATTTGAGTTTATCGTATAGGCATGTATAATGCCAGAAAGCTATTTGCTTTAATTTCTATGCTATATTCTCATTCTAATAGCATCTTCTAGTTTGCTGGCGAACGCCTCTTAAAACTAAAATGTTGAAATGATAGTAACTTTTAAAGAGATTTAAGTTAAATGCTGGGACCGAGGCAAATAGGTCTTTCTAATTAATTTTATAGGGACTCCTAGTCAGTGTATTCTCAGTTACTACTCTACACAAATGTCAGTTCCCACACACTAAAAAAATTCAAAGGAAGCATTTATACCAAATGCCGCTGTTGTAACGTCACTATGAATGCGGCTTGTAGCACTAAGCCAACTATAAATCTGCCACACATGAAGGAAAGTGAAGAGAAATGCTCGTGCACATAAAACGCCCACGGCCGCCCCTCCCCAGCTGATGTTGCTGCCACGCCCATTTGTACAAAACATGAGTCTAATTCATGTGACGCGCACACATCGTTCACATCAAGCGAGACAAACTACACAATGCGCCGAGATAAGAATGCAATGAATGAGCAAGTGAATGACTGAGTGGTTGTGTGGTTGGGTGGCTGTGTGGTTGAATGAATGCCATGAGCATGAATGAGCATGCTTGACTACCAGTCGCCATGGGTGGCAGCCTGGTCAGGCCAGGAATTCTGGGTCTGCCAGCTGCTGTGCAATGAACTGTAAGTTGTCAGCTGCCAGACTAAATGATGGGCCGTTGTGCGAAGGCTGAAGTGACAGAGTGAGGGTCTTAAGATCCTGTCGATTTAATGGCTGTCTTGGTCCCTTTTTTCGTCGTTGACATTGTCGACTATTTTTGGCAATTATTTAATTTTGAATTGAATTCAATTGCATGTAAAAATCCTCATTTAGCTTTGTCTCTCCATTATCTCTGCTCAATATTCGTTCATTTGAAAAATTACTTATGAAATGAAGCAGACGTCTTTTTGTATCCAGCTGTCTGCTTATCATTGAATGTGAAATGACCAATTAAATCAATTATGTAAGAATATTGTAGAGAGGCTTTCTTTAAGTCGGAGAAACAATAAGAAAAGAAAATATATTTTTTTACATGCAAGTAAATAAAGGAATTTTGGAATTTTACTGCAAAACTGAGTCAATTATTCACACACAAAGAATTTGAACTATCTCCCTTGTTAAATCAACAATTCCTACATACTGCATTTTCAAATCGGCTTTCTACTTACCTGAGCACGCAATTATGTCATTCATCTAAGTCTCCACAGACACTGCATCTTCAAAGTCAAATGAACTTTGTTGACTGACTTTATTGAGCGCCCAGTTAATTAAACGAAGCCAACATGCTTTCGTTTGGCAGAAAATCGATGTAGGCCTTGGCTTTATCATAAGATGCATTTACGCTTCAATAAACTGCAAATGAATTCCGGTTTTCTGCATCAGCTATTGATAACGAAGCACTTCATCATTGCCTTGAAAATTAGAAATTTCATCACACAATAGAAAAAGAACTTACTTAGATATTGAAGCTTTATAGATCTACATTTAAAAATTATAAATCAACCCTTACATCATGTGCATTAAATTCCTTTAATAAAAGTACGTGTACATGAAAAATTGTTTCCATTTCTGAACGTCCATCAAAACCGTTTCTATTACATATTGTGTGCCCGCGCAGCTGAGAAGAAACACGAGGAAACGAATCCGAGCGATAGAGCAAAAATAATGCATGAGTAAAATCGCAATTACAATAGCGTATAAATCACATGCAACAATAAATTTTAATAACAAATTTATGTGCCGGTTTTTTCATATTTCGCACAGCTCACAACTTTTATTTTTTCTATTCCGTTGCAGCAGTCGCAATGTGTAGCGTCTGGGCAAGGAACAAGCAGCCACAACAATAAGTACAAGTATAACAACAGCCAGAGCAACAACAACAACAGCAACAACAGAAAAATAGCAACAAACCAACATAACCATTGCAAACTAAGCAGAGCAGCCAAAGGCGGCGGCCATTTTGCGAAAATGCTAACAAAATTTGCAAAAATATGCATTTTAACATTCGTAATTGCGCCCATCGTGCTGGGTCAGGACGGGAGAACAACAGCAATACTAGCAGCTGAAACGGCAACTACAGAAGTGGCAGCGGCAGTAGGCACTACAACAGCAACAACAACAACAGCATCATCAGCAGCAGCAGCAGAAAGTGTGCTGTCAGGCATAACAAATGACAAAGTGAAGCAAAACCAAACGGCTGCAAAAATGTGGCCGGAAATGCAACGCGGCACACCAACAGCTACAACAACAACAACAACAGCTACGAGCATGTCCAGTACAAGCTCTAGCGTCAGCGTCAGCTCCAGCTCCAGTTCCAGCTCGACCTCAACGGCTACGCCAACAACAACGGCAACCACCAGCACAACAACGACAACGACAACAACAACAACCGCAGCGAATGTTGCGGCGACAAACGGAAATGAAGCATTCACAGAAAACGGCAATGCCAAAGCGTTGCCAGCAACAGCGCCTAAAGCGGAAATGGCAGCCATGGTGGCACCAACAACAACAACAACAGCCTCAACAGCTGCTGATAGTGTCGATTTAATGATGCCCACAACAAGCTCAGCGCCCACCATACCGCCGCTAAGCAACATCAAAGATACGCTTCATCGCATTAAGTTATCGGCGTTGGTAACAACAACGGAAATACCAATACTTGCCTTGCAGGATGAAGACGACGCCAATAATTCCGGCGACTTCGCAGATGCTTCCACCTACACTTCCGGTGCCGACAGCGATACGAATGCCGATACCTCCCAGATACAAATGCAAGCCGCTGCCTCGTACCAAGTGGCCGAGACTTTGGCGGATTTAAATGAGGAGGAGCGTGCACGCTATGGCGCCATGTTGGCACAACAACCAACGTCCAGTAAACTGAATATCGTCGATTTATATCCCATGAAGCTGGAGGATTTCCAACCAATTTTACGCAACTCGAATGAACAATTGCTGAAGGAGCGCACCGTTTTCACACAGCCCGAAAATGCACAGGAATACCGACAGAACCTAATGCCCAATGAGGTGGAAATGCAGGCGCCACCACAACTGACAGTCAATCAACTCACAACAACAACAAAAACAACGACAACGACAATGGCAACAGAAATGCCAGCAACGTCTGGCAGCGACAATGATTTCACGGGCAAATTACTGGCCGATCAGGATGATTTGATTACCGAAATCGAGCGCAAATTTCAGCTTCGAGAGAGCTCCACGTCCACCTCAAAGCCGTCGACGCCACGCCCACTGCCTCCACTGCCCCCATTGGCGGCTGGCGACACATATATCGACAGACGCGTGAAGAAGAGCTTTGAGTTTCCACTGCATCGCGCCAGTGACGTCATGGCCATGCCCCACATCGATTTTGCCAATACAAAGTTTAATACGGATGCCAGCGATGGCTCCGAAATGCGAGCGCCAGCTGCCGCCCATCCCGAGTTCTCGACCACCAAATTCTATAATAGCAAGGAATTGTATAATGAAATGTTGTTACATAATAAACGCAAGTTAATGAAAACGGCGACAACAATAACAACTGAGAAGCCCACTACACGCGGCATTATAAAGTCATCAGCAATGGCGGCCACAGCGGCAGCTTCAACTTTCAACGCTGAAGAGTTGCGGAAAAGTTCACGGCAGCAGAAACTTCAAGTCATTAGAACAAGTGACCCAGCAAAGTTGGTAGCAGCAGAGGCAGCAAAAGCAACCACATTGTCTTGGCAGACAGTAGCGCCGGCAACAACAACAACAGCAGCAACAGAAGCTGAAGCTGAAGCTGAGGCAGAGACAGAGACAGGGGATGGTGCCAACACGTTTAGACGCGTGACTTTGACGCCCACAAGCCAAAGTTTTGCAGCCACGACAACCAAAATGCTGCCAACAACAACAACAACAGCAACAGCAGCAGAAGCAACAACAACAGCCGCTAACACTCAAAAGCTGGAGATGACGCCCACAGTAACCACAACTTTGAAACCAAAGAAATATCAGAAGCAGCTTAAGCGCGCCAAATTATTGCTGAAGGCAATTTTGCCTCCGCAAGCAACTAAAACGCCCGCCGACCTCGACAATTTAGAGGTGGTTGGCTCTCAACTCCAAATTACTTCAGCTGAGGCAAATGCTAGAGCAACAAAGACAACAACAACAACTGCAGCAGCAGCAGCAGCAGCAACAACAACATCCACAGCATTGCCCATGGCTGAAGTCTCTACGAAGAGCTCAAAGCTCCCGCCATCGCCATCACCATCACCATCGTCTTTTCCTTCGCCTTCCTCGATATTGTCGTCGCTGCTGCCACCGCATCGCTACACGGCTAATCCGCCTAAATCAGCCTCAAAGCCAATTGCTCGGCCTCGCATTTTAAGTCGCCTCCAAGAGAAAATCAATTCGCTTGAATGTGAGATACAAAATGTGCCCCAGGATTCGCATTTGTGGCGTGGCAATGAAACGCACGAGCTCCTCCTGCCAATTGTGGTAAGTGCAATAAGATAAACGGATAAACATACTCGTATACGTGTGAATGTGTGAGAAATCTGTTACTTGTGTTTATAAACAAACGTTGGTACTATTGCCAAACCGGCTTAAATGCTACTTACGCCACCCGAGCAGCGCATGGAACAACCAGAAGCTAAGCCATTTTTTATTTTAAATGAACAAAAAATAACACTATTGCCACAAATAAAATTTAACTTGACAGAGCAATATTAAAGCTGAATAGAGACTTCGAAATGTGGTTTTCTTTTGAATAACTTTTGTATTGTTTATTAAAACGCCCATTAAAACATTTCTCACAAGAGCCAATAAATCGAATTAAGTAACCGATCGATCATCGTATCTATTCATTTATGCCTACAAAGCCGAGTGTAAATTCTGTTGCGACACTTTCCAATAACATCAATTATCAAATGTTCTCTGAGTATTAAAGCTCATTAAATAATCCTGGACAGGCATATTGCTTCTCCCATTACCCCACTTCTAGACAGTGAATAAAATCGTAATAAAAACTGTTTCATAAACAGTTGTGTATGATAATTTCAATCGAAAACATTTACTAAATGGAGCAAAATGAAATGAATATTTTGTAATAATAATAATCAACAAAAATACAGTTTCGTGAATAAGAATAGGCCAGAATATGGCTAGCAAAAAATCGTTGACGATTTGCCGCCATTACATTCTCAGTTTTTCTCATAAAAACAAAAACTCAACAAATGAACCAGCATTAATTCGTTAATACAAATACGTAATTAAATTTGATTCATAAATAAGTTAGCCATTTGATTGTACAAAGAGTAGAATAACTGAATTACTATAAAATTGCTATGAAGCGAATGTTCCCATTAAAGTCGCATTTGGAAAGCAATATTTAATTTCAAAAGAAGTCATTTCTCTCTTTTCGTCATTCACTGTAATGTACTGTAATTTATGTTCATCAATGATATTAATTTCCTTTTTTATTTTTGAGTTCCGTAAAGCTGTTTGTTTGCAACAATAAATATTTTAATTTAATTCAATAATTTTTTTTTAGCCAACTAAATAAAATAAATCTATATATATTACAACTGAAGCGCTTTTTGAATGCAACATTTATAACCGCATTACTTGAAATAATTTTAAAATTCTGCAATTAAAGCAGCATCACTTCTATACTTCAAACAGATATATATTTGACATTATTATTATATTTGACATTAATAAAGCCCACTATTCGCACCATCGACTAACAATCCATTGTAGTCTTCGAAAAGAGAGAAAAACAGAGGGAGAGAGAAGCAAATGAAGGTAGCATTGTTTACATACAACACTTGTTATTTATGACATCATACCTTTTGCTTTCGGTGGTATTTTAGCAACAATCTAGTGCCTATTAAGTTCTTATCATTAGCTTACAAAAGAAAACTGAATAAAGAGAAACACATACAAGTTGAAGACAAAGGCAAAGGCAAGACAAAGCAAAGCATTTCAATTGAAAAGCAGCTTCCTTAAAGATAGTCGACTTACCTGATAAACTTACTGGTGGACACGGTGCGTATGCGTACTATGCTGTTGTCTGTAAGCGGGTTCACTAATTAGTATTTGCCGTTTTGGGCTGGATTTGAAGCCCAACCAGGATTTACATAATGTGTCCATTGGCGCATGTTCCTGCTTAGACTGGCTTTGTGCTAATTAGTTGGCAGTGCTTAGTTAGTGGTTTAGCTGCCATTGTTGTTGCCAGCAAAGAAAGTCTTAGGCAGACCAGAAATTTTATGAAAGTAAGCCAATGGGCTTTAATTAGATATTCTGTGGCGTCGGGTTATTATTAATTAAATCGAATGGATTAGTTAGCAGAACAGCATGAGCTTATTTTCCTTCGAATCTTTTGCAGTTGACATGATTGAAGACAATTCTTTTCATCTCCAAAAAGAAATTAGTATTTGTTTCTTACATAACTAAAGCTAATAAGACACTGAGGAATATTCTCAAGATAAATAATCGTGTGTTTTAAGTTCCTCCTACTCAATCTACTGAATATATACTGCTTCATATACCATTTAGAAGCTATACATAGATGCTGATAAAGTTTGGGTCACGTGTATCCCTGAGGCATTCCATTGCCCAAAGCTAAACAATGTCGAAATGAAATTAAAACGCACCTTTTGAGCACTGAAGCCTGCTTATGCACACATACAAATGAAATGAAAAGAAAAAATGCTTTTCTTAATTGTTTTGTTTGCATAAAAGGCCAAAGCAAAGTCCACTTCAAAAGTTGGCCAAAGTCAGCGTTTAATTTTATGCGAATGCTGGCAAGGTACGAGGAACTCATTATGCGTATTGCCTAATGTATTTTTATAAAGTTTACAAAATGCGGCCGCAGCATTTTAATTAAATTCATCACCCCTCTTGAAAAAAAGCAAACAGAAAACAAGCTAAACAAGTAATAATAAAAATAATAAAAGCAAAGGGAAAATCAATATTTATATACAAGTACATACATATACAAAACAAAGCGGTTCGGGGCACGCTTTATCATTTGCCATTTACCATGCCATTCTACATAAATATGCAAAGCACAACATGAACAGAACTAAAGAAATACAAGAAAACTGACAGATAGCGACAGAAACACAGACAGACTGGCCGGCCGACATAAAAGGCGCACGGACGGACATTTGATGTTAATTAAACAGCATTCCCGGCAGTCAAAAGGCAGCCAGCAAACAGAATGAAAAACAAAGTAAGTCAAAGAAAAAGCCAAAAGGTAGCCGGCCAAGGGATAAAGGCATTGAATGTTGCTCACTGGAAAAGGGTTAAATCCAAAATGATTTTAAGCATTTGCCAAGGGCCGGCATTGGCACAAGCACACTCTTCGACCGATTCGACCGATGTACCTATGAATGTGTGTGTGTGTGCTAAATAGCTTGATTTACGTAGAAATAAGGAGCTCATGAAATGGAAATATACACGAGACGACTTCAAGTTTCAAACGGAAAAATAACGCTTTAAGACTGTAGTTTTCTATACCCTTCAAAGGATTTTTCTCTTTTAGTCTGATGCAAAGAAAACACATCACAAGAAACATCAAAAATAAAGATGTTTAAGTTCTATAACTATCTGAAAATTGTTATTTATTTGCCATTACATTTTAAATTACATTCACATTAAAAAACATTTGACTTATTTATGAGCTTTTTGATGTAAATACTGACTCTAAACGCGCAATAACGTCTTCGATTGGTTAGCAACCAGCTATAAACTGGTTTTGAGCCGAAAAAATATTTATATTCATGCCACCAGCCTTAAGTATATTGTGTGGGAAACCCTTCTGAACTGTTTTGAATATACTTTTGAGATACTCTGACAATTTTTAATACAGCTTTTGACTACTTCTAATTTGTAATTGATATCCTTATTGATATTTCTATGTACTTGAAAACATTGATTTGATTATTAAGTAAAGCTTACCATTCAATTTTTGTTTGTACATTTGTATGTTTATTTCATTCATATAGGAAATCAAAATATAACTCTTAAATGAAAACAAACCAAACTTATTACCATTTCTTCAATTAATTTAAACGTTGAAGGTTTAGTAACTAAAATAAAAATACGATATAAATTAATGCAACCGTTTTTATACCAAACGTGTATGCTGAGTCTGAATAAATATTATACTTTGAAGTATATTCTGCTTGATTTTAATAATATAGAAACAAGTTTTATATGAGTACGCATATTCAATTAGTGTTCAACACAGTCGAACATCGAATCTGAAATTCAGGCAACTACTTCGACTAGATGTACGAGTAAATGTGATTTCAAAAGTTATCCCAAATTTATATTCAAGTGTATCTACTATTTGTATTGCTGACGATAGTGTTTTTTCCTGTTTGGCGCTCTGATTTAACAACAACAAATGCCTTGTAATAAAGAAAATTAAATCCTTTCACTGACTGCGCACAAGGCCTTGTAGTCCCTTTCCCTGCAAACCTAATATATATGTATATTCTCTGTATGCAAAAAGGACAACGGCCCAAAGCTGTACACTCTACATACCCGTCCAGTTTGCTGTTCACACACACATATACACACACACTAACTTCTCACACACTTCCACATCGGTGGGCTTAGCATGTAACGGAAATAGCCAAATAAAACTCTTATCAATAACTTCCGCGCTGTCCTTTTTGCGCCCGGCCAAACGATAGCAGGCGCCCGCTTGTTGAGCGGTCCTGGTAACTCGATAACTTATCAAAGGATTAAATTTTTTAGGGTTCATTTGGGAATGTCAAATGTTTGTTTGTCCCTTTTTTTAATATATGTGTGTGTGTGTGTTGGTTGCTTAAATGGCATCGTCATTTATTTATGTTAGTTATTGATTTCTGTTTGTGGGCACTAGATGGACAAGGAAAATATTTTGTCAGCTCCTAGGAGAAATCTTCAGTCAATTACGAGACGACCCAAAGTTTCAATTAGCTAAACAAATATGCTTATGTGTTTTTCAGTAAGCAAGGCAAGTCTAACGACAGCAAATAAATATTCTAATCCTTATGAGTTGGGCTTTCAATGTTCAATGTACTGAAATATGACATTTGTAATATGATTATATTTAACAACATATGTTCATACAGCATTGCCCTTTTTAATGTAAGCTTTCCCTATTGAAATTTATTTGGAAAAGTATTTTAACAATTAGAGAGTTAATAATGCCAATACTTACTGCTCCTAATAATTGACTTTATAGACATTATACTTGTACTATTCAGTTTTATTCTCCATTTCCACATTTAAAATATACTCGCATACCAAGTTAGCCAATTCAATTAAAAATATTTGATATTATCTATTCCAGTGCATTACTCATTTTCTTTCATCTTGATTGGGTTATTTTGATTCAAGAGATAGTAAAATGAACACAAAAATACGCCAATTTATTTACTAACATGTATATCTTTAACGAATATCTCGACAAATGTAAATGAAAATAAAATCAAATGTTGTTTTCTATTATTTTTGTAATTTTTCCAAGCTGTGCTCGCATTTTTTGTGCACACAAATTGTTATTTGTCATTGTATGTATTTATTTTTCTATTGTTACGTTTTTGAAAGCTTAAAATATGCGCATAGTAATGACTGCAAATAAAACTCAGCACGCCGCCCAAAAACTGGCATTCCAATAGAAATTTGTAAAAACATTTTGTGATATTTTTATATGCGAGCTTTTTTTGTGGCCTGGCACTAAAAAATAATACACAATGTAAATTTGTATGCGAGACGAAGCCATTAAAATGCCATAAATTTAAGCACAGACAAATCCACAGACACGAAGCCGCTCACACAAAAACTAAACCGTTTCGAATTTCACAAAAATATGCTAAAATTTGAATCCAAACCCTCACAAATTCACAAAGCAACATTTTTATTGTGTTGTGTCTCTTTTGTGAGTGTGTGTGTGTGAGTGTGAGTGTGCGGCTTTCTGTCTGTGGCTTAACCCAAATTAATAAAAATTTGAAACATAAAGTAGATCTAGGCACACAAACACTCTCATACACACACACATACATACACAGGCAAACGCATATGGGCGATGTTATAAACTTTGCTAATATCCTGTGCTTTGGTCGGATTTCCTTCAGACTCAACCGACAAGCGACAACCTTTTGCGGGTTTATTAGGTTTCGTGTGGTTAGTATGTAAATTTGTTGGACTCTATGCTAAAAAGGGGACGGAAGCAACAACAAAAACCGAAATAACGACAAGAACCGCAACAAATGCATTAAGCATTATAAAAGTAGAATTAGAAAAGTTGTTTAATAATTCAGTTTGCTGACCGGCTCCTTTTCGTATTCCCTCTTGTTTTATTTTTGCGGTTCCCACAGTCGACCGAAAAACATTTTAGCCCCTTTTAAATGTTAACTTTTTAAGCCGTGCACAGAATTTGTGACGTCTTTCTAATGTGGCCTCCACAAACGTTTATGCAATTTCCTCATGAATGTTTTCCTTTTCATTTATGCTACAGACAACGGAACACTGCAAAGCTGGAGAGCAGTGCTCGCCGAATGTGGTGTCCTGGCGAGGCGAAGCGGAAATACAATCCGGCGATATTTTAATTGTGGAAATCAACGATGCCATGCTGTATCCAAACCACGAGCAGAACAACACCAGCAGGTAAGCTTTCATGTTTCTAATGTACTTTGCAGAGACATGATATGAAAAGCTCAAAGAAACAGACAGCAGGATGACAGATGAATAAAAAGAAACCAAAAGAGATTTAATAGCATAAAGAATTTGAAGAGAATTCCTTTTTTAATCCATAGATCGATATACTTGTAGATTAAAAAGATAATAAAGAGCAAACTTGGTATATATTAAAGCATAGCTTAAAAGGTTATGTGACTTGCTGCACTTATGATTTCAGTTAAATAGCATACTTAAAAAGATAGAATGTTCCTTCTATAGCCATTAGTGCTCTACCCAATGCCTTGCTTTATCCAAAATTCACTTTGAATCATTTCATAGGATTTCCTTGAAAAAGCTAACAATATTTAATTCAAAGTATTTTCGTTGCACTTGAAAATCTCAGCTTGAGAGTTTATCTGAGCTATGTACACACATTCACACACACACATTCACACACACACAGTGACACACACACAGTGACACACACACAGTCAGATTGTATTTACGAGTATACTCCCGAGCTTTGTCCGAATTACTTGTGTATGCTCTTGGGACTTAGCACAAAAGTATGCTACGAAATTGTTACTAAGCACATCACATCAAGTGCTGCAATGTGCGCGCAGTAAGCAGTTTATCACAGTAACTGACTTAGCTGCAAGGCATACTGTCATTATGTATCAGGAGCATTATACGCTGGCGAGCAAACACACCGCCAGGAGACAGTGCGGGGACGGTTGGTTTGGCAACTCAGCGAGGCGCACGCCAACCTGAAACATTCGTAATACACGGAAAAATGGCAGGTGGCAGCCACCATTGCTGTCTGCTTCTCTACAGACACGCATACATACATACATACGTACTCGCACATCGACGTGCAGAGATTTTCGTGAAAAGCTGCATTGGAAGAATCTGCTGGTTGAAACTAAATCATAGTATGCTCGCCTGACTGCCTGTCTGCCTGTCTGCGCGTAGTTTCGTTTTTATATTTCGTTTTTTATTCGCATTTAATGTGCTTTAATGCTCGCTGAGACATGTTTGCTCTACAGCTTATTATATAATAACATCCATTAAGGGACCTTTATTGATTTTCTTCAGCACGTTTACACATTTGGCGCAGTGTTTAGTTTGCGCCCCATTCCACATTATAGCCCCAACCGTGCTCGGCAGCCTTTGGCGCGCGCTGTTTCATTTGTCCAAACACGTTCTGTCATTATCATGCCCTTTTTTACAGTTTATTAAATTGTTTTTCTTCCTCGCTGCATCCTAGCCGGAGCACACTCTCGTTTGCTTTTATAAATATTTGAGAGTATGTGTGTGTGTGCGTGTGTCTGTGTCTGTGTGTTTGCCTATTTGCTTCTCACGTATTTTTATTTTCATTTTTTTCTGTTTATTGTATAACGTTGGCAAATCCTTTACCCACGGCGCATATAAATGCGTGCCTTGCCATTTTTGCCGGCATTTTCATACAAACGCTCGATTTTTCCTGCTGCTACGTCCATTTCAGCTAGTTGGGTCCTTTTAAACCGGCTGACCATTAGTCATTTTGTATTTTGGCCGGCTGCGACCCTTTGCCGTTAAAAAGCCTTGGCAATTATCGCGTTCCTTTATTCTATACCAGCGCTTGGTCATTTTCGGTATTTTTAATTTGCGAATTTTATCAGGCAAGTGCTATATTTTATATTCTATAGCGCTGCACCTAAATAACTGTAGTTTGTGCCCCTTATCTGTGCTTTGAAGATGCCACAAAGCCAACCAGAATAGGCGCCACAAGCAAACACACAGGCACACGCACACACACACACACACACAAAAGTTTTCATTTATCAGTTGAAATTAAAATTCATTTTCTTCTTCCCTCCTGCCCTGCGAAACATCAAAAACAACCGACCTGGCTGGGGCAATTGGAAGCCCTAAGCTCACATCAGATAGGCTCGACATCGGCACAAATTTTCAACTTTATTACAATGAACAAATTTGGCCAAAAGCATTTCATCACGACCCACACAGGAATAGGCTCAATTTTTGCTGCTTTCGGCCCAAATTGGGGGCCAAAAAGGAAAACTTTTCTCTTTTTAACAAGACCACAAACAATTGAGTTAGTACATCTCAACAAACCTCAGCACAATAGCGAGCAGGGAGGGGATGCAAAAGTGAAAGCCACAACGACTGCGGCACACCTAAGCAGAAAATAAAAAAATAAAACTGTGTAGCGTACAATTGAGAGCACGCGCAGCAAAAGTTACCAAACTATGAAAATGAGATGTCAAAAAAGTTTTTATTATCGATTTAATATGTGTCTGTCTGGCCATACAAGTATATAGTATCTGTACAGTATGTGGCAACGGGTGTGTGAGCGACTCTTGCCCCGCGAGGTGCAGGCATATGAATAAAGTTAACAAACGCACACATAATATTGTGTAGCAAAGCAAGTGGGCGCAAATAGATTGCAAAAGCGGAAGAAGTGAAAAGTTTTGTGCCACAAACAAGTTCATGTGTTTTTTATTTTTCGTTTTTCATTCGTACGTTTGTTCGTTCGTTCCTTCTTCCCTTTCCTGGCGCCGACGTGTTGTAAAAAAGAAAATTGTAAAGTTTACAAATGTTAGATATCAGCGTGTGTGTTTGCATTTACGAGTGCATAAGCGCGCACGTGTGTGTGCTTAGGTGCGTGTGTGGGCATAACTAAGTTGTCAGCTCGGAGTGTCAGAAAAATGTGAAAGTTTCACATTGTTGCGAGCTCCTTGGGACGCTCCGCATTAAATGACACAAACTTGTTGTTCTTTAGAAACATGGGGTCTACCTTTTGCTAAGCAAATTTAATTTAATGTTGTACATTTTTTATCATATTAAGTGCACAACCACAATCAGTTGTTAAATTTATCCACGGCTTTGTGTGCAAAGCTAACAAAAGCTAAGAAGCTTTGAGAAAATGTAGTTGCTTTTACTTTTTTTAAAATCCTAAGCAATAGCATTTCATTTCTTTCAATATTAAAGGTTTAAACAACAATTCGGGGAAACAAACTCTTGATGCATAATTTTCTCTTCCAAGAAATGAAAGCAAAAATAGCCCTCATAGTAGGTTATAATAGATACTCTACGGTGATACAAAAATATGGTCTTAAATAAAAATTGGGTTTTGGAAACCAATAATAGAATTGGTAAAACATTTTCATGAGAAAAAAGCTCAATTAAATTTCTATTCCTTTAAAAAAATGAACCAAAATTTGTTTATTTAAAAACAGTTTGTTTAAAGTAGACTTTTCTTTTGAAACTTGTTCACGCTAGTGGTCTACTGGGGGAAGAGTATCCTACATGCGAACATAAACGTGTACTTAGAAAGCATTTCACATTAATTTCGGATCGTTATACTTTGCAAAATGCTTGCGTTTAGCTTCTTCCAATAATAAACAGAGGTAATAAAGTAATTTACTTTCTCTTTCATAATGAAAAAATGATCAAAGTTCAACAAATATTGCCGAATTTCTTTCATACTTTTCTTTTCATGCAAAAGTTAGCAAAGCTTTTGCAGAGTGGACACATTAATGGCTGCTGAAAGTTCACATCATTGACATGCAGACATCGTTTTTATTGTCTGTGCTGGCGGGCCAGCCAATTAATTTAATATGAGCACATAGTCCAACATCAAAAAGAGCATTGAGAGTCTTCATAACAGCGAAACTTTCGTGGAAAATTGTTGACTGTGTGTTCTGCGATAGTTGTGGATGTCGTTGGCGCTGCTAAAGTATTGCATACTTTTGCGCGCTCGAACTAATTTCATTTCCGTTTTATGCTATTTAATTTCCGCACACAAAACGATGGCGTCTGCTTATAAATAAATTTCAATTAATTAAGCACACATACACGCACACAGACAAAGACACAGCGCAGTGAGTTGCGAACCTTGCTTGTCATGTTTATAATTTAAACAAGTCGAGTGAAAGTTCGCTCTCACAGCACCCTACTTACAATATGCTCTCACGTTCGCTCCATTTTCCCAATCTTTCTAATTTTATCTGTTAACTGTTGCATGTGAAGCGCGGCGCATGCCATACAAGTCTACCAGGTAACACGTTCCGGCCACGAACATTGCGATGTTACCGAAGGTGTGCTTTTGGATATCACACCGTTGCTGGTCGACGGCAGGAAACTGGTTACGCTCTATGACAAGGACCTCACCGAGGGAGTCAACTTGTTAATTGGTGAGTTGGGACTTTGGGTCTATATAGCTGTAAGGTAAATGGCCACCAAGCGCATCTTCTTTTTTCCATTGCTTTCTTTTGCTGCTTCAATTAATTTAGAAACCCCATTTTTTAAATCCCTTTGTCACAGTGGTCTCTGAACTCTGGGGCGCTCAGTGTGTGCGCCTAAAGGTGACTACAAAAACCGACAATTGTGGCGAGAACGCCGAATGCTCCTCCAAAGGTATTTGCTACTCCAATGTTGCTATGGAGGAGTACGAGTGTCAGTGCTGCAGCGGGTTTGCCGGACCGCATTGCGAGGAAATCGACGCCTGCAACCCTAGTCCTTGCACCAACAATGGCATTTGTGTGGACTTGTCTCAGGGACATGAGGGCAACTCATATCAGTGCTTGTGTCCATACGGTAAGTGGGGCTTACACCCATTAGTAATTCCTCTTGTAAGAGATTTTATGTATATGTATGTATCAGGCTATGCGGGCAAAAACTGTCAATACGAGTCGGATCCCTGCAATCCCGCCGAGTGCATGAATGGTGGCACCTGTGTGGGTAACTCAACGCATTTTCGGTGAGTTGTAGATGGAAACAACTAATAAATGGAAGCAAACACATGCACATACAAATATATATGAATGTGGGTGGTAGAAAGGTACAAGCAACAGTGTTGCCAAAAGATTTAGATATAAGCCCATCTACAATGTGTAAACAAAATATGAAAAGAAGAACAAAAATGCTGTAAAAAAAACCAAGCATTCTTTTTTATTGGAATATGAAACCTTCAAATAAGAATCATGAATTGCTGCTGCATTGCTTTTATTCATTATCACATAATGTTTAATCTAATTCCGTAAAGAACCTTAACTTTACACGCATCAAAAATGATTAACACTCTAAAAGATAATATTGGACAAATAATGGATGATCTAATAATTTTCAAAGTGACTTTATTGCTCAAATACAAGTAGTATTATTATTTGGAGGGTGATGCCTTCTTAGTACTGATATATTAACCATACTAGCTAGAATATATGGATTCTTTTTAAAAACAATTTTGTAATCAAATGAAAAACGTTGCTTCAAAGACAAATTAAAAATCCACATTAGCATGAGGAAGTTGAATATTTGAATTGTAGAAAAGTGAGAATTCAATTTTGAAATAAAATTTTCTACCTATGTACCTGTATTTGGCCTTTTCTGTTTGGCCAAAGGGGCAGCACTGGCGCTAACATCGTTTGGTCTCACTGGCGAGCTGTGCAAACAGCAGCCTGCGACATTATTCAATTACCACGCGACGTTCGCCATTGTTTGCCATGTTGTCTGAGTCTCCCAGTCCACCCCCGGGCATAAATAAGGGTATGTGTGTGTCTGTGTGTGTGTGTTTGCAACAATGCTCATAAATGTTGACTTTTGCCGCATTGTATTGTTATTACCACATCACATCTTGCAGCTGCGATTGCACGCCCGGCTACACGGGTCCATTGTGTCAACACAGTCTGAACGAGTGCGAGTCATCGCCATGTGTGCATGGAATTTGTGTGGACCAGGAGGATGGTTTCCGGTGCTTCTGTCAGCCAGGTGAGTGGACTTGAATAGAAGTGACGTGCAGCTGCTGCGGTGTAGGGGCGGACTGACAGACAGTTGGGTTTGTAAAAAGCCAAGCACATGGGAGTTACTTTAACACAGCTTCGCCAATTACTTGCACATTTTTCAGTGTTCGGGCATTGGGACAAAGAGACAAAATCTTTTATTGAAACAAACTTATGTCAAAGCTGGCTACTCCGGGAGCCTTAATGTGATTTCAATTCAAAGTGCACTTGCGTTGAGTAAAGTAGCTTTTAATACAAACGGATGAAAGAATAAAACTATGTATACATATATATTTATTTGCTCTTTCTTGCAATAAATAAGCTTATCCCTAGGCACAAAACTAATGTAAATTGCAATGGCTTTTTTAATAAATGTATTATATTTATCTTTATTATTTATTGACAAAACTCGGGCTTTTGGTTAAAATTGCGAACTATTTCTTAAACTTCTAAGGAGCTCGCTCTGATCTTCATATTTAGTTCCTCATTCGCAATTTCTCCACAATATGCTCCTTAGTAACATTATATAGAATATTATATATAGAATTTATAATATAAACCATTTTAAAAACTTTCACAATACATATGTACTATTATTAAGTGTAAAAAGGATGAATAATAAGGCTTCTTATAAAGCATAATTTGTCAGAATTGTTTTATTTTGGTACTTCTTTGAGTCTTAATTCAGTTTTTAAATAAAGTCGGAACCAACATCTGTCAATGTTTAATCTCCTTTTACATTTTTGACACGCAGAAATTGTCAATTGAATTGTATTTTAAATATTACATTCCATACTCTTTAGCGCAACATTAAGTAACAAGCTGGCAATGCCTGCTCGTAAGCACGTTCGCAGTCCTTTACACGTATTTTGTTCTCAATATTTTCCTTTGAAAGTAGCTTAAGGAGCACTATACTATATATTAACAAGTATGTGGAGTTTCGTTTTAACATTTTAAATTTTCCCGACAAAAGTAACTACATATTCAATAATTTAATTTATTTAAGAGAAATTGCTCTTAACACTTGACGTGTTATATTTATCGAATTCCAAAGCATTTTAATATATGCCACACATCGAGAATTAAGCATTATATGCTGCGTTCAGATAATGCTTATGCACATCGTAAACATGCGCCGTAAAAACATATTAACCGCATTAAGATGCTCTGCCCTTATACCGAATCATACGAGTATATTACCATTTGGCGTTCAATTTCAGCCATAATCAAAATCTAGCGTCAGAATCTGCATTGAAGCTCATAAATTATTTCATTGGCACAAACACAATTTGCATAAATCGCACTCAATCACAATGAACAAGAGCGGCGAGAGGGGAGAGAACGGAACGGGCTGGCGGAAGTGCCTTCATTGCCTGAGTGTCGCAGCTAGTCAGCGGAAACCTTTTCACATTGAAATTTCCATTTCATTTATTTTTTACATTTACATTACGTGCTACACTGCGACGTCTACCTGCGAACACAAACAGCAACAACAACAGCAAGCACAGCAACTTGAAACCGGATTTTTCATTTTCTCATCTCTTCGCAGGTTTCGCCGGCGAGCTCTGCAACTTCGAGTATAATGAATGCGAATCGAATCCATGTCAAAATGGCGGCGAATGCATCGATCACATCGGGAACTACGAGTGTCGCTGTACCAAAGGCTACACAGGCAACCGTTGCCAAATAAAGGTGAGTAACGGGCAGCAGCAGGGATGAGGAGCAGAGCAGTGAAGAACAACATCACCAACAAAACAAAAAACAAAAAACAGAAAAATGAAAAACAAAAAAGAAAAATTGGCAGGCGCCAACGCCAACAATGGCAGCTGGCAAAGCAAATGAAATCGGTATTGATTTAATTTTCCTCTTGCCAATGTCCGTCTGTCATGTCCATGCTGACTGACGCAATGCACCACCTCCCTGCATACATACATATGTTTGCGTAAATATGTACAGTGAAGCCTTATTAAATACCATAGAAAGCCAAACTACTACTCTACATTTCGAAATAATTTGGCAATAGACGAAGAGAAAAGAGAAAGCGAAACTGATGAGAAGGGAATATCTCTAGCTCTATCAAATACCTATTCATGCAAAAGACATTTTATATAGAATGGGAAACATATTATTTCATATTTACATATTTAAATATCTATAAACATGGTTTTGGAACTTTTCTGCAGAGAAAGGCCGCATTTTGAAGGAAAATTTAAGACAGCAAAACAAGAAAAAAATCAATAAGATTATTCGTCCATAATAGTGTTACTTCAATATAAATTCAAGTCTATATAAAAGTAGGTAAATTAATTACTAAAATCTATATAGCACAATCAACAATTAAAACAGTTCCTTTATTTAAAAAAAATATATATATATACAATATACAATATAGCTGTTATCTTCCAGCTTCAATTGTAAGCGTTGTTCTTTTCCTCATATTAAATTGTTGGCATTTATTGTGTAAGGACAAAGTTCCTTTTTCCTTTTTATCACACGTCCTACGACAAGTAGCTGGGGGTATGCTTGAAACGACGCCTTATCTGTTCATATGTGAATCGAACAAAGGCATCGTGTTGCTCGGCTAGTTTCTTCTGGAGCACCGACTGATAGCTTTCGTGCAATTGATCCTCAAATTCCTGTAAAATGCCTTTGCATATAAGTTCCACCTGATTAATACTGAATAAAGCATTTTCTGGCTTGGCATTCTGAGGAAAATGTGGCTGCGCTACAGCATCTGGTATCGGGTCTTCAACACATTTCAGAGCGCCAGATGTGTGGTGTATTGGCATTTCTTCGCCATCACTTAATCTCTTCATTTCATGGCACAACTTGGCTGCCAATTGTCCTGCTGGCAAGTCCTTTACACCTAAAGACTCAAAGTGGTCTTCCGAGCGACCACTGGAGATATTGCAGCAGCGACGTTTCACTGGACCCTGATCCAGAAACTCCCATGCCAAGGCGCGCTTGCGTGTTGAACGATCCATTGCGATGACTTGAATGTATTAGTTATCTCTAAGAGTTGCGATTTTAATAATACAGTTACTGAAAGCGCTGATTTGTTAAATGTGTCTAGGACGATTTGGAAGTAATACTTGTTTGCTCATTTGTTGAATAATAAGAAGTTGTTATAAACTGTATTTCAAAGGCCACTGAAATGCGAAACTGTTTATGGCTTTCCAGAAAATAATTTTATTTTTGAACTTGTGCTAAGACTGAAATTTAAAGAGAAACTCTGATCTGAAGCTTCTAAAATAAAGTCCAAAATGTTCAAATATACTGTAAGAAATGTTTTTTGTCATCTAAAGGTGCAAAAAGTATAAAAAGTTCCGCTTTCCAAAAATCGATTTCTTAATGTAACTCCATGAATGAATTACGACACTCAATTCTTTATATCCCACAATCAGTTTGACCATTCGATTGTAGGTTTTACGGTACATTCATGCATATACTACATATGTATATATCTCTATACCAGTTACGTATGTTCCGCGAATAAATTTTTGAATACGTAATGAAGTTTGGCATCAGCATTGGCATCAGCGTTGGCGTCGGCGTCGGCGTCGGCATCGGCATCGCGCTAGCCTTCATAGCCCTTCTCGCTCCACTTTCACTGAGTTTGTTTTTTTTTTTTTTTGGCTTTGTAGGTTGATTTCTGCGCCAACAAACCCTGCCCCGAGGGACACCGTTGTATTGATCATGGAAATGATTTCAGCTGCGAGTGCCCGGGAGGTCGCAATGGACCGGATTGTAATCAAATGCCACGAACGGTAAGTCATGATTTATGTAACTAGAAGCTGTTTGGGGCACTTGCATGCATAGCAAACCCAACAAACCCAACAAACCCAACAAAAACAACAAAACACACAAGAACACACAACAACAACAACAACAAAAGCAATTGCTATTGGCCAGGCTGAAGTGCAGCCAGAAAAGTGTCGTAATTGTTGTGAACAATTTCATTGGCGCATTGTTTGTAAAATTCGATATTGTTTTTGGTTGTGATTGTGATTGTGGTTTTGTTGTTGCGGCTGCTGTTCTAAGCTGATTTACGACTTTAGATTGTAATAACAAGATGCAATCAATTTGATAGAAGCTGGACGTAATGAATTGCCAGCATATGGCCGCATCAGGGGGATATTAAGTGCCTTTAAATTGAAATTAAAATGGTGCTGCCTTGTTTCGAGCTGGATTAGTTGGTTGGGAAAACTGAAGTGAAATGGATAGTTGTGGTTTTGTTTCTGAATATGGAAGTAGACAGGTGTTTGTTTTCAAGGCTTTCAAGTTAAATATTATTTGGCATAATATCTATTGCATATCTTGGCTGTTAAATAAGAGAATAAATTATGGTTAGCAGCAGCCAACATAAATGCTTTTCTTAACAAGTTTTTTGATTTTCTTTGATAGAACGACCAGTTGAGAACATTTCAATGAAACTCAACTTCATTTTCCCACTTGAGAGTTGAGCATAATAAGCAGATAGATTGACAGTTCCTTTATGGTGGGCTGTCAGTTGATGTTCTGATTTGGAGTAACTGTCACGTCACATAACAGCCCTTAATGATGCCAAACTCAAATGCAGCCCATTATCCCCTTTCTCGCCTGCCTCAATTTAATGATGAACTGCCCCCTTTCTTACATTATGTCCAACATTTCAACGCATCAGAGGCTCTTAAGTTGGCCATAAACAATGTCAGACTGTTTTCGCAAAAAAATCCTGTTCCAATTTCTCAAATTGAAGTGCCCACTCCATTTATGTTAATGTTATTCAGGGCACGTTGGCCCAACTCGGCGTACAAATTAAGTTAGCCAGCCTCTTCTTGTTCGCCGACACCGACAAGACTACCAACTACAAGTAGTGGGCGCAGGCAGCCCCAACTCACGGACAAACAGCAGGCAGGCAGACAGACAGGCAGACAGGCACGCAAGCAGGCAGGCAGGCTCCGTTAACCGCTCACCACTTGTTAGTCACAGAACTAACTCACTTTAGAATTTAATAAAGGCTCAATGACTTGTTAATTTGCGCCAGAATAAAACTTGACAAAATTTGCATTAATTAAGCGTCAGGGCGCCATAATTAAAGCCTTGCACAATGATGGACATGGACATGACGCCAAACCGCCATCAGGGCCATCACAGCGTCAGGAAAATGGCAGAGATGGCGGCAAAGTTGACGCCACCATCGACTTTAATGGCGGCCGTGTAGTCGTCTTCTGTCTTTGAACTATGGAATTGCCAGAGCCACAAGCCGACAGAGAGAGATAGAGAGGGAGTGGTGGTGGGGTGGAGGGGGGGCACGTAGCTGCTTACGAAATGTGGCATCGGTGGCTGCGATGGTTATTACTGCCGCTCTAGCTGCTGCTCCGTGTTTGTCCTTAACTTGTCTGGACTGCCAACCACCAGCAAATTAATTACATTTCACTACGGCTCACCATTATGTGCGCGCTAATATTTAAAATTCCATTCACCCAACCACCCACACACACACACTGACACACCCATTGGACCATAAATAATTGTTAGTGTTAGTCAATGTATGTGCAGAGGCAACATTAACACGATAACTTTCAGTATTTTCAGCAGTGCAACGTGAATCCGTGCACCCATGGTGGCACTTGTTGGTCCAGTGGCGACTCCTTCTACTGCGCCTGTCGTCCCGGCTACACGGGCACAATGTGTGAGGGTAAGTTTTTACATTTTTTCCTCAACTCTCTGCCTATCACAGCCCCACAATCGGTGTACAACTGCACAGTGGCTTAGTTTTGGAATTAACAATATTTAAATAATATTAAAAATACCCATAATATGTACGTTTTATTTGCCTAAATAGTCGATGCAAATATATCATAAAATAAATGAAAATTTAGGTATGCAATTCCACTAAATAGAATTACACATATCCTGTATCCAAGATATTACAAAATACGTACAATTTTGATATTAATTGGAGTAGTAACTTTAACGACTCAGATGAGAAAGTATTTTTAATTTTCTAATGAACTCATTTGAAGCAATTCTATGGAAATTTAAATATTAATACTCAAATTTCTATTTAAAAGCATTTGCCATGCATGAGAAAGGCAACTTTTTTTTTATATATTTATATATTATTTATTAAAAAGTAAGAAGTTCCTTGAAATTATGTTATTGATTGCATTAATTGCATAATTAGTTCATCACTTTCTGCCATTTTTCATTTCTTAGGCACTTTCTCTCCAAAGAGAAGCAATTGCTAAGGCGTGATACAAATATTGAGAATTGAGGGAATAATAAAAGCAATGTTTTGTTATTTAAAATACAAGCAAACACATTTATGAACACCCGAAAGATACTTTAACGTTATGTCTAGCTTAATATTACTCAATGCTTACCTTCAGTTTATATCACGCTAATTGCTTAATTATCCCACTGTAAAGTGCCAGCCTGTTGTGGTAGCTCATTAACTTTCCTAAGCCAAATTGCTAAATATTTTTGCCCACTGGCGACCCGTTATCTACCTATGTACAGCGCCCGACACTATGCTATAATTTTGCGCTTCGCTTCTACTTACAGATGAGTTTGTGGTCGAGACCGTCGTAAGCTCAAGTGAATTTATCGTCGACGATGCGAACGCCAGAAATTTTAATGACAAAACTTTTGGTTCATCGGTTGTGCTTAAGAGTCCCATTGAATTGCATAATGCATATTTTGCTGCCGGCGTGCTTGCGGCCGCCATTTTCATCGTTGCCGTTGTGGTAAGTTCTGGTGGGCTGCGGTGAGGCAGACAAATGGGTAGTACGAGTGTTACGAGAGGTACGAGTAGGGCTGACAGGGTTGACAGCCACAATTTGCATTCGCCTGCTGTAAATGGCAAAAGGCAACATGGTCTAGACTTTATGCATGCCGGCCAACAAGGAAATTGTAAACTGTGGTTATGCAAAGTGCACGAAATGGAATTGCATATTCATTACGAAAAGTTGTTGCCTTCCCCGAAGTTCAATCGAGCGATCAAAGTTAAAGCATATGCAAATTTAGGCTGAAAATGGAACACGAAGCAATTCCTGCCACACATACAGAGGCTTCAATTCTACGGAACATTTATAGAATTCCATTTCAACAGGAGATGAAGATGAAATTGAAGAGAATTCCAGTTGACTCTTAGTCTACGGCACACAAATAGAGAGCAATTAGAACGCAATTTGCAAAATAATGCAGAAATTAATGAGAAAATAATTGAGCGCATTTAAAAAACTGTATAATTTGATGGCTAGTCTGGGGGCCCGTGCATAGAATATACCTAAATTTTTACAAAGTATTTGATGACAATGAAATTGTTATTCCATTCAATGACAACCTGCCACAAATGAGTAAAAGCAAATAAAACAGTAATTGCAAATCAAAATTATGTGGCGAAGAATAATAATATTAGTGTCAATACAATTGCCTACTCTAGGCAATTGAAATTTAATTAAAAAGGGTTTGAAAGAAAGAAATATATCAATAGGCAAAATAATAATGTCAGCACAATTATTTTTATAAAGGAAATTTTTAAATTCAATTTCAAGTTATTTTCCTTTTTTGTTATTTAAGTTAGACAGCAAGTATATATATTTGTAATAATAATACATGAATGCGTTTGCCGTTATATTAAAAGCTCTCTCAGAGAGGCGGAGTAATAAAAGCAATGAGAGTAAAGAGTACTTACAGCTGAAGATCTTTCGTCTGTGGGCTGCCAGCTGAAAAAAAAAGCACTTTACGAGAGAGAGAGAGAGAGAGACGGGCGGGCGGCGACAAAGCAAGTTACTGTATATTTTTTCTCTTTTATTTTTGTTGGTGCATTTTTTGCTGTCCATGCTTCGGCATATATTCACTCATTTTTATATGAAAAAAAAAAAACTATAAGCAGAGCAAAAAAAAATTATTTCACTACTATAAAAATGCAGCTCCACACCTCAACTTTCTTTACAAAAACTTGGCTTGTCATACGACGAGAATTAATAAGCCATTATTATTATTGCAAGAGGTCAGTGAAGCGAAACACGGCGACTGTCGAATTAAAGGCACGGCGGTGTACTGTCTCCTGATCCAGCATTATGAATGCGCCGGTGCGGAGCTTTTCGAGCAGTGCGCTTAGACTGCACTAGTGGGGCCAATTCTGAGCACAAGAGAGCACCCTTGTTAGAAAAGAAAAACAAATATAGCCTAACCGGACAGCACCACAACTTACTAATGAGGAAGTGTATATAGATGGGCCTCTGTAGCTTCAAACGCTCGGTCTTAATTAAAATTCTTATAAAATTTGTGTGCATGACACAAACAACTGTCCGGTAAATACAGTGCCTGGTCAGTGACTGAATGAAAAATTGTATTTACACTATTACTTTTAGTGCTTTTTAAATAAACGAGTATATGTATATACTGAGAACAGGCAGCCTTTGCCTACTTCTGGGCATACTCTTATAGAAGAGTGGTTTAAATAAATGAAAAATATCCCTATCCTATGTAACACTCATGTACTCTTTAGTGTATTTCGTAGAGTAGCTGTATTTACTTTTAAAGTTCGCTTTAAGTTGAATAAACGTCTACAATCAACGAACGGTAGCCCCCTTTAATAAAATACACACACACTTTGAAGTGCTTGATTAAGTTTCGAGGGACTGCATTGTTGATATCTGTTTTATCGGCAACATCTACAACAACACTACAACGACTAACCCACTTTATTTCACTCTCTTCTCCCCCGACTTTCTCCCCGATTGTGCTTGCAACAATGTCTTTCTTTTGCAAACCAGGTCACCATTTGTCACTGCAAGGTCAATCAGACGTATCGCAAATTCTCCACACGTTCCACATCATTCATCCCCATTTTGGGCTTCAATCGTCGACCGAAAATGCAAGGAAAACTAAATAAGCATTGGCTAAGTGGCAAAGGTCTTGTAGGCGGTGCTGCTGCTGGCGCTGCCACCGGAACCACCCAACGCTCCTCCGCCGCCGCCCCCTCCCAGTCGACGCGTCATCTGCCCTCTCAGCCGAACGGCAGCAGTTCCCAGACACAGACCACGCTGGGTGGCCAATTGCACGAGCGCCCCTTCCAGCGACACTTGGCCATGAATCTGGAGAACGACATGTACTATACTGTGGACTTTGCGGAGAACTCGCAGCACTCTCCATTGATACAGTGAGAAAGAGCTGGTGGCCGAGGAGATGGGGGCTGGTTAGTAAAATTTACGCGCGAGCGACTTTTGCACGAGTAACTTGAGCGGATGTGTAATTATAATGATTTTTTGCTACAATATTTCAAATATTGAGAATTAGGCGAGTCGGCAGATATAGTACATACTCGTACGAGTATATGTATTGATAATAACTAATGCGTAAACAAAAATTAAAACTGAAGTGTGGGTAAAATAAACTTAATGATTATCATAACTACTTACAACTGCGCTATTATATTTATGACTAAAACATATTTATTGCGTAATAGGCTTACGAGTAATTCTATTTACCTAAAGTTTATTTGCTAAGCACACACACACACACACACTCACACGCACACATACAAATTCGTACACCCAAGTTTCGATTACAATTTAAATTGGCTGTTGATAATAATTATGCAACTCTTGCATTGTTATTGTTTAATTAGATAATACACAAACACTCACACACACGCACACACACGCACACACACACACACACGAGCATGCATTGAGACTGTTTCTGCTATCAATGAGATGGATTTTAGTGCGAGTACCGCTTACACCTAATTAATGCAATTTATGCACATTTGCTTGTTGCTTTAAGCTTAAGTTAAACACTTTAAGTTCGCCAAAGATATAAAAAGGGCACTATATGAATGAAAATATAATCAAAACTGAACTCTATTATTTCATTTCATTTACCACAGTTTGCTTCCCTTTTATGAATTTCTCAGTACGGTTAAGTTGAGCCTGCTTTTCGACATACGATTAAGCTAGGATTTTTTTATATTTTGATAAACACAATTTCCTATCAATAGCACACTCATTGATCAAATCTGATTGTGGGAATCATTACAACTGCTTTCCACAAAAATAAATTGGTGTTAATAGACCTTCATGTTCATTCTTAAACGGAAATTAAATTATATCTGTAAAATCTGGATTAAATCTAGACAGACAGAGCCAGCATGATTTCAAAAAGAAGATTGCTTATGTCTATTGAAGTGTATTATACTTTACACACTTAGAGGCACTATCGTACAAAATTAAACAGCAAACTTCAACTTAAATACGAATTTATATATTTTGCACGATTGGCATCTGAATTCAAATATTAAATTAATTTCCTCTTTATTATTTTTAATCAAAATCATACACGCTTATATACTTAGCAAGTCAAATCAAAATTAGACACATCTATGCATTCCACATTTAAATCACTAAAGCTAATTAATTATGTTTATCAACTAATAAATTAATATTGTTTGCATTCGCGTGCAATTTATGGCCGAACTATAAATTAAATTATCAAAACAGTCAGGTTTACTGTCAAATGATGCAACATTCATTTCTAATTAAATAAGCTCTCAAAAAAACGAATATATATTGTATTTTCATCGATATGCTCGCATTATTTTCCATTCAACATTAATTAGCATAAATTAAAATGTGGCACTAAAGTTAATAACTTTGTTGTTAAAATGTGGTCAGAAATTAATGGGTAGAAAATATCTTTTCAAATTTGCATAATGCATCTGAACAAAGAGTGTGTGTATGTTTATGTGTGTGTGTGTGGGCATTCTGACAACTACATTAAGCATATTGTTGGCTGATATGCTAATGGCAATGCAAATGGAAAAATGTTGCACTCAATAATATTAACAAAAATTACAAAAATTGAATCTATAAAAAGAATAAGCTTGGCAGCAATTCCATAAATAATAAATGTGCATTGAATGGAAATAAGTTTGTAATTAAAATGATGTATTAAGTAATGGATGACATTTAAATCAAATGAAAAAAAAGAATGGCAAGCTAAATAAAATGAAAGAAAAACAGTGGCAGAGCTGTATGAAAGCAAAGCAAATACATTTCTAACAGAGGTGCATGAAAAAAACGAAACAAAAAATATATGATGTAACAAAAACAAAGCTAATTGCGCTCGCAACAACACAAACAAACACAAAAATCAAATGAGAAACCAATGTAGTTTTAAGCAAAAATGCAAAATGAATAAAAACAAACATGCAAAATTCCAAACTTGTTCTTTTACTCTTGTTTATAAGCCTGCATTTCATAGAAAACTTGGCTTTGTTTAAAATCCAACAATGAACTAAGTTTTTGCAGCAAAATTCTAGAAGTTCGTTGAATTGCCAAGGTGAGTATATTAGGTAGTCGAGTACGTTATGCTTAAATATTATCAAATTCATATAACGAAGCTCAAGAAATGAGCATCTGTTATGATATCTGTGGAATTTGTAGATTTGTTTCGAAGAGATTGGTGCATTGTCTCCCTTTTTTTTTCGACTGAATAGCAGTCGTATTTATAAAACAACTTTTCGAATATTAAAAATTAAAACATCATTAAAGCTTACATAGCTGTTGTACTACTTTAGCAAGGTCTTGTAATTTTGTTATCGAATAACAATCGATTAATAAAGCATAAAATAATTTTAATTAATTTTGCTTAATTTATTTATAAAACATAAACAAGTTCTTTAGCTTGCATTTGATTTAAGAATTAAAATCTTCTTGGTTGTGTTTATTATTTATTTTGTTTATATTTATTCAACAATTGTTTATTAATTTGCATAATTTATGTAACATAATACACATATAACTAACAATAATTTTGTATTTGAGTTAACCACACACAAAAAACATATAGGCTTGATTGCTAATTGATTTCAAACGTCCTTCTGCTTTTGGTTTAATTTCATTTGTGTTTTCTGTAATATCACTCATACGCCGCCGTGCACCCAAATGCAGCTATCAAGTTGCATCGGTTTTGTCATCGTCATGCGCCTTATCGGCATGCAGTCCCTTTCCGTTGCCATTTGTTTGGGACTGGGCCTGTGTGGGCGTGGCTGGCCTTGCTTCCGTTGCTGTCTCCTCGACACTACCCGCAACTGTACTTTTGGATGCGTTTAATTCTGTCTCCTCGGGTATTACCTTGCGACCCTCTTGATCCTGTTAGCGAGACGAAATAAAAATTGAGAGGTTGTTGGTAAGTAACTCCAAGTACTGTTTATTTGAAAAAACATGCCAGGACATGCTTAAATAAGTCTCAATATATCATTCGGCTATTTTCACATGCAGTTCATACACAAATGCTAATAAGGAGTAACAAGTAATAGTAACAAGTAATAGGGAGTAACAATTTATATTTACACGCGATCTGACGACACAATTTCATTTCCAATATATGTAAAACAAAACACAATATCTTACTATCTCTAGCAGTTTAAATAATTTCTTATTTTTATTTATTAAAATCTGACGACACACTTTAATTTCCAATATATGTAAATCAAAAGACAATTTCGTACTATCTCTAGCAGTTTAAATAATGTTTTTTTTTATTTATTAAAATTGCTTGCCTAAAAGCTATTTTCAGTCAATATTTATCTTTCCTCTTAAAGCTACTCAAAACTCTCCACATGCCCTATTTAAATCGACAAATTAGATCACTCTGTTGCAGATTTATATAAATATTTGGCTTTCCTTTAATCTGGTCAATTACATTTTCTATTTATTTTTCATTACTATTAAGTCTGAATTCTAAAATCGTTATCAAGTTCAAATTAGCTGCATTGCAGCATGTGCGTTAGAATGTACATTATTTAAATATTTTTCACTTTATTACCGCCATTATATGCACACTGAAACAGTAGAAAATGTTTAATGAATACTTGGCTTCAGCCAAGTGGAAGAATAAAATGAGTGCAGCTTATTTTCTCTTACATAACGAGGATAATAAAGGCAGAATAGACGAAGAAAACAGGCCAGAATAGAGACAGCTAAGAATATATAAATAATAGTCTGACAAATAATGTTATTATTAAATAGCGCTGCAAATATTTATTAATAGAGTTGATTGCGAAGGAATAAAAACACTCACACGCTATAGAATAGGCTTTTTATTATTTCATATATAGTCCAACAATTTATAACAGCGCAAATATAGAGACTCTTATTAATTTACACACCCGACTAACATATCGACCCACCTGTACCCATTAATTATACTTTTCTATTACGGATTACTTTCCTAAAAAATTGGTGTTTAATACAGCTTTTAAAAATTGTTTCCCGACCACGTTACTTAATATATATAGCATTATTGTATCATTAAAAAGCAACGTCTTTGCTTCTTCCACCTTTCAAAATTAACAAACAAGTAAGTCAGCTTTAGTTTTATTTTTTTACAAAATTTCCTTACATAGCAATTTTTACCGTACCACATGCTGTGTGTGAATTGGCAATTGAAGGCTAAAGTAAATACGGGCTTGTACAATAAAAGCAAATAAAAATCAAATATAAAACCAATTTCATGCCATCCATGAAATTTAACTAACCACCTAAAAGCAAAGCAAAACTCTGTAAAAATAAAATCAAAAATATGCAAAAAATAAATAAACACCCATCATGCTTTTTGAAGTGCTTTGCCATGCATGTAAGCTTTTATAAACAAACAAATTTACTTAAACATGCATATAAGCCTCGCTTTGGGCATATTAATATGTACGAGTATTAAAAAATGGAAATGTCAGAAAAAAAATATCGTTTTAATTGATTGCGAGAAACTGGCAATGCACAAACGGGATTTTCCACTGAGTGGCAGTGAAAGGAAATAAATTGGAAAAACAAAAATGGCGGGAGGGGAAATGCATTGTGTATTCAAAACTGCTGCTGCAGTTTTTCGCACAAAGCCTGCTTCCAGAGCTCCTACCCAATAGTATATGTACGATATATATAATGATTGTTGTTGTTGTTTTTATTGATGCATGCATTGTTGGCGGGCACTTCCACACCATCAAGCTTTCGAAAATCGCTTGTATGTATATCGAATGCTCGCTCGCCCGCTAGTTTTAATACAAAATGCAAAAACTACTCAACTTTGCAGCTGAGTGAACAAGCCCGGCAAACTCTCCTGCACGCTACATGCTCATATATCTAAGGTCGTTTCTATGTAGTGCCTTATGTGCGCATGAGAGACCTGCACTGATTCTATTAAAGCCGGAATTAACAAATTTGCAGAGATTAGCAAACTCGATTGTATTGGTGGCCAAGAAATTTCATTTCCACAGAATCGTCAAAATCGTCTTAGAGTGCAAGACTGCTTTCATTAAAGTAAGAATAAGTATAATTTTGGTTGGTCAGTGGCCGACGCACAAACTGTCTTTTATTCTCCATATTTATTGCATTTTACAGCACTTGTGAGCTCCAGTTGTGCCTGCAGATCTCTAATACGCATGTCTATGAAGATATAATGTTCATCGGTATATTACGCTTGCCAGAAAATCAACGTTGTACAATTTTGAAAGGGCTTTGTTTCATTTTGCCAGTCGCTTTCTTTCCATCTGGTTGCCTCGTTCTAGATCTAGTACCATCTTTTGTCTTGTTCCGTTTCTTTTTTTTTATCTTTCTGCTCTCCACACGTCACAATAAAAATTACTTACGCGCAATTTCGCGCACATTTTTTATGTGAGGCGCTTTGTGCGCATTCTTTTTATGTTTCCTATAAATGCGTGAATGTATGTATATGTGTTTATGTGTGTGTATGTGTGTGTGTGCATATAAAGTTGTTGCTGCAAAATCAACAATGACAAATGTGGCCAGCAACAGCACCAAATTACGTGCATTCGTTTTATATCGTATAAATATTTCTTCCGCCTCACACATCGATAAATCGTTTCATGGCACAAATAAAAATAATGCCAACGAAAATGTGTGGCGAAAACTTTTGCGCAAAAGAAATAAATGTCTAGCTCAAAAGAGCTGGAAGATGGCACATTTTATACAATAAATAAATAAATAAATAAAGTTGGGGCAGGCAACAGGAAATGTTTTGCCCCGGCATGGCAATGCCAGTATTTATGTAAGCACAGTGCACAGCACAGTGTAGCAACCTTAGTTGCTGCATCTAAAGTTAACATTTAAAATTAAATAAGAAATGCATCTACAAGTACTATGTTTGTCTGACTATTAGGTTGTTTGTTCAAGTAGCGCTTGTACGGGTCAGGATTGAAGTGGTTCCATAGTCGCTTAGCTCAAATTTAAATTGAATTACACTTTTTCCTAACTACCAATTTATCAATTAGCCATATAATTAAATAATATTAAAAGTGTAAGAGAAATATATGTCAGATGAATTGTTGATTAAGAAATGCAGTAGTTCTAAAACTTATAATCTATATATCTAATGTCATTTTGATAATGAATAAAAATAAATAATAATTTTCGTAAATACATTTAAAAAAATAATGGCTGGCTAGGTGGCAAGGCTTAAAAATGCTGTTTAAAGAATATAAAAGTAAAATCCGCAATTGTAAATTCATAGAAATGGGGGTCATTCGATTCAAAAACTAAAACAGCTTTCGGATTATACTAATTTCCTGGGATTGTTGTAATGTTGTAATTCCTGCTCCCTTCCTACCTTAATGGGCTCTTGCAAGCAAGCAATAGACTTTCTGCTTAGATTTTTGCGTATAACTATAACTAACTTAGTTTTAATTAAGTTTTAGTTAACTTATAACTTAGTTTAAGTTTAAGTTACGGGCAGGTCTCTCATGGATATCATTATTATTTGGTCTTTTTAATTCCACTCTATTACCAGATCCTAATAATTTGGCATTTAAAGCTTGGCACACTGTGCCTTCAATGCTCTCATTTGCTTCGAACGTTCTTTCGTTCGCCCGCTTGTTTGTTTGTTCTATTTTATGTTGTTGCTTTTTTTAAGAAAGCACAGCACAGGAGTAAAACATTTTCAGTCCCGCCCCACCCACAAAACAAATTGTTGCTTTTGCTCGCACATGGGAATGGGGAATAGCAGCAGCTGCTATTGTTATTTTTTTGTCAACTTGTATTTAGTCGAACAACAAAGCGTTGGAGTAAAATGAAAACAAAATCAAAACCCAAGAAAAATAATCTGCCATCATTTTCTAGGATACGTTTAATGTACACGTTTTTTTTGCTTAGCTTCAGAAGCGATGCTAGCTTAAAAGTAGAAAGCAGAAAAAACTGATGCGCATTACCAAAAGTTAAGTGAATTTTTGTTTTTAGTAAGAGAGTGCACAAAATTTTTAACTAAACTCAACTAAGCATGCAAAGCACAAAACGAGCGTGCCCATAAAAACAAGTGGAGCCAAAAGTCAAATGACGCAAGTGAAGGTTTAAATTCAACGAAATAACTTAATACCCTAGTGGGTTGGTCGGTCGGTCGGTCGCTTGGTTGGTTGGTTGGTTGGTTGGTGCTGGAAAAAGAACAAAAAAAAGAGAATGGAAGCAATACCAAACCGATGCACAAACAGCACCGGGAGCAGTCAGCAGTGCAAAAAGTCCATTCGAGTCTCCACACATGCCATGCACTCTTCTCGGCCACTACGGTTCGTGTTTGTGTTTGTGTTCGTGTTTGTGTTTGTGTGCTTAATGCTGCATATTTTCGGGCGCATGCATACAAATGCCACAGGCAAACACACACAAAGACACAAAACACAGAGACACCACTGTACACCCAGTAGGACTTCACAAGCAACTACCATAAATGGCATTAATTTTGCATTATTATACTGACAACAAATTGTTTCACAACAAAAAATTGCTCAAACAAATTCAAATTGAATATTTATTGGATTAATAAAAAACATCTTTGTTTAAACTCACATAAGTTTTGGGCTGAAAGGAGGGAAGTTACAATCAGTAGAATGGTAGTACCCTTGTTATAGAAAATGTCAAAATCTTACGAATCGAAAAGAAGCTGAGCACGTTCTACTTGAATTTTATAAAAATAGCGCCATTGCTCTATGAGTTTATATATATGAACCGAATGCTGGGACTAATAGAGCTAATGATATTTTATTTGTCATCAAGCCAAGAATCGATCGCTTTTAGTAAAATATTATTATTGCTTAATACAACAATAAAGTCATCAAACTATATCTGCCATCAATGGTATTGTAAAATTAAGCTACAAATTGAAAAGTATTTCTAAGAACCACAAATTTCATTTCTCATTTCTGTATAAAAGTAAATAGAAAATCGCATGTGCATTGAAAGGAATAGTAGAATAAATAGTTTTAGCATGCAATCTAGTCCTACTGAGTGTATAGATATGTGCATATGGCATGCCTGCAAGCAATTACATATGTATGTTTATAGTTCGTATACATTCTCCTTTGTTTGTTGGTTTGTTGGCTTGTACATTACCATTAACATGGAGCTGGGTATTACGCTTAAATCCACAGCGGGTATTGAAGTTAACAAACCACTTGGATACTTTTTCATGCGGCTCGGAAAAAATGTTGATTCCACGCCCTGTTTTGTGTGAATGCAATTACTTTTTTTTTTAACTTACGGGCACAAAAACGTCTCTGCACACTAAATGGCATAAGTATTATAACGGAAACCAAACAAAAAATGCATATTTAGAATGTACAATTTAAAAAGCTACCTAAACAAGTGTTTTCATAATCAAATCATAAAACACATTACTGTTTTGAAAGTATATTTTATATATAAATGATTGATTGATCCAATGCAAGAGTTGCTTCAAAGAAATAAATAAAAAAATTATTAAATATTGAACTCCAAATTTGTTTAAATAAATCCTTAACTATGTCTTACAAGAACACTTTGTTCTAATGTTTACATTCCAGTATGCTCGAGTTGACAAACAAATTAAACTTTGTTTTCTCATCCTATTGCTAAAATCTAAAATCTAATCGCGATAATATTCAAACATCTGACTAAGCTTGCTAGACTAACGATGAATACTCTACCCATTTTTCGAGTACTTTCAAACTCGGATATCGTGGTAAGACTTTAGAGTTGTTTCTCAAATAACTTATGCCGCTTAGTGTTTGCATATAAATAGGCACACACACACACACATTCATGCGCACATACACACACACACACATAAAGTTGCTTATATCGAACTAGCCACATAGGCACTGCAGGACATGTCGAGGTCTGTCGAGTACTGAGAAATTTATTCTGCACAAAAGAAAATAAATGAAATAAAAATGACTGCTCGAACTTTTGGCCAGCGGCCGGCAATTTGCAAACATTCCCAACTCCCTGCTGATTTCCCTCTGTGGCTCTATACATATGTATCTATGTGTGTATACTCGTACACATATAGTATCTGCTGTGTAGAAGTGTATGTGTGATTGGCATAGCTTTTGTTTTTGCATTTCCCGCTGATGTGTGGCAGACACATGCGTACAACATACTCGTATACTACTTATACTTGTATGTTGGCATTTACTGGCCCGACTTTATGTGCGTATGGCCAACTGTGCTCCCCACTTGCGATCTTTATAAATTCATTAATTTGTTATGCTTTGCTCATATTTTGTGCTTGCTGCACATTATTAAAAGCATTTTGCTTTCTGCTTTTTCGCTTTGCCACTCAACTAGTGTTTGCTGTTGTTGCTTCTTGTATTATGCGTTTATTGAATTACAGTTTCAAGTACGATTTGTGTTGCAGTTGCCATAAAGAGCATGGCAAAGCAAACTTTTGAAATTAATTACGAAGTTGACCATGGCAAGTTTTTAATTGCAACAGCAACCAACTACTGTGCAACAACATTCCTGCCAAAGCTCCTCGTGACTCATGGCCGAAGCAGCATAATGGAAAAAATGATTTAAGATGCTTGTCAAAGTGTTTCGCTGCTTTGTGCATTCACTTTCAACTAGAAAGTTAATGCATTATTTATGCATTTAAAATGTGGCGTTTTTAGCATTTTTATTAAATTTCTACTCTTTTTCAACTACAATCGATTCTCACTTTTTTGACGACTGTGTTGAGGCAAACCACTCATCAGGAGAATAAGTCCACTTGTCCGATCTTAATTGCTTTCCTTTTAATATTTCAACAGGGATATCACATTTGCTGTTCAGCAGTTTTTCGGATCTTTTTCCACAGAGCCGCTTTATCATAGGAAATAAATCAAGTTTATTTATGGATATAATGTTTTTAAAAATTATATAAAACGACATTCTTTTAGGAATAACTTGTGGGTTTTGTTCCCAATAAGATGTGTGGTTACTGACTCTTTATATAAACATTTATGACACTGCAAAAACATTTAAAAAGTTATTTTTTATATTTTAACTGTGATTTATATATTTTTCTAAAAAAAAACATTATATTAGGGTTCATTTATTAGTTTGGTGGGCCGCAAAGAATTTAAAAATAACAAAAAAATGTATTAAAAGTTTTTTTTTACCATTTTTTATGGTAAAGTTTTAAAATGGCATTTCTTTTAGACAATGCATTGTTTCATATTAATTGGAGTTATAACTAAAATGCTATAAAATCCACGTCAAGTAAAAAGTTCGATTAAAAAAGTAATAAATTATAATATTTACTTTTGGAAAAACTAGTTCAAGCTTCACTAAGTCAGGAAGTATGAATAGTGGATAGATCTTACTTCATTAAAATTAACTGTCTTTCAAATTTTCTTATTGAATATATAAGTAGAATATTCGCATTTAGGCAAACGTCGTTCGCTAAATAACTAAGGCTCTGCGTTTTATACAATCATGGGGCCGCCGACCCCTGGTCTTTGAGGAAAATCCAATAAACTAGAATCGGACTATAACTTGAGGCACTTTACTGTGCTTCACACATCAGTGGGGGCGCAAACAAATAGCGCTGAAGTCAGCACATACTACGTTCTTCTAGCAAACAAATAGGCAACCTCGATTCGGTTCGGATTGGCAGTGAATGGCTGACGTTCAAAGGAGACTGGGTCAACAAAGGAAACAAATGCCGAATACACAGGCGGATGCAGTGGCGCATAACATCCGGTTGTCAGGACAGCAAAAAAATCGCGGCAGCGGCCACAGGAAATAGCAACAGCAGCAGCAACAGCAGCAATGAGAACACAATTGAAGGAATTGAATATGCTATCGTGAATGTTGTTGGGGCAGCAACATCTGCGGCAGTTTGATTTTCTTACAAAAGGAAGAAAGAAAGGAGCAGAAAATGAAGAGTACACGACAAAGAGAGCGCTTCAAACAGAAATCAAAACAATCGACAGCAATCAGCATTTATGCTGTACGAGTTGGGCTCCGAAAGACCGCAAAAGCGCGCACACACGCACATTCACTCGCATCCAAACAACAGACATACAGAGGGATTTATAAATAGGAGCTCTAGTACTCACCTCCAGGACGACACCCTCTAGGGCTGGCTGCGAAATGTTCTTCAGATTACTGTGATTTAATTTTGGGGCACTGTCGGCACGATTGCGACCCAATGATTGATTTGACGTTTTGTTATCGGCTTTGCTCAGCATTGAATTGTTCGAGGACTTGTGATTGATTTCGAGTGCGGAGCGCAGTATGTCGACCTTCGAGGCGCTCCCAATGTTGCCGTGCTTGGGCACTCCTCGCAAGGACTCCACATTGTAGCTGCTACGGCGCACTGACAAATGGTCGTGTATGTCCGCCTGTAATGCGGTGAAAGAAATAGGAGAGAGGAATGCGGACTGCTTTTAAAGAATTTCCAATTAAAACCCGCATGATGTCAGCACTCACCCGCGAGCCGCGCGGCAACGATGACAGACTGCCAATCTGATTGTATTTAATCATTAGACTTAAACGCTCTAGGGACATAGAAGTGCCCTGCTCCTTCGTAGCTGGCTCCGTTAATTTATCCGTTTCGCCATTCTCCACAGCCTCCTCCTCCTCCGAGTCCTCGGTCGTGTGATCGAATTTCCGCAGCCAAATGAGATGTAACAGTCCGTAGGCGATGCCACCCACTACGGCCAACAGGCCCATATAACGGAACGCATCGCGCGTCCCAAATTGTCCGATGAGTAGGCCCCCCGTAAAGGAGCCACTGCCGCGACCTGCCGAACAGAATGAACAAATGATGTTTATATAGGTTTCAATATCTTAAGTACTCTCTGAACACACAGATAAGAAATTAATCTCTTTCTACTCCTTACTTTTTTTAATTAGCTCTTGAGTAGAATTAAATATCCTCCTCTACTTACTATTTGTTTGGTTTGTTAGGTCTATAATGTCTCTGACCACATATGGCTGTGAATCGGGACATAGCTGGCCAACTGGCAAATAAAATTCCCCCAACGGGTCGGAGGCATTAATGAACGTATAGTTTTTTCTAAGGCTTTCTTATCTTTTCAGTTTTAATTATAATGTTGTTTTAAACATCTTCATTTTAATTTTTAATATTGTAATATATATAATATGGTAATATTGTAATAATTTTAATAGAACACATCTTCATTTTAATTTTTAATATTAAAATATATATAAGATGGTAATATATATTATAATAATTGGCATAGAACACATCTTCATTTTAATTTTTAATATTATAATATATATATAAGATAGTAATATATATTATAATAATTGGCATAGAACACATCTTCATTTTAATTTTTAATATTGTAATATATATATATAAGATAGTAATATATATTGTAATAATTGTAATTGTAATAGAATGTATCGACAGCACTACTTGTAGATTTATTAAATACATATATAAAAAAATGAAAAAATATTCTATGAAGTGCCTGCTTTTATGGCATTTCTTCAGATGCAATAATATCTACAATATCTCGAAACAGCATGATAATAATCCACTCATATAATAGTAAACGTTTTAGCTTCTCAAATAGCCTGCCCTCTGAACAATTCTTTCATTAAATACATTAAAACAGCTAACAATTTCTTTATCCAAAATCGTCCTTTAATTCTATTGGCATTTCCTTTTTAGCAACGCCGCAGCTCATTTATAATTTTTTACTCACCCAAGCTGAAATGGGCCATGCCCAGCACACCAATCAGAGTGGCCAATAGACTTTTTGGCGCCAATATGGAGCAATAAGTGGCAGCTGCCACCCACATGAGGTGGCAGGAGAGAGACTCCATCGCCTCGAAGGGAAAGCACCACCAGGCGTTCCTAATGCAGAGATAGAGAAGGAGAGAGGAGCACGCACCAAATGACATTAGTGGCACATGTCTGGCATAAGGATAACACTTACTCGATGAATGAATAGCCCACCAGGCGACCAGCATGCGAGAAGAACGCAATAATAATCAAATTAACGTGTCCAAAAATGCGTGTGATTTTCTCGGCGCCATACAGGAACGGTATGCTGCTCACGGTGCCGACGGTGATTGTGATGCCTACCGATGGATGCGATGGACCAATTCCATAAAAAAGATGACTAAATATATTGCTGATTGCTTATGACTTACCCAGCAGATAGTTGGGCGCGCCCAGCTCCTTGAGATAGAGGAACAGAAAGCTCTCAATGAAGCCCCAGAAATTGCCCAAAACAAATAGAAATATGATAAAGGCAATCACATGCGGCATTTTCAATAGATTCCACAAATCCCTAAACACATTATCGGCTGGCAGCTTCTCGCCCAACGGCATCATCAGCACAGACATCGTGGATATGACCAGAAGCACATCGTAAGTGTAGAAGGCAGCTGAGTAGTCCGTATAGCCGAGGCCACGCGACGAATAGTCAATCATGATGCCCGTGATGGGCGAGAAAATAGCCATGCCGATGCTGGAGAAGAGACGCTCTCGTCCAAAGTCCCCACCAAATTTCTCAATCATGGTTAGGGCTATGGGATCCATTATAGTCACGCCGGCCGATAACATGGTTGTGGCCAAAAATCTGCGCAAAGAAGTGGCAAAGAAAGGTAGAAATTTGTAAAACTAGAAAGCTTAATTGCTACTTACCTGAGCAAAAAGTATATCCAGAAGATTGTATCATCTGTCTCCTTGTAGTCCGGCGGACATATCTCTGGGGCGTTCATCACGAACGTGCAACGCTGCATCATGCAACGCACGGCATCGCTGCTCACATAGGAAATGTTCGTCCGTCTCACCAGTCCGCCGCAACGCAGGTCCAGCTCCTCCAAATCAGTCACATTGATTTGCATTTGCCACAAACGTTTCTCGCCAAAGCGCTGCTTGATGTCCGTGACAGTCTCGTTGTCGTCCTGTTCGATTTCCATGCCCAGTTGTTCGGTGGGATCAGCCAGATCAGGATGCATTTGCAGCATAAAGTAGGTGGAATCGGCATTCTCGGAATGCACCCAGCTACTAACTGTCGGCTCCTGACTGGCACTTGTCCGGTCCGTGGACACTGCAATGCATATAGAGCAGAGAGTTTATCACATAAGCTGACAGACAGCAAGACAGACAGAGCGACAGACAGGGCGACAGACAGGCAAATTGCTTTAGCCCCAGGCGCTCCAAGCACAAAACTCGTGCATAGCCTACATCCTGTTGTTGCTGTTGTTGTTGTTGTTGTTTTAGTTCTTTGTTTGTATTCGTTTTTGTTGGGCCGTTGCACATTCTACATTCTACCAACTACATGTCCAAATTGCATTTGTTCAAGTGTCAAAAGTACAGCGTTAAGCCCTGAGGTTGTTATTCTAAGGCGAGCCAACATTATGAGTTACGCATTTTGTTGGCAGTTTGTGGCAGGAAATTAGCATGAGGCTCTTAAAATAGAGCGAAAACATGTATGCCTACAAATTACTTACCTCAAGCCCAGAGATGAAACAATAATTGCGCAAAAAAAATAAATGAAATACAGTTTAAAAACTGGAACTTGTCGAGCTTCGTTTAAAGCTTTAAACAATTATTTGAGGAAAATAAACCCATGCTGTTGAGCTAGAATGCAATTACTTTGTGAATATTTTCAAACTCCAAATGGAAGGATAAACCCAGTCTGAATAGAGATTCACTCTAAGCAGAAATATCACACAAACAAAACGGGAAAACATCGGGCTACCAAATAAAACCGTTCAGAATTATAAAAAAAAGTGCTCGACTAAGCTGAATTGTGAGTTAGAAAGACATTTTCAAAGAGTGGTTCGGCTCTGAAGCCTTGAAAATATAATTAAAAGTGTGATTCTGGGCAATCGGTTGAAGAAAGTCGGTCACCAGAAGTGGCTCGATGAAGCCAATTATTACAAGCTAATCCATTTGGTTAAAGAAGCTCTATTGGTTTCTTTTAGCAAGAATTGCTCTGCAATATTAAATAGTTAGTTGTCGAAAAAGCAGCAGCTTCTCATTCCAACGAGGGTGATTCTGGGCAATCGGTTGAAGAAAGTCTGAAGTGGGTCGATGAAGCCAATTATTACAAACAAATCCATTTGGTTAAAGTAGCTTTGGTTTTTTTTTTACCAAGAATTGCTTGCTTGATTCTCATTTCAACGAAAGCATGAAAGTTATCCTTCTATGCTAATCCAAAACCCTCTGCCTTCAATCAAGCCACATTGTCCTTAAGCGTGACATTGCATTCAATTAAATACTGACTGAAGCTGCCGCCAAGTTAGCAAATGAAGCTTTAATACTAATAATAATAATAATACGCATCGTATACAGCGACCACAACAGTCTGAATTACTTTTATATCCAGTCATCGAATGCGAGCTGGCCAGGCAGCCAACTTCGCTCTTTGGCTTTTATGGATCAAGTTCTGCAGTGCAGCTGAAAAGACGCAGCAAACGCAAACTAATAAAAGGAAAAAGCACACACACATGCCAATGAAAGGATATAGTAGAACTAAACAAAGAGCAAAGGAAAAAAAAGAAAAAAAGAAAACAACACTAGAAGTGTGTAAAGCCATAGGGTTTATGGTGAGAGGTTGGGGCACTTCCAGATACTGCTGCCACGAGTATGCATTCACATAATGAACTTGACAAGAAAACTATCGGCTAACAGGCAACAACAAGAGCGGAAAGCAAAATGCCAGTAATAATGTAGTATTGTAAGAGAAGATGGGGATGGGGAGGGGGTGCAAGGAGCCGGCCCGACATACTTACAATTCAATCCCTGCATGGACATGGCTGACAATTCAGCTGACGATGATGTGGGGGAGGAGGTGGCAAGCTGTAAGGACATTGCTGAAATGTTCTCCAATGGTGGGAACATGGTCGATGACATATTAAGTACATTTTGGTATCTGCTTCTCGTTTGCGTTGCGAATAATGCTGGTAATGATGATACTGGCGATGATGTTGTAGTCCCCGCCGTTGTTGTCGTTGTTGTTGTTGTTGTGCTGCTACCCATGGTTGTTGTTGTCGGCGGGGGCGGTGAGGTCACCACCGCTGTTGCCAATGTACTGCTGATTGTGGATGTGGTAGTCGTAGGACGTGCTGTGGTTGTTGTGGATGTTGTTGTTGTGTGTTTCTCGGTTGTCGGCAAAGCGGTGTAAAGTTTCGGATTAACTTGTTCCTGCAGCAAACAATAGTCGACGCACTGATGCACGGCCAATTCAAGCTCGGGCTCCTCGGGGCACTCGCGACTCGGACAGGGCGACCACCAGACCTAGAAAACAAAATATCCAATCGATTTATTCAACATAAAGCCATGAAACAAGGCGCAAGAAAAACAATCTTTACTTCGACAGCAGGTTGCTATGTATTGTAAAATATATGCTACTCGTAGATATGCCAATTTTTACTTCTTTATATTCTTATAAGCTATACACATATATGCAGAAAATCGTTTTAATATAGGTATATTATTTATATTTATTTGTAAGAAATACAACAAATAACAAGCGAGACAATACACATATGTATGTATGATATTTTCTTTATATATTTCTAAAGTGAAGAAGAAGATCAGCAGAAACTTATTTGCTACATCCTTGACACTCAAAACATCACCTTCAATGTCCTTTATACAGAAATACCACACCCTGAAAATATATGCTACTGTAGATAAGGAAATTCTTTAGTTTATATTTTTATAAGCTATACACATATATGCAGAAAATCGTTTTAATATAGGTATATTATTTATATTTATTTGTAAGAAATACAACAAATAACAAGCGAGACAATACACATATGTATGTATGGCATTTTCTTTATATATTTCTAAAGTGAAGAAGAAGATCAGCAGAAACTTATTTGCTATATCCTGGACACTCAAAACATCACCTTCAATGTCCTTTATACAGAAAAACCAGATCTCAATTTAGGGACGAAAAAACTAGACTCGGTTTGTAGGGAAATCTACTACAAAATTTGTTTTTAAATTCAAATTCCCTAAATCGCAGTAAGTATTGGAAATAGCTTCTAGCTCGAACTTACAAAACTATTCATTACTTTAGTAGAGCGTGTTGGGTGAAGATTAAAAATTAGAAAACTAAAAAAATCTCCGAAAATTCTTCAACAGCTTAAAAAAGTTTAAAAGAGCTGAAAAAAGTTGAAAAAGTTTTGAAAAAGTTTGAACAAATTTTGAAAAACAATGTCTTCACTTCCAGGCAAAACCTGGATCATGACTCTGCGCGAAGTCTGCTTTTCGCCATTCGCCATCGTTGCGCTGTCCTGCGTGTTGGGCTACGCCATCTATTCGCGCAGTCGGCCCGAGTATCCCACCTACGACATTGAGGACTTTGAGAACCCGGCTGAGGTGAAGGTGAAGCCGCCGCTCCGCAATTTGCGGTTGACCGAGAAGATGCTCGCACGCTACAGCTCTCGTCGCAAAGATGGATCCTATTTGATCGCTTTGCAGGGCACCATCTACGATGTGTCCTCTGCCCCGGCAGACTTTGGACCGGGAGGCGTCCACGAACTGCTCACTGGCACCGAGCTAGTGCCCTATTTAATGCGGACGGCAGCGGTAGACTTCCTCGACCCCGCGTTTTATGTGAAAGAGTGGCGAATAGTTCTTGAGGACCATTTCCCGGTCGCCGGGCATGTGCTGCAAGCAAAGGACAACTCTGTACAGCAGTACTGGGAATCGGCCCAAGGCTCTAGAACCGACAGCTCCGATAATGAGAGTGTGCGCACGGCCAACGATGGTACAGAGAGCGGAGCCGATGGTGATCGTGATCGTGATCGTGATGGCGATGGCAGCTCTACGGGAAGCGCAGTTTTCGCTGATCTGGATGAGACCGCGACTGAAGACCGCACAGTTATATTCGAGCATGACGGAGATACCACAATTCTACCACAAAAGGATCTGGCTGATGCTTGAATCAATTTCTTAAATCAATCTACTTTCTTTTGTTTCTAAATTTGATTTACACTTGAGCAGTTTCAACCGAGCTTCCTCCATAAGGACTACATACTTGTATGCTTCAAGCCAATTCAGTTTTATTCATTCTTCGTCCTTCAACATTCTTCGGAACACCAATCAATACAAAAGCTTTACGCAAACTGAACAATCTATGCTGAGAAACACGCACAACAATCCATTTAACAATAAAGTTAAAACAGCACACAATTCATGTCTGTCTATATTTGTATACCCTGTAAAAAGGGGTGCATTAGGATTGTCTAAAATGTTTAACTGACAGAAGAAAGCATAAGGTATGATGAGGGATATCGATGTAGACATGTCGGGAAGGGTAAATATATAGACTCCCCTGTCCTTAGGCTAAAAGAGTTTAATTTAAGATGATTTCCCCCCTCCTGAATCTATAAATTGTTATCTATAATTCTTCATTCAAATCGGTAAATTCTAAGAAAAGTTATAAGCCAAACAATTTCTACTGCCAGTACTACGGTTATTTGTGGCCTCCTTGTTCTTTTTTGCTACTGCTATAGGCTCGGTTTGGGTGCAGAATATCGGGTTCAAAGCATTCTCCCTTTTTTTTATAGCAATATGAACCGAGCTCCAATACTGATAATACCATAATACATTTACGCTAGCTACATAGCTACATTAAATTCTGTAGCATAAATAATTACACCTAATTTTGTTTTTCCACGGTAGATTGGTTCCAGAAACAAGCGTGTAAAAAAGCCATTGATCTTATGCGAAAATAGGTGCTTGGTTTCTAATCTCTAATCTCTGTAAAACAAAATTAAGCTAATCAAATCACTTAAATTTTAATATCTAAGGAAATTTAATTTTTGTGACTAGTGCATTTATTTATAAGAATCTTTCTTGTCGCACTAGGAATTAATAATAAATAAATAATAATAATTAATAAATACCCTACTTACTACAATACATTCCTTTGTACCTTTAAAAGCTATATTCGCTTAATTTGCAGGTTCTTTTTTTTCGTGTATTGGAATTTTTATGGCATGATGAGCATCCTTTTTATTTATTTGCTGCTCAACCACAGCTGTTCGCTCATCAATTTCAATGCTGCCCAAGTGGCACTTAGCCTATCATAAGCCTCATATTTGAACTTAATCCCAGTGCATAAGGCCGACCATAAATAACTGTTGCCATTTACTATATATAGTACGTGTGCGTGGATGAGGAAGGATGGGGTCTGTTCGGAGCGAAACAATCCAATGAAACAGTGCAGAGACCGTGCTGACCATTTATGCCTGCGCATTTCCAATTCGTGATTGTGACTTAATGCGTCCAACAAGCTGCAGAATCCGCAAACACACACAAACATACGAGTGTACTCGAATACATATGTGAGCATCTATGTATGGACGTGTGTGTATGGCATTTGTGGATATCCATTACCAATTTTAATGCGAATTCAATAAAGCAAGCTGGGGGGCTGGCAGGGGTGTGGCTATGTTGCTGCCACGTAGTCGCCTGCAATAATAAAATGGTAATTTCCGTAGTCCCCGTCCCCATCCCCGGCACCGTCGCCGCCGGTAAGTGAAGAGCATAAGAAGCGCACAGGCGGACGTGGCGAACTGCAAATAAATTTATGCCCGCCAGCATACCGAACTCAACTATAATAGCATAAAATAGTGAGCCACAAGCAGCCACAACAACCGCAGACGACAACAGCCGTAGCAGCAGTCAGTGGCAGTTAAATGGCAAGGACAACCAGAACGTAGCTTAAATGTATCTATAAGATGCGTTTCTGGGTGGGTTGCTGCAGCTATTTTAATGGTGTTATTGTATTTTATGTGCACATCATAAATACAAATACAAATTCAATATACGTAGCTTGATTCCCTCTACAGTGGACACTCACTAACTGTGTTCTGTCTTTCATTGCCATTGGGAAGAGCATTGGGCTCTCTGCAGAGCCCATGCATATAATTAGATGCGATATCTGCAGACAGCAGACTGCCTTTAAAGCCCCTTCATTCCTATTGCATATTTCTCAAATCAAATATAAACAAATTGCTTGCCTTTAGCGATTGCTACTGTATGTGGATGTGTATCTGGGAGATACTTTTGCGCCAAGCAAGAAATGAAGCATGCCATGTCGACTGGGCCATTGGCATGACCATTGCGTTTCATTACAGTTACGGCAATGTCCTGGCAAGCTCCCTAAAAATGTTCCTGCTCTTACGCTGACATGATTTTAATGTGCCGCCTTGTTGTTGTTGGGCTGCTCTTAGTTGTACTTATGTTTGTATTTGTATTTGTATCTGTATCTGTGTTTGTGTTGGTGTTGGTGTTGTGCGTGTTTTTAGTGTGGCTTAAGTGCTGCAAAACGACACAAAGATAAATGTACGTGCGCACACACATACGAGTAGCGCAGAAGAAGAAGAAGACACTCACACTCTCACACACACACATGCACTTGAATTTAAGTGGATTTTTCGGCATCGCCACCCTGTTTAGAAGTTTCCCTGCACTCGAGTGTGAGGCGCATGTCCTGTCCTCTATTGTTGTTGTTGTTGTTGTTGTTGTTGTTGTTATTTAGTTCTGTGTCTTGTAGCTCTTACATTCTCGGCGCAGTAATGTGTCCGCCGCACTCACGCCGCTTGTTAGCTGTCAAGCTGCTACCATTTTCTAGTTTCCATTCAGTACCAAGTGCCATTGGCCCGGGTTTTTAGCATAATACTTGTATACCTTTGGCACAACGGCTCTGCTTTATCACTAACATGGAGTCAACTATTCAGAGATTTTCTCCATGCATAGTTTGTCTCTGTCCGTGTGTGTCTGTCCATAATTCGATTTATGTAAAACTGTATAGTGAGTGCTTTTGCCTGCCACTGCTGCAATTTGTTTGCTGCCAAGGTGCGACTGCTGGCAACTACAAGATTGCTTTATATAGTAGTTGTAAATACATCGATTGGTATTATGTGTGGTGATGCAATGATTTCGACAGTGCTTAGCTGCTTAGCTCTTTCCACCTTTAGACAAAGGAAAGATAAAAGAAGGGCATGGAAATATTATTTATAATTTAATGTGCACGATCAAGTCGATCAAAAGTTGACTGGGCTAGCTATAACAAAAACTTTAACTTAACCTAAGCTGGACAGGCTTAAAAAAAGATAAATTATTCTCAAAGAAGATGTAATTTAATTTACACATAAGGGAAACAGATAACCAAGACAAGAAAATATGTCCACTACTATTAATTAAAAGTGTCTCAACAAGTGCAATTAGAAAGAAACAGGAACCAGACGACCACGATTGCTAATGTAAACAAAATTTAAATTAATTTGCAATGACTAGCAGAATAATTAAAAAGTAATCCAATACTTGTAACGCTAGGATAAGGCCTATAAATAAATAAATTCGGAGCTCCTGATAAACGCGCTAAAAGCAAATAAATTGCAAAACAGAGGCCAGAGGAATAAGGTCAACAACTTTTTGTATATCTCCTGAAAACAACAACAGCCATAAGAAGTCATATTAATATCAACACTAGATACTTTCTACATAGCTAACTAAATGAAAAAGGGGCGGCCCTCAAAAATTGTTGGAATCGTCGAATGGTCTAGAAATCTTCTTTAAAAAATATAAATAACTGTTGAAAAAAAAAGGAAAACATAAAGCTGCAACATTTTGCTACAAATTAGAAGCGCCCGACTAAAGTCCCAACATCTCTAAATACTAAGAATCAAGTTAAGATGTATATATGCACAAATGAACGCAGTATTCCACACCACTGTGCGAGCACTTCAACAGTGACCGAGGGCTCTTTGTCGTTGCTCACACATCTGTATTTGCTGACCAGTTTTATAAGGTTCTCGACCCATGAGAGCAGCACATGTGCTGGCATTTCAATGACATTCGAGCACTAAAATTTTTATAACAGATGCAGGAACAGAATGAAAACGACAGTAATGATGACAAGGACGAGGAAGAGGACTCTCTGCTCATAAGCATAAAATACATGAATTGCATAAAAAAAAGAGAGCGAACGTCACGAATGCAGCTCATACCCAAATTTATTTTTTGTCTCCTCCCATGTGACGGATATTTGCTTGATTTTTTATTTGCTTGATTTTACATGACACAAATTTATGCATATCTATATATATTTGTACATGTGTACAGATATACGCGATTGTAGTATTTTCAGTAAACAGGAAAGGAAGTGCAGATGTAGAAGCAGAATGAAACAATTTTGCTGAACATATAAAAGGCATTGCCAAAAATCACGCAAAATCTGCAGGACAGCGCGTACAGGGTGCCCAGATGTGCGCAGAAAAAAAGCACATATAACATAAATACACAAGCACACACAAACACACACACACACACGCACACAGATACCAATACACTCGTGGGAGTGTGGACCAACACCAGGAGCAACACCCGAATTATGTATGCTCAATATTTTAACAACATTTATGGCTGCCAAAGCACGCACACACAAACAAACACGCACACACACACCAACACCAACACTCACTCACGCACACATTTAAAGAGCAATCAAGCACACATATATTGCGTATACTATGTAATTGCTTATTTGCCTTCGCGGCAGCCATGTCCCCCATTTATACGGGCATGTGAACCGCTGCCGCGCCGTGTGTGTTTGCAAATCGCGTTTGTGTGTGTGCCACCGTGTGGCATGCTGCTGGGCGCACAGCAATTTGCAGCAAGTAGAACGCACACACAAGCACAATCAGATTCCCAACTATGGCGCCTCTCTGAATGGCGCCGTGCCACGCATTAAAGCACCACTCAACACACACACTAATACACTTACCACACACACACACACACACACTTGTACGCACATTTGGGCAGCAGCGCTGCACGTTCTAAGGAACTAAATGAACTGGTTCGCCAGCAAGTAAATGGAAAGAGTATTCCCTTTTAATATGTGCTCTTAAATGTACTTTTAAGTGCAGCAATTTATGGAAAATTAATTAATAAATGAACTCATTGTAAACTATTACTTATTTGCTAAACCTTCACTTTTAAGTTGGCAGATTTGATTACTAAATAAAAATAAACTAAATAAAATCCCACAGATCAACAGATTCACCGATTTAAATTCGATAAAGAACTTTCTTGAACTAAAAGAATTCTTTATGTTATTATGATTTGACAAATCGTTTACTTACTATATTATTTAACCAATTTTATATCTAAAAACCAACATTATTATTGTAATGAGTATACATAATTATAGATTAAATTATTATTTATTTGCCAAGCATTAGCTTTTAAGTTTGCCGATTTAATTTCTAAATAGCCATACAGAATTCCGCAGCTCAACAGATCCACCGATTTAAATTCGATAAAGAACTTTCTTGAACTAAAATAATTCTTTATGTTATTATGATTTGCCAAATGTTTTACTTAACCAATTTTATACCTGAAAACAAATATTATTATTGTCACTGCTCTTTTCAGCAAATCGAAGCAATGTCTGAATGAATTCCTACGGCACCAATGACTAAATTCTTGTATCTCTTTAAGTTCACATCAAACCCTACTGCCACTCCACTCAATCAGACTTCTTCATATTACTCTTCCATCCTTCATTATCAAGGGTGTTGAATTCTGTGGTATTTTTAATAGATTTCTTAGTTCTTTGCAGGACAACAAGAAATTAGTTAGCTCTTCTCCTAAAGAAATACCCAACTCTCGTGTTCTTCTCTAAAGACTCATCTTCTCTGACAACTCAACTGATTCAAAAACGTCCCCTACTGGGTGGAAGATTATCTCTTTTTGTATTTTTTCTCTGCAGATAATAAATTAAAAGGCCAATAATTAATTCTAATAAAAGATTAATTTAAATTGCCGTTGCTGATTTATTTAACTAAGAAACAAATTTGGTCTTCATTTAAAATTTAAAATTCTAAATATGTGAAATCTCTTGCTATCATAAAAGTCCCAGTTCTATTCTTTTCTATAATCTAAATATTTATCATACAGCTTCAGTCTTCATTTATATCTGCAGTGTATCTTTCTGTTCAACCTCCAAAGTAAATCATACACTGAGAACTTTTCAAAGTCTCTGCTCACTCATTGAGATCGGAAGACGCCTTACTATACTTATTATTATTATATAATGCTTGAATAAGCTGCTCTTTGTAGTTCATTCCAGTGAATGGAACCAATTCCACATCACTCTAAATGACAGGCACAGCCACCAATTCAACAGCTCACTTGTTTGGCTTTGTATGCGTTTTATGATTGTTGGTTTGAGTGTTTGAATGCCTCTTTCCCTCCCTCCCTCTCACTCTCTCTCTCTCTCTCTTTCTATCTCTATCTCGCTGGCTGTGTGTTGCATGTGGCAACATTATGGCGCCTTAAATAAAAGCCGGCTTTTATGTTCGAGTTCCCTTTTGTGTTTGTGAATATTTGTGCAGCATTCCCAACAGCATCTTCTTGTTCATCATCATCGCCGTTTTCGTCCGCATGGCAACCGCGCCAAAAGCCACTGAGCCAGTGGTTGCAGAAAAAGCGAATCAGAGACCAAGCGATAGTCGTGGCTGCATTTAAGCTTTTTGTCGGAACTTGCAACGAGGATGGGGTGACAGCAAAGAAATCTTGTCACATTTCTAGCCAACATGTTTTTATTTACCCTCAGCAGCAAAGACTTTAAAGCTAAAGCGTCAGAGCAGGTCTTAAAAAAAAAACAAACGACTTCCTCCAAAAACTTGGCATTTAAAGCAAAACCATAGACTGGAGCTCTGTTGTTTATTTAGATCTACGTTGTCTTATTCTTTGGCAAATACGCTCTCATTATTTGCGAATGGGCTCAGCCAGTCCCCTCTTTAATTTCGTTTTTCGGCGTTATCTATGAAGCGATGTCAGAGTGATATTTGCCGACGACGCACATGCTTAAGTAAATGTTTGTTGAAGTAAGAAGTCGGGCCAGAGATCAACATTCTGTTGTTTACTTTACTCGCACTTGTCTCATAAATCTAAGTTGTGACGAAAAAGCGAAACATCTGCTCAGACAACACATATTTCCAACTAAAAAAAAGTAATAGTCCATTCTAAATCTAATTGTTTATTCAAAGTTAATCCCAAGCTACTCCTGACTAGTAAACAATGCGAAGTATATGGCTAACTAAAATTGTTCAATAATATTTTTGAAAAAACTTTCATAAAATAGAAAAGCTTGAAAACGGCTCGAAATTTACAAATAGGTATTATTTACTTTTAAGCTACGTATTTAGCTAGAAGCAATGAACTAAGGAAAGCAATGCCAACGACAAAGGCAGAAAATATTAAATTAAAAAATATTTAAACTTAAAAATGAAGAAGAAAATACACAAAAGCATTGAATAGATTTTACATATTATCTTGGTGAAGAGTCCTTTTCTGTGACATTGTTAGTTAACTTATACTATTTATAATTTGACATAATTTGCGATTAATATTTAAAATAATTTATTATTATTCAAAATATACTCGCAACTACCATAAAAAAAGAGGGAAGGTCCAAAACATAATTACCATTATTTTCAATACAATTCAATACAATCAACTGTCTATATTACGTATACGTAATATATATCGTCTACTTGTAGGCTTTATAAAAAATAACTGCCAGATGTAGATCTACAATTAAAATGATTAACAATTTGCGTTAACGAATTATTAGTACATACATTACAACCATACTCTTCTTATATCAGTGCCTCTATTTGAATTTTCTGTTGAGCTAGCCTTTTGAAGTCTATCTCTAAACAGCCACTGTATACCTGCTCTAATAGAAAAGGACCGACGAATGTTTGAGCTTTGCTGTCCTTGGATCAAAAGGGGCCGCCCTAACTGCAAATGCATTCCTGCCGATTCAGCTTGAAATAATAATCATTCCCAGAATAGTAATCACAATTGTTTGCTGAAGATTGTTTGCATTTAGCCAGGTACATAAATATAAAGTACATACTATAAATGCATAAAATCACTATTTCCCAACAGTTAATTTAAAAACACTGCAGTGTAGCAGTGCGAGTCTCTCTCTCATCCATATTCCCTCTAATGTTAGTGCATTTAACTTTGCCCAAAAAGTTGTCTACGATGTTACAAGAACCGCATTAAAACTGCCGAGCAAGTGCAACAGCTGCCATGTGAAGGTAGTTGGCCACAACTTTGTACACATGTAGAAGCAAATATGTGTAATGTGTTGATGTATGCGTATTAGACAGTTGAGGTCATGCAAATAGGTACACTTCTGAGTGCTTCTAGCAGAGCTATACCATCAGAATATTCCTATTGTTATTCCCATGTAAGGAAATAGTAAGTAAGTAACTAAGTAACTTTAATGCAGAAGTCTAGTATTGAGAATTTAAAATATAAGTCGAAGTTCAAAGAATTTAAGAGCAATTGCACAATTCCTTTATTTAATTTATTTAGAACAATTGAGCGCTTAACGGACTTATGAGTCAAGATATTCAATGAGAGAATAGTCAGACCTAATAGCGAAGTATATAAGACAATTGTTGTAGAGAGTGTAAAATATAAACATATATAAAATATAAACATATCAAATATATATATATATATATATATATATATATATAGATAGATATAGATATATAGATATATATATATATATATATAGATATATATATATATATATATATATATATATATATATATATATATATATATATATATATATATATCTATATATATATATATATATATATATATATATATATGTCCTTAATTACAAGCACTTACGAATAAAATGGCTCACTAATTATCTCTAGAAAATAATTGTATCATGCACTATAAAGTATTAGAAAGAATTCAAAAATAGCATTCAGGACTGAATTGTAACGAATTAATCCTTTTAGATTTTTATAAACATACGAGGATCTACATTTGTACGTACATCCTGCATTATTTAAATGACCTTGGTTGGCAGAACTGGCAGCAGCTAAGAGCAGCGAACACTGAGGTGTCGTTAAAGAGTCGTGTAGTGGCATCATCGTGAGTCGCGAACAGTTGTTAATTCTGAATTGCAAATATATGCTCTCTTACATTCTACTATAAGCCTCAATTGAGGAAAGGGCAACAGTCAAGTGGCCGCCACTGTGCCTACCTGATAGCACACAAAAACCACATAAGGCAGAGCCTGGTGAATGTGGCATAAAAGCGCAGCAGCAGTGGCAGTGGCAGTGGCAGCAACAACAAGAACACCAACAGCTACCATTTACCGTAACCGTTGGCAACGCATTCAGGGCCGCATCATTTTTAGCTTTTAACTAAACATCAAGCCGTAAATGCAGCACAGCATCGCCAGCCGACTGTGCCCCCAGCAGGCCCCCAACTATGTGGGATTATTTTTTTCCTTTTTGTGCAGATAATGCGCATGCATGTGGTTTTTGTTAAGGGATTGGCTGGAGGCTGAAGAGAATGCCAGCTGGCAGCTAACATGGTTGTCATGTCAACATCTTACATGGAACAGGAGCAGGGCTATCGGTTACTGGCCTCAATACATCAATACTAATTAGCTGCTGTTTGTGGGGTGGATGGGTGGTTGGAAACTTCTTGTTCTACGAATATAGAGCCCCCATTCCGCATTGGACTAATGAATGGCGACACTTGTGCGATGTAAGCGGTTGCCCTTAATCCCATTTAAAGAACGTTAAGTGCATTTAACTTTGCTACAATATCGATTACTTACTTAATGCAATTGCAATTGCGATTAAAATAGCGTGTGTGTGTGTGGGTGTGTTTGTGTGTGAAATGGCAAATGCATCGATGTAATTAAGGTGGAATGCCACAAGTTTTTACAAGCATAACAAAGTTTTTACCTCAATGTCGCCGCTATCCGGATGCCGCATCACAAAAGCCGATGGCACCACGCCCGGTATCTCCTGCTGGGGTATAAAGAGCAGCGAATGATGGAAAATTGCATTCAAAAGCAAACTCATCACAACTACAGGTTTATATTTGCCAAATTTGTCAACGAGAAAACCTGCAAGGAAACCAAGGAAAAATGGGTTTTACATTAGAACTTTGAATGAATGAGCAGCCATGCATATGTGTGTTTGCACAACTACTTACACGTACATGTACTAGCTATATAAGTGCGTATATATGTATAGAGGGGAGATATATGTATACAAGTATTCCCTCTGTCTTTCCAGTGCATGTACTTGTATGTACGGCCCGGCATGTATGTATGCTTTAGCAAATAAGTTGAGCACAACATGAACATGCCCCTTTAGCATTGATAAGTTGCACAGCCATTGAGTCAACTCTTGTAGTTTGCTTGCCCCCCCCCACTCTGCCTATCACTCCCCAAGCCTGTTAGCCTGCTCGCCTGTCATGTTTTGTAGCTGTGAGTTATGTTAGTTTTAAGTTAAAGTGGAAGTTGGTTTGCTTTCGGAGGCAGCTGCTGCACAAATGCCTGCAAATTTCCCATAGAACAGAGAAAAATGTGCTCTATACCTTTGCATTGATTCGCTCGATTCTATTTGCCAGCACCAGATTGAATAATTGAGTCTGTATCAAACACCTGATCCAAAGCGCTGTACAACAAAATAGCTCTAAAACGTGCTTCAAGATACTTCATGCACCCACTACCATGGTTGGAAAACAAATTTTCGCAAGCTGGACATTTTATTGAAGCAGATTTCACTTCTTTAATTGGCATTTAATAATTGTGAACATTTATTCCTAAAATCAAAATAGAATTAAAATGTTAATCAAGCATTTTTAAGCCCAAGCCGCCATTTATTTAAAAAAAGCTTCTGTTTTTCAACATTTAAAGTTTTTAGCAGTCTTCAAGTCTTCTCAAGTTTTTTCTTTATACAAAGTTTTTCTTCCCCTACTTGTATAATGCTTTGATGTTCTCCATATATACAATTAACTTGTTTAATTAGCATATCTAAAGATCATCTATTCCTAAAATCGGAATATATTTAAAATGATTTCTAACATTAAAAGTTTTTAGCAGTCTTCAAGTCTTCTCAAGTTTTTTATTTATACAAAGTTTTTCTTCCCCTACTTGTATAATGCTTTGAAGTTCTCCATATATACAATTAACTTGTTTAATTAGCATATCTAAAGATCATCTATTCCTAAAATCGTAATATATTTAAAATGTTTTCTAACATTTAAAGCTTTTTGGAGTCTTCGAGTCTTCTCAAGTCTTTTCTTTATATAAAGTGAGTTTTTCTTCCCCTATAATTATCTTGTTTATTTAGCATACCTAAAAATCATCTCAATACTCCAAGAAATTTCTTTATAATCAATTAATAGTCTTCTCAACTCTTTTCTTAATACAGAATGTAATGTTTTTAAGTTTACAACTAACTTGTTCAATCAGCATTTCTGAAAATCATCTAAAGACTTCAAGCCATTTATTTATAAAAAGTTGATAGTTCCTCTCAAGTAAGCTGCGTACGTTTTTATAATCTGTACTTTATTTATTAAATAACTTTGCAGCTCAGCAGTTTGACAGTGCCAGCTTACAGGGTATTTGTTCATTACACGCTGTGCCTTTCAACAACCTTTTTGCCATTGCAGCGTTCAGTCCGTGCATCAATTTATCAATCGCATGACTCACATTACATACTCATTTAACACCACATTTGACGCGACACTTTTTATGGACTGCAGTTGGTTTTTCAACCGGTTTTTTATTGCCATGCCCCTGCACAACTTGACGTATACGCAATAAATTCAGCAAAAATATTTATCGCATGGCACCTATTTAACTGTCAACCGTGCGCTGCCATTTTATCTTTTGTTATCAGCACAATGCTCGTCCCTCTGCCTCTTTTTTTGTTCTTTTTCAACACTGCTGCACACACCTGTGCCTGTGCAATTTTTTTCGCTTATCTATTTTATTTGTATGGCACTCTGTTTGTTTGTTGCGCTCGCTGGGCAGCTGTCACTCAGCGGTGACGAAAAATAAAAACACAACACCAGCAGCAGTAACAACAACAACAAAAAACAACAACCACAATGGGTATAAAAGGACATTGCAGCAAACTAACTGAATGTGTGAGTCGCTTTTCTATCCTACAGTTTAAATGAAAAGGAAGTTTGGTTTTAAAAGTTTGCAAATCCCAAAGATATCGGTGTATATCGGTGCTTTTGCTAAGCATTTGGAATAATGCGACTCTACAAAATCTAGCTTCCAATAAATAACAATTACAATTACTCTTTTGAAGATTTTCCATTCGCCAAATAAAATAAAATCAAGCCTGAAAAATATCAGCTCTTATAAAAGCACTTTATGTTTGAAGGGCATTGCAGTTCCACGTAGCCGACGATAGCTTTTTTGATATTCCCTCTGTAGTTTTAACTATTTTTATGTCACACTTGTGGAAAAAAGCCACACGCTGCATGCATTTTTTATGCCACATTTGCGAGCGCAAATAATTTAATTCACTGCCGGCTTAAATGACAATTAAAAATGATTTCTTTTATGCCCTTCGCTATTCACATATTTCAGCCCCAATATGGGTTTATCATTCGTTTAATATTTTCCTTGCGTTTATTAAATGCTTGGCTCAAAAGTGAAAGACAAATTAGGAATGATGCTTGCTTTCTAATAGAAAAGATTTATATAAAAGAGCAATACTCTCGTGTTTTACTTAGAACAAAAGAGAGAAGCTTAGGAAAATGGCGACCAATTTTAAAATTGAAACATATTGGAACGAAAAACTCATTCCTTACACTCAATAGAGTTCATAAAAATCTTTAAAAAGTAGAGTTCAATAAGTTCACTAAAAAATAAATTATATGGAGTTTAAAATACAGAAACAAATTGAAATTTCAATAACAGCGTTTTGTGTTCGATTGTTACAAAAAACAGTTTGGTAGATTTTCGTTTTATCTGCTTAAATAATGTAATTATCTAATAATGGGGATTAAATCTGTCTTCTAAATCCCTTCTACTCACATTTCATAAGTATTTGTTCTTAGTTTGTCAAATCTAAGTACGACTGGGTGACAAATAAAATCCCCCCAACGTGTCAGAGGCATTATTGTAGATTATTTTTGTGGCTTTCTTATCTGGCAAGCTGCAATTAAAGTGCACTGTAAATCGTCGCCTACCACCCCTGTTTGTTGACGTATCAATCAATTAAAATTAAACACAATTTATTTAAAGTATTTTTGACATGCCAATGCAAAAAAAACTTGTCTGATTAAATTACTAATATTACATAAAAAAATGATTTCTATTAAAATTCATGAAATTTCTTTCTCGACCCTGGACAAGTAATTAAGGCATTCCTCATATTTAGCAGAGAAATACATTGAATTGAATTTAAACAAAACAAGCAATTACATGAAAGCGACAAGCACTTAATTAAGATGCCAGCTCATAAGCTGCTGCAATTTTTATTCACGCCCTGCTGTTCATTAATGTTAACTCACCTGTAATGGGGGGACTTAAGAAGGTTGTAAACGGCAGCGCCAAATAGATAATGGCAATTTCCTCCACCGTCAATCCAATCGATTGCATGTGTATTGTCAGATAAGGCAGCAGCGATGAAGTGGCTGTGAAATGGAAAAAATTGGAAAAATTAAAGCTTAAAGCGGCAGAATATAAAATGCAGAACAGGATGCTTAAGCTTAAGCTTACAGCCAGTAACTATAGTATATGGGGCGGAGAGTGGATGGAGCAGTGTTTTAAATGTGACTTAAAGCGCTTTATTTAAAAGCCACGCATGTTGTGAGAGCTGAGTTCGAGGCTGAGGCCGAGGCCGAGGCTGAGGCTGAGGCTGAGCACGAGTCTGCATACACGCGTGTCTATTAATAATTTATGGATATTAAAGCACACAGACAGCCATTTCAGTTCCTGTTTCAGCTCGTGTTCTTGTTGCTGTTGAATGTGCAACAAAATGGCGCAAATAATGGGCAATTGGGCAACCAAAATGTGAAAACCTGTGCGCTGTGCAATTGCTGCTGCCACAGCCTTGACCAATTTAAAGCGAGCGAGCAAACACGCCGAGCTGATGTTATATCTCCCTACCCCTACCCCCACCCCCTCCCACATTTCACCCCTTTGGCATATACCCTGCCATGTAGCCACATGAGGCTTGTGCATGTCGAGTGCGAATGAAATTATGTTAAGGTCCATTTAACATTTTCTCATATGTGCGAGGAAGGTCGATGATGCCGATGATTTCATTTTTACAGCCTTGCCATTTGCAGCAACTCACAGATAATTAACAATAATAAAATATACTATATACTGACGTCTTACAGACATATATGCCTACATTCGTCTAACGAAAAGTATTGTTATTAATCAGAAAGTTTGAGTTATCTTTGAAGATATCGTGTATAAATTGAATGAAGAGAAACCCTGTAACCCTCGCTTTATCTCTCTGCTTAAACGATTCACTGTTGACTGTTGACCAACGACGTACTCAAGCGGTTATAGGTTCACTAATTCCTTCCAACGACCATTAACTTCCGATTTGATTTCCGACTGAAACAAAAAATAACTGCATACTAATACTTATGATGAAGCTGATCTCCCAATCTCCCATCTTACATATAAAAGAATATGTACATACAAGTTTTCATTTCTTGCTGAACATGAAGTCCGATTCTCAAACAGTACGAGCTCATAGTTATTAATTGTAAATAGATTATTAGGTAATTAAAGATGAACATTAAACAAATAAGTTGAAAACGGTCAATCAACAGTATGGATCGACAAATTAGTTCATCTAAGAGAGTTACTTGGCACCTGCTTCTGAAAGAAAATCTGGAAACGTATTATGGCCAGTTTCAATAGTACGTCAATTATTTTCATTATTATTCATTATTCTCTACTGCATCGTCATTTGGCACATTTCGATAAACGAGCTCTCGCCGTAATTTCTACTCAATTTTTCATTCATTATCATGCATGCATTTTCATCATCCATTTGAGGAAATCGGGTGACAAATTTGTTACTCACTCTTTATTAATCTGTTTACAAATTATTCAGTTCCTTTATTCCGCCCCTCTATTCATCTGTCCGATCACATAGATATTAAAAAATGAAACAACTTGCAGTCTTCAAACTTTGCTTTTGTAAATGTTAGCTTCAACTTTGAAAAATGACCTAGAACCATCGAGGTTTGAAGTTGAGTTTCCCTTCGGCTGCCAAATTGAAACTCTACTGTTCATTATACGTAAACATGTATGCTTTCGCATGTTGCTGATTCAATGCAATAACAATTAATTGTTGGCTGGCTGGCGGGTTGGTTGGTTGGTTGGCTGCGAGCGTCGGAAACGGAAATGCAAGCATGTCAGGGTTGCTTGGCTCGGCGGCCATTGTGGTGCCGTCCCGTTGTCATTTGTAATTAATGCCGGCTCGCTGGATCTTGGTGCCTGTACATGAAGCTGTCGCCCGCATCAGTGTTGTGCTGTAACCATTAATGTGCACAAACAATTCCACTTTATTTGCTGACTCTGTTTACCTTTTAATGAGTAAACGCGATTTTTAATGCGCCAATTTATGGCCACACACACACAAAATGAAACTCAACTACAAATACGAATAGTAACAATAACAATAATAATAATAACGAAAAATGTTGCCAGCAAATTTGAATATATGCATATTTTTTAATGGAATATTGTATCCCAAAAACACACGCACACACACACATACTCGTAGTTGGAATAGCCATATAGTATCTAATAGATACATTTGCATATGCACATAAATCACAAATTGATACGCAGAGCAGTGACAAATGTGAGGCAAGCCAGCCAACAGGCAGGCAGACACTTTAGACCACTGAATATTTCATGAATTGATAGCCAGTCATAAAAATAAAAGCAAGGAATAAATATTGCATACGAATATGTCTGTGCACATTCGCCTTATTTGCGAGAATACGAAGCACTTTACGAGGCTCTCCATATTATTGGGCAGTAAGGCATTTTCCCCAACGTTTCTGCAAAATTATTGAGAATTTTAATACCTGATACGCATACACATATGTACGATTGGGTATTTGGTTGATTTATTTGGCAAGACATGAGCATTTGTAGAAAATATTTGCTTCCTAACGAGGCCAGCATGGCGTATGTGTAACAAACTTCAAAGCCACAATAAGGAATATAGATTTTGTTGCTCAATATTTTTATTACATTGCAACCAACAAAAATGAAAATATTTTGCTTTGCAAATAACGAATTTAATAAAATGTGGAATAAAAACTCTAACCTACTCTTTGATGTCTGATGTGGCGAAGGTATTTTCTTAAGCTTAATAACTACATGTTTTAAAACAAATAACAAATAAGCTGAATGTTGACATAAAACATGCGTTTAGTTCAAAAAGCGTATATAAATATAATTGCTTTAGTTTTATATTGCTTTAGATTTAAACTCAACAAAGAATTTGCAAAAGCGTCTGATTTGATTTCTACTGCCTTTACAGGCTTTTTCAAAATATATTTAAAATTTTACTTAATATTTATTTAAGAAAAAGTCAACGATAATAATAAGCTTGTTCTAAACCAATTCAATTAATTAAATTAGTTAACGAAACAGTTTTAATAAATTTGTATTTCTGCTATGGCTGTAAATTAAAGGAAAAACATCGATGTTCTCTTTATAAAAAAGCGATGCATGTTTTGAATGAATAATTTTCCATAGAAAAAGAAGCTCATATTAGGAAGAAAATCAACCGAATTGTTTTAAATGAAAAATGTTTATATATCAAAACCGGCTCTTATAGTATTTTAATTAATGTTGTTAACCAATAAAGTAATCGTAATCCTGATTCTTGACGAACTTGTATGGCTAACTTACAAATAAATTATAATATACAGTTTTAAAAGCAAATCAATCCTACGCTACTGTTACGCATTTTAAGAATATTAAACGAGGCTATAGGAATCGAGATTAGGATTAAGTCTTTAACAACCTAAAATGTATATAACAAAATACACATTTTAATGAAATCATTAAAAAAAATTACAATACAAATATACCTTCTCCGATAAAGCTCACCAAAATAATGACTGCTTAAAAAAACAATGAAAATGTTTGATGTTTGGACAAACATCGATGGACGATGTACCGCAAAGAAGAAAACATCGATGCATCGTGTTAAAAACATCGTCGATGCTCGATACATCGATGTTTTTTACATCCCTAAATTAAACATTTAAATGAACTAATTTCTCGAAATTTTTAATGAGCATTATTCAATTGAAACAGCAAGGCTTGCTGTCTAGAAATTATAAATTATTTAATATGTGGAAAAACTCATTGTTAAATAAAGAAATCTTGGCTATATGTACATAGTACATATAGTATTTATTATCGTTTATGAAACGTGCTGTCGCCACCTAATTACTCTGCTTAGCTTAAAGATAAACACATCTACTTAGGCTTGGGCTTTCGTTATTCAACACAGCAGATTGCGTCGCAAAATATGCAAAACGTTTCATCTGCTCGTATTAAAGCTCTATTTTGCTTGTCTTTGTAAATCAGAGACACACACACACACATAGAGACACAGAGACACACACACACGCATTCAATTGCACACTTAAGGCTGACAGTGAATCTCTGAATTCATTATCACACCACCCGCGCATTAACTCTCATCAATTCTGGTCGGAAGTTATCAATTAGGCACAAAATATGTAACACATTTGTATAAATTTAGTTACACACAGCCACATAAACACATACTATAAGTAACGATTTTCCCAGCATGTGGCAATTAAGACGACGTCGCATAGGAGAGAGCCTCTGCGATTGTGTGTGTGTGTGTCTTTTGTAAATAAATCTAGCCCATGAGCTTAGAGGTTGAGAAAGGTTTGGACTTGATTGGACCATGTCTGTATCTGTATCTTTGGCTGTCCAACGACCGTGCGCCATTTCATGGCTCGGCACTCGGCTGGCGGTCAATGACAAAAAGATTTGCTCGCCGGCCTCTGATTGGCCAGCAGCGCGTTGTTTTATGCATGTCATTAAAGTCGAATTGTCGCAAAAATGAGTATTAATGCGTTTTTTATTTTGCTTGATAAGCCCGCGACAGGTCTTTGGGGCAATGCGGGGCCGGGAGTATGGCAGCTGGACGTAATTCAATTTCTTGAATATTTAATGAAATTTAGTAAATGCGACATTTTTAATACGATTTTTTTGTTTGTTTCATTGTTTATGCATTTCGTGGACTTGTTGTTTTCTCTCTTACACTTCAGCTGCCACTCAATGCGATAATAATTAATAGATACAGTCGCATGTGCTTATCTGAATCGTTTTTATTTATATTTGCATACCAAACCTAGAACCTTTACTTAAGAGTTTAATGTAAAAAAAAGCAAACAAATATCTTTCTCTAGGAAATGTAAGAAAGAATGAATTTATCACGCTTTGTCTGTATTTTCTTGTTGTTTATCTTTCTTTATAAAATGTAACTTTTATTTGTTTTTTTTATTTTAATTTATAGGTACTATTTATTGTCAAATGACCAAGCAAGAATTTAATATCCAACAACTGTTATTATTATTGTTTAATTTTGTAAATGAATCAAACATCTTTTAAGTTATTAAGCTTTATGGGGGTTTTGTTTAATTTTTCCAGCTTCACACTGTCTATTTTTGTTAACCAATTTGATTTCTCCATGTTGTTTAATTAAGTAGAAAAGGCTAAGCTGCCTGTACTCTTAAAATTGGATATCTTCATTTTAATTTTAATTTAATTTACCTCACGCGTTAATTCGTAATGTTTTGAAGAAATATGAATAAATTGAAATTGAATCAAACATCTAACAAACTTCAACACTTTGATAATAGAAATGCCATCTTTTATGACTGATAGGACGCGTATGTAAATGCTTTGAATTTTAAAAAAATATAAACTGCCCTTCAAATATAAAAAATGCATTAAAAATCAAAAAATTGTGATTTAAAGAAACTAAAATGTCGAGCCTGCTTCACATACTAATCGAATTGTTAGAAATACGATTCCAAAAGGAAATAAACCGAAAAACAATAATTCTAAACAATAAAGCATAAAATTGTGAAATCATTTAATTTCATTTATTTTTGGTTTACTGATTCGACAATTTCTGTTCATTTATTTATTTAGTTTTCTTTCATGACAATATTTTAAAGCGATTCATTGGGAATTCCATTTCATTCATCGTTAATTGAATTCGTTTCTATACTTGTATGGAAGTTATGTTTATTTATCTATCTATATATTATTGCTGTCTGTTTATTTATTTGTCCTTTTCAAATTTGAAAACAGAATCAAATTGTGATACGTTACGTGGCTTCAAACAATTATGTTATTATTATATTAATTTTTATTCAAATTATTTATTACTTCATGTTTATTTATCATTACTAGAAATGTTTATTTATTATTATAATATATTTCCCAGTAAGTTTCAGTTTATTTTATTTTCGACTATTTACATGTTTTTCTTTTCAAATGATGGCTTATTTATTGATTGAGTTTATTGTTTTATAAGAAATATCTGTAATCAAGCGCCCGTTCTACATACATTGAAAGGGAACTCGTGGTTATTTCGAGCTATCTCACATGCTGCCAAATGAACATTCACATTGACTGGCAACAGTGCGTATGCGTGATATCGCAACCCTATCTTGTAGGCAAGCAAACGACCATGTTAACGACAACTCGTCAGATTTTATCGAACGTTACAGCGTTTGTAATTGATTTATAATACGATTGCAGACAGAAATACATACGTACATACGTGTATAGTATATCGGACTTACCTCCGTACATGACAAACAGCGTTATCTTGAGCATAATGAGATTGGGATTTATGCCATGACGCTGACAGTATTCGCCGAAGCGCGACAATTCGATTTTCTCACTGCGAGCGGCCTCCGTGACCGTCTCCTCGCTGACCATTTTGCCCATTTTGCGAAGACTCGAGGCACGGCAAGTGGCAGAGTTGCAGGATGCAGATACAGTTGCACTCACACACTTACACACACACACACAGACACCAACACTGGCACACTAATGTGTTTATATTTGCATAGAATTGTGCGACAACAATTTGAAGTTCGTTTCAATGAAATGCAGTGCCGAACAACAATGCTGGCGATGGCTGAAAGCGTTGCCTTAGTTTAAGTTTCTCGGTCAGACGACACTGGGACACACATGCATACATATATATATGAATATCTATATATATATACAAACACACACACACACACAGATGCAAATCAAACGCTGCAAGCCACTTGAAATTAAATGTTGTGTGTATTGCCTTTTTGTGTGGCTTTGTGTGTGTCAGTTTTTCTTATGATTTTGATTAAATTCAATTGAAATTTGTGATCATCATCAGCAGCAGCAGCAGCAGCAGCAGCAGCAGCAGCACTTCAAATACTTAAGCCTTCGTGGTTGCACACTTTTATACACACTTTTCGCACTTTTCTTTAGTTACATTTTATTTATAATTTTCCGTTTATTGGCCACTTTGAACAATTGCCAGCAGGTTTCAAGGTTTCGCTTTACATTTTCGCATGCACACACATATATGTATAAATATATATATACTATATACTATATACTATATATAGCTGGCAATATGTACAATATGTATATGTGTGAGTTGTGAAAATTTTCCAGCCCGGCGCACATTTAACTTTCACACTCGCCGTCCGCATCAAGACTGAAAATCTCTTATCAAGCCGACTAAAGTTCTTCTTCTACAGATACGTATATTATTGTATCTTTTGCAATCTCAAAATCTCAAAAAATCTGTGCACTCTAATCTACGCTGCCGCAGCGACAGGCCAGCACAGCATCAGAGCTTCACAGGTCGCAGTCGCAGCCTCAAAAGAGCGACAGCTTCAGCCTCAGCCTCAGCCTCAGCTTCTCCAGCTTCCAGTGGCTGTCAGCGGCTGCTCACTTGCATAAAAAAAATGGAAAATGAAAAGTAAAATGTTCATCTAACTGGGAACGCGCGCACAATTTGCCAGACAGACTTACATACATAGTACGACTACAAACACACACACACACACACACACACCTACACACCTACACACCTATTAGTGACAACTCTTGAGCTGCCGCTGATCTGCGCCCCCACTCTGTGTGTGTGTTTGCGTGTGTGTGTGTGTGTGTGTGTGTGTGTGTGTGTGTGTGTGTGTGTGTGTGTGTGTGTGTGTGTGTGTGTGTGTGTGTGTGTGTGTGTGTGTGTGTGTGTGTGTGTGTGTGTGTGTGTGTGTGTGTGTGTGTGTGTGTGTGTGTGTGTGTGTGTGTGTGTGTGTGTGTGTGTGTGTGTGAGTGATGTGTGGCTGATGTGCCAACACAGAGATTGGAGATAATGTCGAGTGTATGGCGGCAGTCTTTTTTTTTTCATCTTCATCTCCCTCCTCTTCTGAGAATAGAACTGATAAACCTGCGCCGACGTGTGATAAGTGCTGTGTGTGGCAGTGAGTGAAGCGATTTCTGGATACCTTTGCAGTTTTCTTTCAAATTTAAGGGCATCAGAAACATACCTAGTTGTGCTTTAAATATTTAAATATAAAGATTAAAAAAATAATATATATTTCCCTTTCACTATTCAACTAAGCTCACACATCACACAAAATAATATACGATATATTATATATATCGTCTGAAGAATATTTAAAGGCTTTTTTCGATTCGATGCTCAAATGCGAGCATAATCCGTCTTCCAAAAAGGAAATTAAATTAAATAGAATTCAAAAAATATACATTTTATAAGCTAAATAAATCATTGACTTTAAAATTTCGAATAAAAGCTATAGCATACAAAATAATATACGATATATTATATATATCGTCTGAAGAATATTTAAAGGCTTTCTTTCTTGAATTCGATGCTCAAATGCGAGCATAATCCGTCTTCCAAAAAGGAAATTAAATTAAATAGAATTCAAAAACTATAAATTTTATAAGCTAAATAAATCATTGACTTTAAAAATACATGCATTTAGTTCAGGAAACACACTTTTTTCTTTAACCGATCGAATAATATTTTAGAATAAAAGCTATAGCATACAAAATAATATACGATATATTATATATATCGTCTGAAGAATATTTAAAAGCTTTTTTCGATTCGATGTTCAAATGCGAGCATAATCCGTCAATCATGGCTTCCAAAAAGGAAACTAAATTAAATAGAATTCAAAAAATATCCATTTTATAAGCTAAATAAATCATTGACTTTAAAAAATACATGCATTGAATTCAGGAAACACGTTTTTTTCTTTAACCGATCGAATAATCTTTAGAACAAAATAATATACGATATAAGTATATATATCTTCTGAAGAATATTTAAAGGCTTTCTTCAATTCGATGCTGAAATGCGATCATAATCCGTCTATCATGGCTTCCAAAAATGAAATTAAATAGACAAGGATAAGGCTATGTTCTGCCTTCCAAAAATATATCCATTTTAGAGGCTAAATAAATCATTGACTTTAAAAAATACATGCATTGAATTCATAAAGAACATTTGTTTAGTATTTAGAATGACAGCTATGGATTTGAAATATAATCGTTTAATTATCGTTAATCATTTAGTTATCGTTATTATTAATATTCAACTAAGCTCACATATCAAACAAAATAATATACGATATATTATGTATCTTCTGAAGAACATTTAAAGGCTTTCTTCGATTTGATGCGATCATAATCCGTCAACCATGGCTTCCAAAAATGAAATTAAATTAGATAGAAATAAAAACATAACCTTCCAAAAATATATAAATTCTATACTAAATAAATTATTGACTTTAAAAAAGACTTTATTTAGAATAAAAGCTATAGCATTGAAATTTAATCGTTTAATTATCGTTAATATTAAGGAAAAATACCATTTCGAGGCCAGTGTGAAATGAAAATGAAAGATTGGAATCGAGTCTAATGGAACTCTATGTATTCCACTTAAAGTCCCTTTTTGGCTGCAACATCTGAAGGCAGTGCTACTATAACATTTTTTACAGTTATACAACTTTAATGTCGATCGATTTGCTTAAGTATTTCTGCACTTGTGATCAAATTAATTACTTTCTTAGAATCAGAGTGTTTCTAACATTTTCCAAAAGGAGTGAAATTAATGAACGAATGAAAATGGCTAATTAAACTATTAAATATGGATAGTTTCTAATCTATTATATATTATATTATATATCTATTATTTTATGCACACATTTAAGAGTACGACTATAATTTATAGAGCCAGTTGGAGAGAGTTTGAAAATGGTGCGAAAGCGTTTATATCTCGGAAAGTTTTTATTATTTATTATTATTTCAAAGTTCGACAAAAAAAATATTCTTAGTCACAAGAAACATACAATTTTGATTAAACAAATTTAAGACGGTTTGATTAACCTACTTAACCTTATTCATAAAAGTAAAGTTAACTCTAAAACACTGTTTTATGTTGAAGACATTTTATGTTGTTGGTTGCTTATTTTGAAGATCACATTTAATTTTTGCCTAAATTGCGGTGCACTACTAGTTTACTAAAAATATTGAGGTAGTTGATTCCACGGGCGAATAGCTTGAATATATGAGCTTAGTTGTTTATTTAAAGAGCTTCAATATTTAGTTCAAATACTACGTTCCCCTTTGATCCTGCCTGTTGAACAAAATGATTTGATGGCGATTTAAAGAAAGTATAAAAGAGTTAAGAAAATCTGCATCCTCTGCTCGTACTTTCTGTCTTGTCTGATAGCGAATATGATATAAATATATTATTATAAGATTGATAGTAAATATACAAAAATATTCTTCATATCCATGCAGAAATGTGTAAGCTTTGAAACCTCGTTTTGTTGTTTAGCAGTCTTTGGAGTTTTTGTATATTTTGTCAACACACATCAGCCGTACGCGAAAGCGGTCTGAAATGCTTCTTTTCTTGGCAGCGAAAAGCGCTTGTTGGCCAAAATGCACTTCAAAAATGGTTCACAAAAAACACGCAGCGCGCCAAAAGTTTTATGCATTTCGTTTTTCCCGCAAAACTTTGCTGAATAGAAGACGCCCCAACCGCCGCAAATGTGGAAAGCAACTGTCTGTCGAAATTCACGCGGAAATAATCAAATCACTGTTTATTGCCAACCATGAGACATGGATATAAAAAATATCTAAAGAAGAAAAAAAAAAAGGCGCTCATTAACGAGCTGATAAGCAGAGGCGCCCTAATTGATTGATAACACGTGTCTGACAATCGCCCGACATCAGACACGTACACATACATATATACAAGTACATATGTATTCCCGACCTCCATGTGATGAGTTCAACGTGCCGGGGTGTGGATGCGAATGGCGACGCGTGCGAGCTGTTAAGCGTAAAGAGATTTACGCGCTGCCGACCGACCTGCCTGGAGAGCCATATACATATACGGGTATACGGGTATACGGGTATACGACTATACGAGTTTGCTCCATAAAGAAGTGCTTAGAATGCTTCCTGAAGCACAGGAGTCCATAATTCTTGCGCACCGCCTCAAAATATATACATTTTTTATCTGGCGAATAATGAGTGGAAAGCAAAATATTTTAGAACGCCTCACTTGGGAGATATTTCATGGTACGTTGCTGACCTTCGAGCGTACAACCTCCCTGGCAGCTTGTTTGTCCCATAAATCCGCGTTACAACTTGGCATAGTTATGGAAACATACAAACACACATACACTTATCAGATATAATTATCTACTTTATTTTTAGCAGCCACTGCGAATCTGCGATAATAATTTAATGGAAAAACAACAAAGAGTCGCAAACATGTTGTAAAACAAAATACCCCGTCAGTGACGCGCATCCAGCCACCAACCCGTGATATACTCGTATACTATATAGTTAATAAAACGATAAGATTAAGATCAGCCAGCACGCAAAGCCCCAAGTTACGCAAAATCCTATAACACTGTCTGCCGAGAAAAATGCAATTACACCATTGAGTTGTAAAACAAAATGATTTATTATTGACAGAATGCCCATTTCAAATGATATCTCCCTCCGGCTATAAATCATTAAATTGTTTGCTTTTTTATTAACAAAAAAAAGATGGAGTTTCATTAACAGTAACCTTTTGCCCGCCATGTTTTTTATAGAGTTATAGTCGGAGTGGAAGTGGAAGAGCTCCTTTTTTTACCAGCTTGATAGTTTTAGTTCGAGAAGGGGGACTCATCGACTTATGTCATCATATTCATAAAAAATATAATTTTCTCTACCTCCGAAATCCCTTGCCTCCTAAAAATATTAAGTATTGCAGAAATGCCATTCAGGAAGACGTCTATATACATAGTTTATAGATAGATATTATCATCATTCTATTGAACAAGAACACTTTAAGGGATTGATTGACTTGGAAATTCCCTTGTGGGGAATTCCTACTTTTGGAGAGTCTCTGCTTTTGAAGAATTTCTTCTCTGATACTTCTGAGATCCCTGCTTTCATTCTATATCGACTTCTACAGATCAAGAATATATCTGCTTTAAAGACACAGCCGCGCCACCTTTTGAGTAGAAGCATAACGAAAAAGTTGAGAATGTGAGAATTAAAGTATCATTAGCGTCATCTACAGGGCTTAATTGAAAGTTATGCGCTAGCTCCCTTTTTGGCGTGTGAACTGCCATGCATTCTACTTTAGCCAAGTTCACAACCAAATAACCTGCCATTGAACTGCTTTACATTTAGGAGTGTTCAAACTGCTTGCTGGCACCAACCATTCATTTCATTTGTTTAAATTATTAAAAAAAAAACAAGCACACATAAATTTAACTTATTGAACTTATATAACTGACTGAATTTATCAAATAAATTGATAAGCACAGTTTCAAATATTCACTTAATTGTCCTCCTTAGAACAGATCCTTAAATTAAGAATAAAGATTTAAAAAAAAAATATTCACTTATTGAATGAATTTGTAGAAATTAATTTGAGCAGAAAAAACATAGCAGAAAAACTACTGTATTGAAAGTCGCATTTTATTGACATGAAATTCTTAATTTTTTATATTATTTTAAATTATTTCTATATTATTATTATATTACATTATTTCTATATTATTATTATTATTTATTAAGCTGGTAATTTTGTCATTCGTTGTAGGGATCGGAAAACTTTACTGCTTCATTGGATTTTTCGATTTCTAAAATCACAACAATTGGCCTTCCATTTAATTTGAATTCCGAACGGTCATTTGTTACGCGCCGTTGATGCAACAGCGCTGCCCACCTGCTATAAAAAGAGCTCCCGCTGACGACGAACCTACAGCTGTACGTTACTTATCGTACTGTGTGCTGTGCCTATCGATTGCTTGGCGGCGCTATCGCTCAGTTGTTACCTTGTTCTCCAAACGTGCGGTTGTATCCAGTTTTTGCGCGCGTGTGCAGAAATTGGTAAAGAAAGAAAAACCAAGAGGCAAAGGAAATTGTGTAGCAGCATTAATTAAAAGTGGAGTGTAAAGGCGTCAAGTCGCCCGATAAGCGCCCATTAAGTATTATCTAATTTTTGCCCAAGTGCTTGTACGAAACAACGATAAGATAAATAAAAAGCTGCAATAATTATACAAATAATAAAACCCGCAGCCGCCGTGCAAAAATAATACAACAACAAAAGAAATGTAAAACGCCGCGTTGTGCGTTTTGTTTGTAGTCGCTGTCGTGTCGTGTATATGTTTAAGTGTGTGTGTGTGTGTTCGCGCGTTTGTTTAGTTGTTGTTGTTGTTGCTGTTAGTGCACCTGTCTGGCTTGCAAACTTCCCTGCAATTTCCCCTCCCCGCGTACCATCGCAAACAACATCGCCGCCGCCGCCGCCGCCACTGTGAAAAATGTCATTGCCAGTGTCTCAGTCGCCGTCGCCGTCACCGTCGCAGTCGCAGCTGTCGTGGCAGCATTAAAAAATTGTTGAAAGAGAGAGAAAAAAGTAAATAAGACTCGAAAGTAAATCAAAAAAAAAAAAAAAAGGCCGCATCAAGAGCCATAAACAAGCAACCATACTGAAATATTTTGCGTCCATTTAAAAAATCCTGTTTTGAAAGTCGCTGCGCCGCCTCATCAAACTTTGTTGTTGCTGCTGCTTAGCTGCTTTTGCAAGGAGTTTCCTTGCTCTTTGCTTTCTTCATAAACAAAAGGTGAGTGGTGCCGTTAATTCTGACACACTTTTTTTGCTTCTTCAATCGATTGCTTACAATATTTCATCAACGGCCCATTTGGGGGTGGCATTCCTTTGGATGCTGTGCCGCTCTAGACTTTGACAATTTGGGGGCGGCTCAGTGGCCAGCAATAAGGGGGTGGTTTTTGTGTTTGTCAGCTGTGAGCAACAACAGCAGCAACAACAACAACGGCATGTTGTTGTATCTAGAAAGCTCTTGTCTGCGCATTTTGAAGGCCATTCGACGCATTAATATTTCGCACACACAATCTCCGGCAAATCAAACCAGCACTAGCAGCAATGCTCACTCAATGCCTCAATGTGCCACACAATCAATAGTTCATTAAAAAATGTGTTAAACATTCGCGTCTCTCAGCTTTGCATCTAACGAATTTTACCTCTTCTCCGTACACAGCGGAAATATAAATTAATTTCTACTGTTGCGGCAGTTGTGGACATAATCGCAATTTTGTTATTTTCTTAAATTCTTAGATTCTTGTCGAATATAAACAACTTATCACTTTTTTTTTTTAAATATGATATATGAACTGTTGAAGAGTTGTTTGATGAAATAGTCGACATAATTACTATCAAAGATCTAAATATATAAACATGATACAGTAGAAATATCCAAGACCTACAAAAAGCAAAAGCTTCTAAAGCATAAATATCAGAGATAAGTTCTTGAAAAGTTGCCATATCTTAAGATTTAATGGTCTCAGGAATAAAAGGTTTCATAGAGACAAACAAATGGGCAAAAAGAGCTAAACCCGTTGCAATTAAAATAATTTATTTTATTGCAAGACTTTCTTAACTTTATAATGCAAATTATAATTGTATTCGACATTTTTTTCAAAAACTAAAATAAAATACAAGTAATATAAAATTGTACAAAATTAATACTAAACGATTTATTTGTAGCAAAATATAGCTTACAATTTTGGAAAATCAAATGAAATCTTAGAAATAACATCTACAAGTATTATGCCCCACTAGCTTGTTACATAAATACATCCATTAATGTGTTCATCACTAACTCAGCTCTTCTTTCAACTCTTTCACAACTTGGGCGCATTCAAATGTTCACTCTGAAACGATTTGCCAACCATTTCCACGCTCCTAATGAAAAGGTTTTTGCATGAACTTGACCCAAACGCCATGCACGCTGAGCACAGAGTCCCCCACACTGCGCTCCCCCCAAAAACACCACACACATAGGGGGTTTTAAAGACACGGCTCTCACACTCAAGCGATCTAGATAAGTGCAGCATGAGTCGCACAACTCGGGAGACCGAGACCCATAATCAGTTTTCAGGCGCTCGCACAAAATAAATCAAAACAATCGCAATTGCCGACGCTCATTAATCACAATGACTAATTTGCAGATATGTTTTCGGTTAAGCCCATTAAAGTTGCACAAGGGCTATAAATACAACAACAGCAACAAGCAAAAGAAGATGCTGTGAAATGTGCCTCAAGCTCCAATGATAAAGAATGTGAGTACGAATGTGAATGTGAGAGAGTCTTCAGTCTTCTTCAACCCACAAAAGCCGCTTTGCCTCAGAGAGTGACAAACAAATGTTGTGGTGAGGAGCCTTTACAGAAAGAGTGAGAGAGCGCGCATGAGTGACAGGTGAATTTTTGATTCTATGCTGAGGTTCTTTTCCACGCTTGCGTCTTATTCAATTTCCTTTTGGTCTTTAATTCGCTTCAGCGTATTTTTCTACAGTTTGCCTGGCATATATAGTTTTCTATACCCTGCAGTCGCAGGCTTAATGAGTAAGCGAGCCACCAATATGTGCATATTAGTTATCAGCGACGCTTCGGCTGTCGACTAAAAAAATGAAACTCAGAGTTGTTCGACAATTTAAATAGCCTGTCATAGGGATGATAATAGGGTTCATATCTTTCAATACTAATAATAAATGTTCTCAATAGTTGTATTTAGTTATGGTTTAAAAGATTTGCTGAAAAAGTCTAATAAAACGAATTATTCATTCATTTCATTTATTCACAAAAATTGGCTAATAAATTTGTGTGTATCTATGATTAGTTAATAATAAAGAGTACAGGTTATAAAACCTTATCAACTTAATTATAAATAAAGTGTGCTTTTACAGTTTATGAGTGAACGGTCAGTTTCTAATATGTAACAAAAGCGGGAGAAGAAATAATCAAAAACCCATGAATAATAATTCGTTTATTTGAAAATACAACTTCTAGCTTTGTTTTATGTATTTAATAATATTTGATAACTGCTAACTATTTATAGTGCATTGAAAGAGTGTGTGTGTCCAAGTCGGAACAGTTGCTAGTTGTTTAGCTTAATTTCTGTCTACTTTAATTATTAAGCGGAGGGTTTACATTAATCACAAGTCAGCCGCTGACGAAAGCGTATTGGACAGTTGTGTGTCGCCAACTCTGTATCGTTCTTACTTGCTTTCCTCCACGTTTTCAGCGACTGTTCTTGCCGTTTATTTGTTTTTCACATCGCTGTGCGCTTACCTGGTTGCCTGCCTGACTGTCTTCTTGATTTTTATTTCTTTCTGTATATCTGTTGTCTATTTGCTGACGCAGACGCTGCCGGTTACTGCTGCTACTGCTGTTATTGTTGTTGTTAACCTGTGGCAGGTGCAGGTGTAGCCAGCCTTTGAATTCAACTCGTCTCCCGTCTCCCGATTCGTGCTGGCATTTTCTGATTTCACTCTTCACTGCCTGTGCGCACAATTTATCTGTAGTTAGTAATATTCTGCTCTCTGCCTGCCGCGCCGTCTCTTCCAATCAGCAGCAGTATGCATTTGGTATGCTAATCAGGTGAAGGATCCTTCGACGTCACCGTCGCCAATGTCATTCGATAGACATGCGCATAAATGGGAAAACGTGGGGAACGTGGGGGGCGTGGGGTCGGCCGTCCCCGTCTTTAGTTGGCGGCGCCTCTTTCATGCACGTTTGATTCTGCTCAGACGGACGTAGATAATTCATTGGCATGCACATGCATGCGCTACTTGTATCTCATGGATGCGATATAGAAAGCAACTACGAGTATAATCGGTAACTGCCTCTCTCTCTCTGTCTCTCTTTTACTCACACTCTTAGTGTCTCTTCACATCTATCTTGGATGCTGTCGGATTGCTTAGTTTTATGGCCGGCTACTATTTTAGCTTTTTATCTTTTATCTGCGAGTTCTAGCGGCCCCAGAGTATGACTGGACTTTAAGAGCAGGCCTATTAAAAATTATGTGTTTTGTTAATAGCGCATTCGCTTAATTGGAGTCTAGAACTATTAGTTATGGACCTTTTTGGCTGAACTGTAGTTGTCTTTTATCCGTCTTCTCTAACGATTTATGGCAAAATAAAAAATGTAGAAATAACTGGAAGAGTTAGTAAGCATTGGAATTGAAAATACACTTTAAAAAATTTGTTCTATTTCAAATTTCCTTCAAATATTCCATTTTGTTCTTTAATCAAGCTTGCAGCGTTTAGTGATCTTCAATATAAAGTTCTTGAAACCAGAAATTTGAACTGCATCTGGTGTTTTTGGAAAAGCTTAGCTTCTACACCATTTCCAATTCTCAGAAAACCTCAAACATGCAACTTTCTTCATTTCCAAACTCGTCGACTGCCTTTTGAAACAACAGGCATATGTATGTGCTCCTCTCTCCTCTGCTGATTGTTTTGTGTGGCATATTGATGCTCCTTGTTGCAACAATATTTGTATATAAGGTGCATATCTACTCGTATTGATCAGTAAGTAATATTCAACACATGCTCCCGGACGGCATTGCAGACAACTGTAAATTTCAGACACATGGTGAAGCGAAAGGCGGCAGAGCAACAATGGAAATATGGCAACTGCCACTCGAGGGGGCAGCATCGGCACCAACCGAACAAGCTACAAAGATAAAAGTGCACGTCTGGCGTGGTAATTTGCAGTATGCGTTGCATATCCATTAACTTGCCCAAAGCAGCAACAACTCAGAGATGGTTGAGCGTGCGAGCAGGCCTCAAAACTCAAGCAACCCAATGGCCCCAATGGCGTTCGAGACGTTGGCAACTCTGTTGATGCAGCCATCAATGTTGCTCACTGTTTCATGTTGTTGTCCGCTACAAGGTGCAACATTCTTAAGAGCCGCCGCCGCCACCGCCACTGCCACCACCTGCATGCCCTTGAAGAACTTGCAACATCTAGAAATTGTCGTTGTTCGTCTTGTGTGAGTGTGTGTGTGTTTGTTTGCTTGTTTGTTGCCTTGTCTGTTTGTCTACCCCTTACCAGCTTTGTATTTGGTAGCTGCTTTCCTTCCTTCAGCTTTTACACTGATAAAAACGCTGGCAAACAATTGAATGGTGTGGAAAATTGTTTCACATCCGAAAAGTATTCTAGAGTTAATATTTGTGGTACGTTTTACTTAATTTTTAAACAATTTCTTGTGCTTTACTTATTTTTTTAAAGTGTATTGGCTTTGGAGCGGTTGTCTCCTGCCTGCTGCACTTTTTCGCTGTACTCCTTATTGATATCATGTAACGCGGCGCTTCCTCAAGTCAAAGCCAAGTCGACGGCTTAGCTGGCAACTATTTGCGGAATGCTGACTGCCTGACTGCCGGCTGAGTGCCGGCCAAGTTAATGGCAAAGCCGACTCGATAAGACATGACTGCTGTCTCTGCTGCCACAGTTGCTGCCACAGCTGCTGCTACAGTTTCTGTTGCAGCTCAAGTTGCGGCTCTGCTCGTAACTTACGGCAATTTGCAAGCACGTTCGTGTGGGGCGCAACACATGTTAATGTTTATGCCCCACACGGCAACACCCACCTCTGAGAGTCCACTTGGCTAACTTAGTTGCTGCAGCAGCAGTAGCAGCAGCAGAGGCAACATCTTGGCCCAGCCAACGTCTTCGTCTTCCGTCTTGTTGTTGCTCTTGTTGTTGATATTGTTGTTGTTGTTGTTGTTGCTCCTATTCACAGCTTTCTATTCAATTGTTTTCCGT